GCCGAGGTGTGAAGAATCGTCACGAGCTTGATATGCTGATTGAACGTGCGGCTGAGGAATCCCCACCTGTTTTGCCGACCATTGAAGAGCTGAACGCTTGGAACCCCAAAGATCATGATGCATATGTGAAATGGCTTACTGAAGAAAGGAAACAACGTGGAGACAACTGGAACTTCAAGTACATCCAACCATTCACACATGGCCACAACATTGGTACACTTCAACTTGCTCGCATCAATGGAGAAGAATATCTTGGAATGGGCTGGTGTAAGGTGCATCGATATGGCGAGAATGAGTGGATGGGCGACAAGTGGGACAATCCGCAATGGATAGTCGAATTGTCGAAGAGATTCAATGCAGCGCTACGCCACTCCGTGGGTTGCGTCAAAGACAATCGAAACCACCGTGGACTACCATGCGATGAAGCAGGTTGGGTCAATGTCGAATCGATCTTGAAGTATGACAACATTTGGAGAGACCAACATACATTGGCTGGAACGACCCGCGTCAACTACCCAATACTTGTTGAGAGGTGGAACAATTTCCAGAGAGTGATCTTCACTGAGTACAAGCAGACGAAAAGGATCCGAGCTCAAGTGCTAGGACTCAAAGTCACGAAAGGTGAGTTGGAACACATCATGAACAACTTCAATGACGAATTGACTTCGAGACTTGAACGACAAACACTGAGATTGGAGATCGGAACAGCAGATCGAGAGATTTGGCTATGGCCGGTGGCAATCCGTGCCCCTATGGCACATTCAAGAGTTCAAGGCGGTGTGCACATCGAAGACAAGAAGACTTCCTATCAGATGAACCCTGGAGTCGGATACACTCTTGGAGGAGGATTTCATTGCACCACTTTTGACAACATCGCTCAAATCTTCAGAGAAGGACTACGTCCCGGAGGAGGAGGCGACCGCATCAACACGTTCTTCGTGCCATTCGCACCGTGGGACGTACGAAGTCAGTCGGTGCTGAGATTCAGGAAGATCGAACAAACTGATCTTGTCTACATCTACATCACGTACGATTCCCTTGCCAAGTTCTCCCCTCGATTGTCAGCAGACGGACACATTTTGGTCCAAGAAACAATTCCATTCGAATCATTCGATGCAGTTTGGTACTACGATTGCAAGGAAAAGGACTACTACCGTCTTATGATCACGAAGGGGAAAGATCAACTCGTGCTTTCTGTACAAGGAGCAAGGAGGGTGGCCACCATTGAACGATTTGACAAACTCATTGGGAACATTGTGCCTGATGAATCATCACCCGATCTGAACGAACTTCGAAAGCTTGTCGATATCAAGACCGGTCACTTCAGTCATGCTCACAGATTGTTCCCTGGACATCCGGATTGGAATGATGCAATATCATTGTTAGCAGTCACTCATCATCCCAGCAAGGAGGACCATCGACTATGCCCCGCATGTCTGATGGAGACCCCTGCACCATTATCGATTTGTGTGATGTGCAAAGGATTTTTGGTGAGTCACGGATGGAGGAAACGAATCAAGATCACCGTGGCTACAGTACCAAGTGCCGAATCACATCACCGAGAAGAAGATCTCAAAGACCATGTCAAGAAGGCATGGGAGGAGGTAAAGATCGATTTGACAGGTGATGGTGATGGCGACGAGATGATGCCAGATGATGATGACATCAACATGAAGAGTCCAGAACAAGAACCTCAACCAGAAGAGGGAGATGATGACCAAGCCTCGAAGAAAGGCGACATCAATGATGAGAAAAGAGACTTCAGAGAACAAGATGAGGTCGACAAGTTTCTCAACCAGGAAGGAAAACCGACCGATGAAAATGATGATGAAGAAATAGCGGTCGATGAGATCAACATTGAAGAATATGAGGCTGGAGAAGCTCGGGATGCAGTGATTGAGTACCCCAAGTGGATGAAGCGGATTGAGTTTGGATCAAAGGTCCTACCAATCGAGCCTTGCACAATTGGAGATGCTCAACCGGAGCTCATCAAAATCCTCCTGTTGCAAATTGGATTACATATCGTCAGGATCTACAGACTATTCCAACGGAACTTCTGTGGAGACATCGAAACGGCATGGAAACATTTTCAACAGACCCGGAAATTCAGGATGGACCTGGACTCAAGAGTGCCTTACCTAGGCGAGGATGAGAATGGTGAACTCATTGAACCAACTGCACAACAGATGAAAGAGCTCTACGAAGAGATCGGCCGACCAAATCAAAAGGACGACATCGGAGAAGAGGGATTCGTCAATGCATACTATGGGGCAGTGGTACTCAAAAGACTTCTCATATACACCCTTGAATGTGGCTACACGTATGATGACTTACAAAATATCTTCTTTGAAGAGGAGATGGAGAAGCTGTCGAAACGTGACACAACGATGGATGAGATGAGAAAGACCACAGCGGCCCGCGACGCCCTTGACCGACAAGACGTCATGGTCAGAAGAATCATTGCAGGTGCATACAGGGTGAATGCTGTTTATTTCTTCAGGAACGTCGACTTTCAAGACACAATCACACTGAACCCAGTTGACATTGTGTGTGCTCTTCGTCCCGCACTTCGAAGAATATCACTTTTGCACCTGATCCTTCAAAATGGCCGACAATTGCCACGACCTCTACTCCAGAAGCTGTATGATGCGATCGATGACTACAACCACATCAAACAACGGGACGATCAACGACCAAGATGGGGCATCCACATGTCTGACGCCCACATACTTGCGATTGCTGATACCCCAACTCCTGCTGAACGTGAACGTGCTAACCAAGCCGCTGGCAAATCGAAAGCAGCCCCGAAAGCGGCAACAGCACTGGGCAGGGTGTCAAAAGCGAAAGCATCATCGTCAGCAACTTGGAGAACAGTTGAAACCGCTCCTCCACCAAAACAAGCTCCAGTAACCCCGCCACAAAAGGGTGGAAAAGACAAAGGAAAAGGTGGAAGATCTTATTCGCATCGTGGTGGCGACTGGAACCAACAGGGATACTATGGATGGGGATACAGATGATGAATCGATATGACCTCTGCATAGGTCCTGATTGAACCTGGTGATGCGAGGATGCAATCATTGCTCGAGATTTACCTCTATTTCATTTCGAATGATTTCTGAGAGGACTCTGAGCCGGCTAATTTAGAACCAAACATTTTTTTTGAACATCATTGCACGAGACGCTGAGTTTCTACAGCGGTCTACATCTCAACCGACGAAGGAACGGGAAGGTAAACTTCTAGTTCCATAGTCAACTTTGTGTTTTGATTTTTTTTAATCCACATGCTTGAGTGGGATTCCATGCTGGCTACGCCACATCGGATGAACCTCAATGCTAGACGCCGACGACGTCGTGTCTACGTGCACGTGAACAGAACCTTTTATCTTTTGGTAGAGATCGTAGCAAGCCGCCATGTAGATGTAAAGTTCTGAACGGACTTTAGCTCTCCATAACTCAATAAATGAACAACTGCAGATGTAGTGGATCAATTCAAGGGACACTCCTTTGCGCGTGGCCGACAAAGTTGGCCTTGCGTGGGGGGTGAGAATAGAGTGTAGGCTACGGACCGTTGTATATTATCACAATTAGACACTCTAGGATCCAGCACCAAAGGGGCACTTCAAACTGGCCTCTTTGGCTCAAGACCCACTGCAGCACTGGAGTAAAGAACAGCAATGCGGAAGCTGATGCCCGTGTAACGTCATTACCGAAGCAATCACTTCAAACCCAACTACCAGGACATAATCGGACAAACAATCCCCGATTCTCAATATATATATATATATATACGTATTTGATGGCAAACAGTGCAAGTCTTTTTGGGGATTGCTATCGCCTGGTCCATTCCGTCACCTGCCCTGGGAGCTTCGTGCGTCGCGCCAGGCCTTATCCAGGCCGGGACGGGCAGCGATGGGGTTTCCCATGTGGCCCGTGGCGGGTGTCATCAACGGATCAAGGGACCAGAGATTTTTCGAGTAGATTACCCTCTGGTAAACGTTTACATAACTGACATAACTATATGGAAATTCCGGTTTTTTTATGGGCAAATCAAGTAACTAAATGATACTAAATGGGTCATTAGCTATGTCAAATTACCAGAGGCTACATGGGATTTCAGGATATTAGATGATATTACCCTCTGGTTATTTAACATAGCCGTGGAAAATTGCCCATTTATAGATGGTTTACCTATTAATAGCATGGTGATTTTCCATGGAACTGTGAGTCATAACCAGATGGTAGTCATATCTTGGTCTCCCATGGGTATCCTATATTGGGAGACCGAGTTTTGACCCATCGCCAAATGATACTTTCATCGTGTAGAATCGTAGTGATCCTGGACATTGGATGGCTGTGTAGCCTCTGGTTACGACTCACAGTTCGCCATGGAAGCCATCACCATGGCTATGAAAATAGGTAAACCATCTATTTCGATTAGGGCCATCTATACCATGGCTATGTTAGTCATAACCAGAATGTATTTTTTTGAGTGGCTTCAAAGTTTAAAGGAGACGGAAGTAGAGGCCACCTCGAATCACACTCCCGAATCATACCCCATGAAACTCTGTCTTTCTGTAATATACCCGGCTTTCAAGACCTATATCTATAGCAACCAACAATAGCAAATGAACCAAACCAATTACCCCCCCTCCCACTGCTTCCAGATTCAGGCACGGTATTTTGCGACAAACCCGTAAGACCTTGGAATTTAATGAAGAACCCAGCATGATCCATAAATTGGATGGGTTTTCCCACTGGTTTCATGGGGATTTTCCGTCAAAGGTGGTTTTCTCACCCGAAATGAAGATTTTTCCCCTGTACCTGGTCCAGGATGCTGCTGCCCAGTGATGTTTGTTGGCTTATCAACCCCATTAACTATAGTTATATCTACCATAAACCATAGAATTCAGCCACTTATAAGGCAACTGAACGCTATTTGGGGCCCCATCCTGTACCCATTTGTAGTTTTGTAGCACCAGATGAGAGTCTCAAAGCCTCAGAGCCCGCCGCCTTTTTTCGCGGACCGCAGACGGCGGAGAGCAATGCGTCGAACGGCAGCAATTCGAGCAATAGCACTGCAGGCCCCGTCTGCGGGTGGTTCGGTGAGATTTCTGGGTGGGGCTTCCAAACGAAATCGCGATTGGTTGGTGAACATAATTCCAATTCACTATGGTTTATGATATGCACATAACAAACTCGTTACTGTAATGGGGTTTACTATCCAATTTACAACTGAGGGGCCACATTGTAGCTTATTGTGCTTATATTTGGCATCAAACAGGGAAGTATATTATAATACACAGCAGCATATTTTGGTGTGGTATCTAAGTTGTTTTTTTCACTCAGGATGTCACGTTTATCAGGAGAAGCCAGCAAGAATGGCCTGGATCATTCTTGGTAAATTCTTGCACACATGTATATATATATATACATATTACATATCAATGTAAATGTATGTTTAAAATGGTGTCGCAACTCTTCCTTTGAAATATGGGCTCTGTTTGACAAGAATTGGTCATTGACATGATCTTAACACATCTTGACGGTGACCATCAGGTTATGTCTTCGATCGTGTTTACGCCTTAAGTTTAATGTGGTAAAACCTATAACAATAAACCTCTAACTGGGGATGGTTGAAATCCCACACGTTTCTGGTAAGGTAGGGATGATGCATAATTAATAATTATGTACAATTGGGGAACTATAGCTATTTCGCATTCGCAGCTTCGGTGCCTTTCAGGATCTTTAACTGCACAGTTGTCGGGTCTGGTGGCATTGATGGGATCCATCCTGTCTCATGAAGGCACCGCCACAGAGCTCATTTGGTTGGTGGTTTGGAACATTTTTTATTTTTCCATATATTGGGAATATTAACCCCAACTGACGAACTCATATTTTTCAGAGGGGTTGAAACCGCCAACCCGTCATGTTCGTCATCACTTTCCCATTTAGATAGCCTTTGGGATGTCCCATCCCCCAGCTGTTGGACGATTATCAGAGATCTTTGTCACAAGATTGCGCAGCAAGCAGCTCTCACGAAGAGAAACACATGGGGAAATTCAAGAGTGCTGTACAGGATGGAGCCCCCAAGATAGCTAAGTTGGTTTATAAGTGGCTGAATTCTATGGTTTATGGTAGATATAACTATAGTTAATGGGGATTATAATGGTTTATAAACCAACTTATAACTGGGGGGCCCCATCCTGTACCTGGAACTTGCTTGGTGGCTAGAATTCATAAGTTCCCGCTTCCTAGTGGGTTCTCGCTTCCTGGGCTTGTCTACTAGTAGTGCGGCTGGCCAACATTTGTGCATCCGCGTGCTACGGATGGGTATTTCTATTTTGCGACATCCAAAAATCGTTTGCTGCGGGAGCGGAGAAATCAAGACCACTGTGTTTGGGGTATTGGCACTTTTAGCTGCTTTTAGAATTACTAATCTTCGCTGGAGGATTTCTACTTTCGCACTTGCAGTGAAAAATTAAAACCATGAAAGCCAGTATATAGGTTTATGGATAACTATATATAACACAGGAAAGTCAAAGAACGTTATTCTCCAAAAAAAGAGAACACCTTCCTTCCGAAGGTCGACACTGAAACTGTCCGCCTTTGTTGGGGCATTGTCACAATACCATTATTCTGATTTTATATCCATCCTGAATACCAAGACTACCCAATCGTTGACAATGTCCTATATTATTGGAGAACTTTGAGACCTAGCTGCTGTATTTCTTTGGTCATTTGGGGTTGTCATAAAGTGCGGAAGTTGTCACCATTTACTATACTAATTTATGGACATTTTGATAGGGACAACCATGGGACAACGATAGAACATGATGATAAGCTATGGGATATTGATGGATTTTAGGGGCATAGCAACCCCAAAAAAGAAAGGTCATTGGGTAATTGATCTTCATTTTGGAGTTTGAACTAACTTTTCTAAGCTTTTGGGGTGTTCACTGAGTTTACCTTTTTCGCTGCCTCGCTGCCAGGTCTACAGAACATAACACCACCCGTGTGCAAATGCGGCTTGTCGCCTCGGCTTCTTTGGTCGCCACCGTAGGATCTCCACCAACGAGCCATTGAACATGTGACATACCCTGGTTGGTGAATATCCAGGGAACACCCGGAAGGGATTTATAACGGATTTATAGTGGATATAATATATGGTGTATGTCTAACAATATAACAATATATAATGGTTGATGGGAATACAATGGGATAATAACTAGGGAACACCCGGAATTGTTTTTTCATGGCTCATCTTGAACCACAAAGAAAAATTGAACATGTGACATATACAACCGTTTATTTTCGCAAATCTAAGAAGGAGAAAATGATGATTAGTCAGTGGATGGACTGTACCCAATTTTCAGACAATCCCAAAGGGATTCAGTCGATGATTTCAGCGACAACTGGGTTTCAGATGATTTCACCGAAATGGCATTTACAGTCCCGAAATATAACGTGGCTGGATAAATGAGTTCCAGGAGATGAATAAGTCACAAAACATTTCAGTAGGGAGGGGTTTGAGGACCTCCTGTGGTAGTGCTGGACCTCCTGTGGGTGGTTGCGAAATCCTGCACCACCTTGGATGGTTGAAACCCTATAAATACTGGGAGGAGGTTTATCATGGTTTATCAACTGGTGCAGGATTTCTTCCATCCACAGTATGATTTGTGATAAGCACGCGGACTTAAACAGACACTTGATTGACCCTGCTAAAAATAAATCCCATCCCATGAAATCCCATTACATTGGTTACATCCCCATTCAATTCCATCACATAACCATTAAATCCCTACAAAATCACCATTAAATCCATTAAATCACCATTAAATCACCATTAAATCCCATTAAATCACCATTAAATCTCATTAGATCCCATTAAATCACCATAAAATCCAATTAAATCCATTAAATCACCATTAAATCACCATCAAATCCCATTAAATCACCATTAAATCACCATTAAACCCACTAAATCCATTAAATCAAATCCATTAAATCACCATTAAACCCACTAAATCCATTAAATCACCATTAAATCACCATTAAACCCATTAAATCACCATTAAATCTCATTAGATCCCATTAAATCACCATAAAATCCAATTAAATCCATTAAATCACCATTAAATCACCATCAAATCCCATTAAATCACCATTAAATCACCATTAAACCCACTAAATCCATTAAATCAAATCCATTAAATCACCATTAAACCCACTAAATCCATTAAATCACCATTAAATCACCATTAAACCCATTAAATCAACATTTTTTTGGTGGTAAATTTCCATTGAATCAACGAAAAAAAAGCGGATGGCCAGGCCCACAGACGTTCTCATGGCGGTGGTCTGGCGCTCTAAGGTAAACCTCACCAAGGAGGTGCGATGATGGTTGAACTAACATAGCGAACTGGAAAATTAAGTAACTAAATGATAGCTATGTATATCAATCTCCAACTTCTTGGATCATGGGATGATCAAAAGTGGGTCACATCTCCATGATATTCCCAGAAAATATTCCCATAAAAATGATATACCCGGCCTGGTAAGTAACTAAATGATACTAAATGGGTCATAGAAATAGATGGCTTACCGAACTGAAAATAGCTATGTTATTGATGGTGATTTTCTATAGATGGTTTATAGATGGTTTACCTATTTATAGATGGTTTACCTATTTATTGGCTATGTCAAATTACCAGAGGCTACATGGGATTTCAGGATATTAGATGATATTACCCGGCCTGGGTATGACTAACAGTTTGCCATGGTATAGATGGCCCATAGAAATAGATGGTTTACCTATTAACAATGCTGATTTTCTCTAGCTATGTGAGTCATAACCAGAGGGTAGTCTATGGGGAGATATTTCCACAAAAATCACATACATATATGGAATATATATATATATATATGAATGTATGGATTTGTTTTATGTTTTTTTTGATATCCACAAATACTGGGATTTGATGAGATTTCTATGAGATAATTGGTATATTAAGGAAATTTAATGGTTTAATCACCAAACACTATAGGAATACTAATCCCTGGGAATACTATAAATGGTGATTTTTGATGGGATTTGACAATTATAAATGCTGATTTGATGGTGATTTGCCCTCTGGTAATTTAACATAGATATTGAAAATTGCTCATTTATAGTTGATTTACCTATTAACGATGGTGATTTTCCATAGCTATCTTAGTTTACCAGAGGGTATCCACAAACATATGGATTTCTTCATGGAATTTGATGGAATTTTATGTATAGAATATATGGAAGCTGGAATCTATTGGAATATGATTTCATACATCTATCTATCTATCTATCTATCTATCTATCTATCTATCTATCTATCTATCTATCTATCTATCTACCCATCTAATCTATCTATCTATCTATCTATCCATCTAACTATCCATCTATCCATCTGTCCATCTATCCATCTATCCATCTATCCATCTATCCATCTATCCATCTATCTATCTATATATATATATATCTATGTATGGAACTCTATCCTAATTAATGGATTACAATTAATACCCAGCAACTTTATAGGGATTTTACCAATGGATATAAGTACAGTATGGAGTATGGAATATGTTGAATATGTGGAATATGGGATGATAATGGGATAATGATGAAATTATGGTTTGTATCAATATACCTACTTCTATATGAGTTATAATACATCGGTTGTTGTGTGGTTAATATCCACTAAATAATTTTGCGGGACTTGATGGGAAAAGTCATTTACTTATATAAATGGGGAATAATGGGGATATAGTCGTATATATATATATATAAGCAGCAATATGATAGCTGGAAAGTTAAGCAACCCCGGGCCATGTGACCTCAAATCTTTCTGTTTTTGTTCACCAGCAACCACCACGTTTGTTTTTGGGTGAATCTTAGCTATCTATCATTCGAGGGCTTCACCAAACTGGGGGAGTTTGGCTGAACACCCATGATCGAACAGATTTAGGCCCCCCAGTGATGTGAACGTTGGTTTATAAACTCCATTAACATCCATTCACTATACTGATTTGCGTATCATAAACCATAATTGCTTTGTAAACCCCATTACAGTAACTAGTTTGTTATGTGCGTATCATATGAATCAGAAACCATAGTGACATTGGAGCGATGTTCACCAACCAATCGCGATTTCGTTGGCCTGGGGCCCCCCCCAAAGGTTTTCCGCAAATTCATGGATCTCTCAGGGGGTGGCAAAGCATGTTTTCGTGCTGGTAGACACACATTTTTTTTGTCGAGAAATATATTGAGATTGGGGAGATGAACAAATGTGGCAAATCATTTTTCAATGACTCTTGATTCAAATCCTTTCGTACCTCACGGATGCAGTGACAAATCTATCACCTTAGGTGACCAAAGGGGTAGAAGGGACCGCAGTAAGATATCTCACAGTTCAGAGTATTTTTGGTGACTTGCATAGATACCCTCCAAATAGTCACAATATGATACATAAATGGTATCCCCCCCAATTAAACAGCCTAGGGGTTTATTAATCCAGGGTTGACATTAGTTACTAACTATGTTTTTATTTACACATTTACCGGTACTGTACAGGTTCATTCTAAAACCGTCCAATCACATGACTCACGGGCAGCACTCAAAGCTCCGACAGGTAGAAGACTACCGCTTGGAGTATGAGGCCAGTCCAATGGATGGCATCCGTGGGAAGAAACCAACAGAAATGGGGCGATTTAATGGGATTTAACCAACAGAAATGGGGCGATTTACTGGGATTTAGCCAACGAAAATCGTATTTTATTGGAATCTAATGATTAAAAGTGGAGATTTAACGAACAAAAAAAACGGCAAACTTTTTTGGGGCGATTGAATGGGGAAAATCATGATCGGTACCCTCTGGCAATCCAACAGTTTGCTATGGAAACCATGGCACATGTACCCACTAAAGATGGTGATTTTCAACAGTTATGTTAAATCACCAAAGGGTAACCACAAATCAGGCCTTCTCAATCGCTGATGAACCCAAAAAGGGTGTGTCAATGGCCCCCACATTGGCAATTCAATGGAACCATGACAGTCCACTGGTTTATTGGGGGTAGCCTTTGCGGCAAACCCAATGGACCCCCAAGTGTTGGAGAACCTTTGAGGAGTTAGATTGCCATGTTGTCTTATGAAATACCCTCGCATTTACAGATGAAAATGCACCTTCTGTAGCTCATTTTCCCTTAAAAACCTTCATTTACAGATGATTTTTGCCACGTTTGATTCCCAGAAAGCTGTTCACCACCGTGAACCCAAGGGCTTGTAGGCTATACTCGGCCTGACAGGACAAGAAACTTGTGGTGTTTCAGTGTCGTTAGGGTGTGTCAAGTATATATGGGCCATTTATTGGCTTTTTATTATGATTTATATGGGATATAATCAATAGTGGCCATATCAATATCTATAATCAATTATTGAAGCTATTTACATATAGATATGTATCATCCATTAATATTGATTTATTTGTTGATTTATAAGCATATATTCTATGGTATTAATCCACTACAATAGTACCGATCATTTCAGTACATCGTTTTGTTACGATTGATGTGTCTGAAAATGGGGGATGAATCCTAATCAGTGGATGGAATGGATTATCAATGGCCATTTCAGGAACCCAAATTGGAGGTACCTACCATATATAAGGCCTATGCAAGGCCTATGTAAGGGAATATCCCCAGAAAACATGGCCTTATATGGTACAGTACCTCCATTTTAGGATCCTGGAATTCCCATTGAATGTGTGTCCTATGTTCCTATATTTGATGGTAACAACTACTGTTTACATCTGTTTACTGTTTGCCGTAAGTCCCTTTAAGCAATCCCTTGATTGTCTGAAAATCTTGTCATCATCCTATAGGCCGTTCCAGGTTTTCCGGCCCTCTGGTTATTTGTGACATAGCTATGGTATAGATGTCCCATTTGCAGATGGATGCAGATGGTATTTTCCCAGCAACCTCCATTGATAATTGATTTTCCATATGTTGAATAGCCAGATGGTAAGTTTTTTGAATGTATCCAAATAGTTGCTCCCTTTGACTGGAGATAGGTACTTGGTCAGTAACGCCTGAGAAGTGGGGAAGAATGATGAAAAATGGCTCAGAACCCACATACCATCGCCAGTAACCAACTGACCATGGCCAATCTATGCGGGGAGCCCATGGGAGCCCCACAAAATTGCTGACGTTTTAGTCATCTCAGCATTACAGTAGATGAAGTTCACCTTCTGCTAAAATTGACATGGCCCGTTTATTTTGACATGGCCCATTTATTTTGCCTATGTTAAATTACCAGAGAGTAGTACAGCCCCCCGAGTTATAAGTTGGTTTTTGATTCCATTGACTATCATTAACTATAGTTACAGGTTTCTAATTCTATAATCCCATTAATTAACTATAGTTACATGCCCTTTTTTTGACCCAAACCTTAACCAAGTTGTTTAAGCGTCCACTTCGCCATCTTTAAACCGGGCTGCCTCACCTTGGTAGACGGTGTTCGACAAAGGCGGCCGTACGACTTCGAAGCCTCGACGCATCTCCGCTGCAAGCGCCGGCAGAGTGTGATGGCAACAAGGCAGGGATTCAGATCTAAATCTGGTTAGTTTTCATGACCATAATAGATATATTACCATACAGTTATTAACTATTATGACCATAATAATAGTGGATTATGACCATATAATAGACCATAATATAGTTAATATTAATTGTGGATATATACCATATTAATATGACCATACAGTTACCAGCTATTATGACCATAATAATAGTGGATTATGACCATATAATATACCATAATATAGTTAATATTAATAGTCGATATATAGCATATTAATATGACCATAGAGTTATTATCCACTATGAAAGGGTCTATCAGATTGTCTATTATGGTGATTCTTCCAGAGGATTCTGGTTTTCCTAATTTGAGCATGTTTTTCCACTCTCCAGACATTTTTTATCTACAAAGTGCCCCCCCCCCCGGTTATTAGTTTAAAACATCAATCCATCCAAGCTGCTGCCCCATAACCCTGATCATGAGCCTTATCTTAAGTGAGTTGCCTATCGACTATCTCTGATTGGTGGTTTGGAACATTTTTTATTTTCCATAATATATGGGATAATCCTTCCCATTGAATAATATTTGTCAAGATGGTTAAAACCACCAACCAGATCTGATATTGTTGCTGAAGAATATTTCGTTGAGTCATATCTTATGGTATTTTATGGGTTTTATACCTCGTGACTCCTCCATTTCTGTTTCTGAACTCATGGGTTCCCCCTTTTTTTTATTGGGGACGTGACTCCAGGTGTCCTTTAACATCAAAGAAGAAGATATGCATCCGGACCCCCAGCCCGCGAGCTCAGAGTTGATCATTTTCCAAACGGGCAAACGTGTGGGCTTTCCAGATCTATGTTAGTTTACCCTAGGAGACCCGAGATGGTAGATGGTGTTTTTGGAAATCGCAGATAACGGGGGATTTTTTTTGCACTTTGCCCAGCTAATGTTATTTGAATAGGTCACGTTGATCTTATGACCTTCCAGATTGAGTCGGTCCAAAATAAGGTACCCTCAAAATTATCAATAGTGCACTTTCAATTTTTGAGGTCTGCCAAATTTCGGACCCATACTGATTCCGTACTGAATTGTTTTTTCTGACCTATCATGGGCCGTAGTTTCTGTGGAACCACGATCCCTTTGTTGACGATTTTTTGAAGCAACCAGCTACAAGCTGGTGCCCCAGTTCGGAATCGCAAAGTTGGTAGTGAACATAACTCCAACAACTATGGTTTATGCAGATTTATGCAGTAGATATATCTATACTTACTAATGGTTTCAAAACCAACTTATAATTGGGGGGGGGCAACCTGTTCCCCTTAGCGAACCTGTTTTTCTTGGCCTTTTTTCAAAAGGGGCCCGGTCCGTAGGTTCCCTTGAAGCTGATTTGATCTGGCAATTCAAACAACAGCAATCCCCAAAACGACAGGAAAATCAACTCCTGTTGTCTCTATATTTTGTTGGGGGTTACACTCTGGTAAACATCCAAAAAACTATTGAACATGGCCATAGAAATAGTTGATTTAACCATACAAAAATGGTGATTTTCCATAGTTTTTTGTAAACGTGTACCAGAGGGTATATAATATCTTCTAGAACATTCTAGAACCTATTAGATCTATTTGGACATGTTTCTCTGCTTAGAAATGAGACGGTTTCTTGTTGTCAAACTAGCATCAGCTACCCATGGGAAAATCCACGAGGCGGCTGTTTTTTGCATGCCGCGTCGTGAAGGGTCCAAAAACGAATCTGACCATCCGAAAGCCGGTTTTAATGGAAAGTCCTGGCTTAGCGAAATCAATCATCAATCATATCTGATTAGATGCTTGATGATGATAAATGATACCTCAATATTTGTTGCTTCATTTGCTATTTGCTTGATGATGATCCCGCAATATTTGTTGTTTCATCTCCTCTTAGCTATTCATTTGGATCAATTGTAGCGACCTCACAATGATCTCACCACATGTTTTTTGCTTTTAAGTTTTGGAGAATCATCCAACAGCCAACCTTTCCAGTATATATGGAACCTAATATCATTTACTAACGGACCCCTGACCGCTATCCTTTTTTTTTTTAGTGAACTTGGATTTGCCAAGCGCTTAAAATCATAACATCAGAACGTACAGAACTCAGAAATATGACACCAACGCTCAAGATTATGATGCGAATGTTCAAGAATACATATTCAAAATTGTGACCGCTTCTGATTGGTGGTTTGGAACATTGTTTATTTTTCCATATATTGGGAATCATAATCCTAACTGACGAACTCATATTTTTCAGAGGGGTGGCTCAACCACCAACCAGATCATTATTAACCATTAATATTATCCATATAATAACCATTGATTAATATTAACCATATATTAACAGTATATTAACAGTATATTACCAGATCATTATTAACTTAATATTTCTCCTCATCCAGCATCCCAGGTTTGTGAACTCCACGGTCACCTTTCGCTTCCAGCTCCGCTTCACCAACCCCCGGCGTCCTCCCTTGGATTACGAGAACAATTGGATCATGCTGCACAGCACCTGGGAGATGAGTCGGGTTTTTGGAATGGCCAGTGAGAAAAGTGAGTTTGTTGCTTTATAAATCAACAAATAATATGGAGGTGTTCGGTGTTGAGATGTTTTGGGAAAATCAACCAACTAAACGGAGGCCTTGATGGGATCAGTTGTAAGTTGGTTTATCCATTAACTACTGTAGTTCGTTATATCCCCTAAACAACCCTAGTTAAGCTCGTTCCTTGCGTCAACTTAGCTATCGTAAAGGGGGGTCTCACCTTGTAACCGCTGAGGAGTGGGTGTGCGTCTAAAGGGCAACTTGTTTTTCTGTGTTGCTCGGGTGAAACATCATTAAAAACCGTGGTGAAATATTGGCCCCGGCCTGGTGAAATTGGCAAGTTTATCTCTAAGAGTCTAGCCATTTCCCCAATCGTATCTGGGGAAGCAACAACAGTGTCCTTGGAGGGTCATCCCAGTGCTTCATAGCTAATTAGTTAATGTACCTGTATATACCTGTATAGTTTTTGTATGTTTTTATTTTCAGCCCTTTTTTGAGACGTCCCCTGAAAGTAGTTTTCCATTTTTCTACTCGCCAAGGCCGCAACGTGCAGATGGTGGATGCAGCCAATGCGGATGCCATCTTATCGTCCGATGCGATGCAGAGCTGGAATGCCCCTTGAGCCGTTGGGAAACTTCCGCCCAAGCACTTTTTGAAGCGCAAAATTAGCCATGGTTTTTGATGAGGGATCACTTGGGTTAACCATGGTGAAGCCCAACAAAAACATGGGGGATTGAAGAGTGGTTAAGCCCTGATACTTGATCCCCCGCTTTTTTCGAAGCAGCCTGCTGGAAGGCTAGTTGTTTGTCATCCCGGGTCTATGTTTTTGTGAGCTGACAGGGATTATATGGTTGTAATCCATAGCCATATGATGTTGAGAACATACCCTCTGGTAAACTAACATAGCTATGGAAAATCACTATTTTTTGTAGGTAAATGAACTATAAATGGCCATTTTCAATAGCTATGTTAAATTACCGGAGGGTATTCTATTCGTATACCTATCTGACATGTGATGTTGTTTTTTTAGTGGTGACTGCAACTGTGACCTCCCTTTTTTGTATCGTCACCGACCAGGGATCCCCAGGATCATGTTCAACTTGAAAGTCTTGTCCCATGCCTCCCTTTGCTGCATCCAACATGGGAACGGCAACATTTACCACTATTTTATCAGGATATGACATGATTTTTTTTCCAAATTTGACAAAACATATCTTATTTGGGGGTCGTATATGACTGGGGACAACCCATTCTTTTGATATTATATATATATGTATGTGTATATGTATGTATATGTATATATATATACATATACTTACGCCTCTGCCATGCACATCCAAGCACCCGACTCTTCTGGGCTGAGGTAAGGAGCAAGCTGCGGTATATCTCCATCGAGAGGCTCACAGAGGCGGAATGATTTTAGAAGATCCAAGTAGTGAGTGAACTGAATGAACTGGGGAAGTATTTTTATGGGATCGGGATCTTTGTATCATTTTTAGCATTTTTATGGGATGATATTTTAATGATATTTCTCGTATTTTTGTGACTGTCTTCACTTTCCAGCATTTTTATGGGATGATATTGATGTAGCTCATTTCAAAAGCTTGTTTGGGGCTTGTTTCTAGGATTAGCCACCACAAAACGTCAGGTTTTTGGGTGTAGCTGTTACCACCAAGTCCTTGAGAAAGAAATGCGACTCAGGAATGACCTGGAACCAAATTAATCCCGTGGGACTTGACCTGGCACACATGTAACCATGATAATGTGGTAAACCCATGTATACTGCAATACTTAGTCATCAACAATGACTAACGATAATTTCCCCAATGTTAGGAAAAATATTGGGTGTACTTCATTCATCCGATTCTTAAATAGGGATTTTTATTGAATCTGTTTTGCCTTTTCTGCATTGTTTTGGGGATTACAATATAGTACCCCCAGAGAAAGATCCCAAAAAAGATGCCGAAAAGTGTCAAACCAGAATGGTAGTTTGACAATATTTACCTCATATTGCCAGCTTTCCATTTTTTCAGGATCTATGACTTGGGGTTGCTATACATGGTTATAATTTATATATAGCTAGATTCCCTGAAGATCCATCAACTATATTCCATCACTTTTAATATGGCTGTCATCATGACAATCCCTTTCATCTATGGATCAAAACACCATTTCACTGGTGAACGTCAAAATAGGTGGCACACATGATTTAAAAGAGCCATATCCCTTTCATTGACCAATTTTATGTCTGGTTCACCAGCGGTCGGTCTTCGCAGGTTCTGCGCCCCGACGACACGGCAGAGATTCACTTCGAGTTTGTGACGGTGGGCTGTTGGAGACTGATATGATCTGAGATGTATGATTCAATGGATTGGTTTAAGGGAAAATCTACAGGAAACCATAGATTTTCCCATTAAATATGGGGTCTTCCTGTAAATTTTCCCTTAAACCAATCCATTGTATGATGGAGAGCTTCTGAAAGGTACCCGGCCTGGTAAACGTCTACATAACTATGGAAAGATCCACCATTTTTAATGGGAAAACTCACTATTTCTATGGCCATTTTCAATAGCTATGTTAGTTGACCAGAGGGTATTCTACGATACTTGTACATTAATACAATTAATACAAATCTAAACATGTACATGAAAATACACGTATAGTATAATTATATATATATATATATCTATACACATGATGCAAGAAACATTCGGCACCATTCTGGCAAGGATGATGATACAGGCAGATCCATTCTGGGTGGATCCAAACACTGTCAGAGAAGCCCCAAGATATCTAAATGATATCTTATACATATATAAATTATTATGATATCTAATATAGATATCTAAATGATATCAAATGATATCTACATTTTATTTATGATATAAATGATATCTATTATATCATATCTATATCATTTATGGATAGTTATCGCTCCCTGGATGCAAAAGTACCAAAGTAAGTTATGTGTTTGTTCCCTCTTCAACGAACCTTGAGATCGCTACTCAACTACTGAACTTGGTACCACCATATATTGGTACAAACCCTCATCCACATGTCTTTTGGCAAACCCTCAGCTATTTGGTTGGTGAAAAATCCAAAGTTCTGTGGGATTTTTAAAGTCAACTTCCACTCTCAAGGGTGGCCTAAAATTCCCATGTTTGGTGCCCAAAAAAACACCAGTTGGTTTTTCTCTAAAAAACCATTGAAAAAAACACCACATTTACAACATACCCTCTGGTAAACTAACATAACTATGGAAAATCACCATTTTTAATGGGAAATTCCACTATAAATGGCCATTTTCAATAGCTATGTTAGTTTGCCAGAGGGTATTTTACAGGTGAAATCATCCAAAATCAACGAAAATTCTGTGGAATATCACCGGAGATTCCTCCATGGGTTGTTGGGCAATGTTCGAAAATTTTGGGGGTTTCAAATGCGGCATACAGAAAAGTCACCATGGGTTAACCCCTATGACTTCGGTTTCACCACCATAAAAACACATGATTGTACATGTAAATAAGATTAAACAAGTATCTGTCTATACATATATGATCATATATGTCAATAGAAAGAAACATACACCCCCATAAGTGTATTGGTTCAGGGCTTTTCCCCCTGTTGCCTTTTGTAGCTTTCCTGGCTTTTTCAAACGTTCGGAACGCAGGTGAACGTGGCAGATCAGCTGGTGATCCAAGCAGTCAGCCCTGTAGGTGCTGAGATCCGGCATTTTGCGGAATCAGCGGTAACATTTGAGCCAAAGAAACATTGGAATATGTGATATATATATATGTAAATATAATGGGATAAATGTATATATATAATGGTATACAATGGGATATTCGATAGATAATGATATACCCTCTGGTTATGACTAACATAGCCATGGTATAGATGGCCCTAATCGAAATAGATGGTTTACCTGCAAAAATGGTGGATCTTTCCATGGCTATGTGAGTCATAACCAGATGGTATATATACTGGGATATTATGGGATTTCTAATGGGATTTAATTGTGATTTAATGGTGATTTAATGGTGATTTAATGGTGATTTAATTGTGATTTAACGGTGATTTAATGGTGATTTAATGGTGATATAATGGGATATACTGGTGATTTAATGGTGTTTTAATGGGATATAATGGTGATTTAATGGGATATTGACCGGATATTGGATACTTGATATTTACTGGGATATCATGTGATATAATGAGACATACCATGAGATACTTTAACCAGTTTTCATTGGATAATTGGACAATTTGATACAATTTACTATTTATATAGCGGAATATCGTGGGATATCATGGCATATACCCTCTGGATATCATGAGATGTAATGAGAAAGAACTTATGGAATAACGAGACACTCATACTTACCCTCTGGTAAACTAACATAACTATGGAAAATCACAATTTTTCATTGGGTAAATCAACTATTTCGACTGGGCCATTGAATCAATAGCTATTTTGACATAACCAGGCCGGGTATTTTTTGTAATGGCAGCCATGGGTTTGTCTCTTTTAATGGGGTTATCCCCAATGCTAGTGGATTTGTAATCACTGTCCCGGATTCTGTAAGATGGTGACTTGGAGGGTTTTCCCCAATTTCAGACACACCCATGGAATATGACGTGAGATATCATGGGATATTGCAATACCTTCTGCTTATCAAACGTGGCCGGAAAATCCTCGAACGAAATGGAGGTTTACAGTTGGGAAAATCATCGAAATAAATGGGGGATGTCTAATTGCTATGTTTGATTACCGGAGGGTACACTGGTTGATTGGCTATGATATGGAGTTCTACTGCCTGGGTTATTGGCGATTCCGACAAGCCATAGTAGAGAAACTTATCAACCAACTAGTTTTGCGTGAGTTGGGATAGGGGTATTTGTTTATGGCCTATTTGAGTTGTGAATGGTTATTATCATAGTCAATTAGTAGAAACTATCTACCCTCTGGTAATTTAACATAGCTATTGAAAATGGCCATTTATAGTGGATTTTCCCATTGAAAATGGTGATTTTTCCATCAGTTATGTAGACGTTTACCAGAGGGTAACCAATAGTTGTTGTAATTCTCTACTAACGTCACCCGTAAAGAATGATATTAACCAACTCTGTTTTACTAATCACCACAACCAGTCACCATTTCGGACTCTGGTTTGTGGTCAGGATTTACTCACATTTCAGTTGTGAATTACCCTCTGGTTTTTTTCATATAGCCATGGGAAATGGCCCATTTATAGATGATTTTCCCATTAAACCTCCATTTATAAGGGATTTTCCATGGCTATGTTAGTCATAACCAGATGGTATCCATTTTTTTGAATCATCCGTTTATTTGTAATTTTATTTAGAAACTGTTTTTTTGCTTTTGCCATTTCTGTTTTGGCGGTGGGAAGTCATCATCCTCAAGTTTGGGGTTTTTATACCTTTCATAGAAATGCTGATGCTTATATTCCAAAGCTCTTGGAATGTAAAACGCTTTATTTGTATATAGATGATTTCAATGATTTCCCTTTTCTAAACATGCTTTTGGACATGCTTTTGACCATCGTTTTCACCTTCGCTTTGAGTAGGACTGCTGACACACGAACCGGTCATCTCAACCCAAAGTGGGAGATTTATCACTCCCAACTGAAGGCTGCAGGGTTTAAACTCCGCGTCTTTGACAGATATGGGTATGGGTATGAAGATTAAAACCTATGGTCCTGTTTTTTGAACATCCTTAAATCCAAGCCTATTTTGGTGTGAACAGAAGGGTACCAGGGTTTTGGCTCATAACCATATTATTTGATTTCTAGACCTGGGGGATGTATTCCATAATGTTTTTTTTGCATTGTTGTCGGTCCCGTCCCATTTTTGGATTGAAATCATCTGCAACACTGCAATCAGTCCATGAAAGACAGGAAAGTAGGATTAGCAGATTGACTTCGGGTGAGTACCAACTGCTGTTTTGATGGGGATTTTATATGTAATTACATATATATATATACGTACACGCAGATACCTAGACAGAAATACACAGACAGATGTATTTTTCGATCTTTTTCGATGCCCTTCCTGGTTGCAAAAATTGCAATTTCATTGGCTCCTCAGAAGTGCGGTGCGAGCAAAGTCACGAGCAAAGTCTGCCATGCCATATGGGGAAAACACGAAAACTTCCAGATTGTAGCAGTGATAATATATAAATATATGACTAATATATGTAAATATGGGTCAACACCTATTATAAACATATTATATGTAAATATACGGGGATGGGTGTTTAAAACCAATGAAATTACCATATGACTGGGGGAATAACTTTATCCATTCACCAACTATGACTTAGGGTACCGTTTGAGTCCTAGGCTTTTGACTTATAGCCAGATATCAATATGGTTGTTTCCAGTTATCATCCATTTTAGATTAGGATTTTCCAAAAAAAAAACATCGAGCAGATTGGGATCCCCCCCAATTATGGAAAGCCCCAAATATTCTATATATACATATATATATATATACATACCTATAAATACATGGCACGGGTCTGGATGTGCTGGATGGACTGGATAAACCCATCATTTTGGGGATGGTTATTATGGTTATTTATACCCTATAAAATTGATCACCAAAGCTCTCGTGGGAACTGAAGTGACACTTCGCCAGGATTCGACTTCACCACGGTGTATCTGTCTTCTGAAGGCATGTGATGCCGCAACTGTCACAGGGTTACGTACTGAACTTACTGAACTAAACATGTATTTACTGAGACATCATGTGTGATTTCTTTGGGTGTGTTGAAAAAATGAGAGACTCAACCCCGATTTTTTTTAGCAATTGCAATGGGGACATGGTCAACCATGGCATTTTGGGGACTCAGCCAAAATCGGGATGGGCAGTTTCAAGGGTCAAAGGGGAATTGTTGGTGAGATTTGGTGAGATGGTATCTGGTTGGCGGTTTAAGTTTCCAACATGTTCAACCATATTTGGGATGACGATCCCCAATTACTAGCAGACTGGCATATTTTTCAGATGGTTACAACCACCAGCCACACGTGCTTAGTCACAGAGCTATTTCCCTTGATTTATTCCCACTTGTGGTTTGTTGCAGCCCACGTACCAACCAGTTACATCTTGTTGCCAACTCAGTTCAAGTGTGTTTTATTCATCTTGATGGTCAAGTTTGGATGAAAAGAAAACAAAAAATCAGCTATGACATAGTTGCTGGGATGGCAATACACAAAAAATCGCCGATGTCAAACTTTCAACCACGACTAAAAGACAACCAATGAATGGTTTAACCACCAGCAATTGGTTGTCTTTTAGTGCTTTTGAATGCTTTTGACACCATCATTCTTAACTAGTCAATCTTGGATGGGTAGAAACTAATCCTTTAGTCTTCTGATATCAATGGGATTATCTACGTTCACCAGCTAAGATTTTTTCGTTTTTTGCAGGGTATCTGGCTGATTGGCCATGTTAAACCAATGATTTTCCCACCAGAGACGGCGCGGCGCGAAGCCGCGAAGCGAGCACCACGCGCCAGGGACCACTGATGTGAAGCCTCCTGGAGTCCGGCGCTGAGAATGGATTCAACTATCAGGCAGTCACCATTCATTTGTGACAGAATATAGTATTAAAGTCTATTGCAATGTATAGATTATACAGAAAATACATAATACTGTTATTTATAATTGTATTCACAACAATCATATCTATGACTCTGTGTGTAATCACAATTCTACGTGGGAATTGCACCTGTGAGTTGTACGTGCATGTATTTATATGTATATATATATATATCTATGTGCTTGCACATATCATGCATACATTCAATCATTTCATATTACATATATGTATGTATATATGACATATGTATGTACATCATATTATATTGAAAGATATGTTGCGTCGTTCAATAAATAGGACAAATACCTACACATTGCCATTGTGCTTGGGGAAAATCTCAAACCATGGGATTTTTTGGGACATTTTTTTTTGGGCATACCCGTGTGGCAAACATAATTTCACAGTTCAATTATTCATTGACGGAAGCACATCGTAACCCCCTGAAGATTGTGGTGTTTGCCACTGAAGATAGGATAGATGATCAACAAGTGTATTTGGACTAAAACAAAAGTATATTTACACAACAGTACAAGTAAATCCATGAAAATTCTGGATGATTGTTTTGAAATATCATAACTGGTTGGTGGTGACTGGAACATGGCTTTTCTTTCCATTTCATATATGGGTTGTCATCCTTCCCATTGACGAACTCATATTTTTCAAGATGGTTATTGCACCACCAACCAGATCTGATATTGTTGCTGAAGAAGGGGAATCATCCCAAAATGGCCTTAATTCAGGTTAGTGAAATATTATAATTTACCCAGATATATTGTAGACTTATAGCTACTGTAGATTTCAGTCGACAAGACATCTGTGGATGGACCTCCGATGGCATTCTATGTGGACATGTGGACATGTCAAGAAAAGATATGAAATACGTACAGAAATACCACGTGGTATCAGCATCCAAGATGATTTATGGCTAAAATTGATTTCCAAATTGTATATTTATGGCTAAAAAACCACCTGACCCCTATTCATACGGCGATTTTGCAGATTGGAAAGAACCAAAGTTGCGGGTCTGAAAGGCTATCCTATGTGGAGCAATGGTTGCACCCACGAAAAAGTCGAAAACAGTTGTTAAACCAAGATGATTCATGTTTCGTCGCACCTTCCATTATTCTAAATGTTTAAGATGTTTGAGGTTGAAACATGCGCATATCATACATTTCTTTTCGCCAACCTGGAAGGTGGTATATGATTTAATGTGGACTCTTGAGCGCCATAGATTCATGAACTATGCAATCGGATTTGGATGATTACATCACACCTTCCTACAAGGTGGTTTCCTTCTCGTTATACAAAAGCTAAAACCTCTGTGACATATATATATATATATATATCAGCTTACATCACCATAAACCCATTCCTTAAGCTAGTCTCGTTCAACGTCACCCATCAATCGCCCACTCTTTTCACCGCGCTCAGGTGGGCCGACGCTTGCTGTGGCAAGGCTTCACCAGTGGTATCAGCATCCAAGATGGCTACAGGAATGAGGTGACTTTGAGGCGTGGTGACTGGAGGGATCTGTGTGTTCTCCATGGTGGAGACGGGACGGAACAGAACAATTTCGCGACAGGGTAAAGCCGGTAAAGCCCAGATTCATAAAGCATGGGTCATCTATGGTAATTATATACTTAAATGCTACCCCTCCAATATTCCAATGAATTAATTAGCCGTTTGGGGTTTATTTATCCGGGGTTGACATTCATTAAAATCTATATAACTATAGTTAATAGATGTTAATAGATGTTGGTAGATGTCAATAGATGTTAATCAATGTTAATAGGGCTTATGGTAGAAGCAAATGTTAAATGTTAACCAATGGTTTATGGTACAATGTGGTGCCTCCTAGTGCCCTAGTTATAAATTGGTTTATAAACCCCATCAATACTATAGTTATAGGTACCATAAACCATAGTGAACTTGGAGTTATGTTCACCAACTTAGCGATTTCGTAAACGCCCGGGGGCCCCACGAATTGTAGATATATCTATAGATCTGGGTAAATTGTAACGACCTCACTGTTCTCCCTCACTGGAATCATAGTTAGGATTCGGGGAATCATCCCAAAATGGCCTTAATTCATCTTAATTCAGGTTAGTGAAATATTATTTCATTTACCCAGATCCATGATAGTTCCTATATATCCATTAATCCCTTCCCCTGTTCATATTAAACTCCCCCTAACCCCAGGAATTGTAGATATATCTATAGATATCCTATAGTTACGAGGGTCTATAAACCAAGAAACATAACTTGAAAACCCTCCCCCTTCACCTCCGTGAATCGCAGTTTTTCAACATCTTGGAATCCCGTTTTTGCCAAAAATGATGGTGTGATCATATCACCTGGTTGGTGCTTTGGAACCATGGATTTTTTTATAGAATTTTGAATGACTTTCCAGAAACAGTTGGGTATGTCATCCCAGAATTTTGAATGACTTTCCAGAAACAGTTGGGAATGGAAAATCATCCCAACTGAATTCCATATTTTTCAGGGTTGAAACCACCAACCAGTATCATTTGTATCACAAAAAATGTAATACAAATGATCTACGATCTATATTGTAGAACTGGTATGTAATACAAATGATCAAATGATATTGTGGAAATGGTATGAAATGATATTACAAATCTATAATTTATAATGTTATGTAATGATAATTGTAGATCTGATTAGAAATATTTAGAAATATGTTTTTATTGTATGATGTCACTTGTTCTCATTCATTATGCGTCGCGTGGCTCTCATGATCATATACAAAAATGAATGATACTCAATGATCATGTCATATTACATATACACAATTCTATGACCACGTATATGAACAGTAATATTTGGTTACAACACACAGATATATCTAGACGATACATACATAGATAGTGATAAATAAATGTATATACTGTATATATATTATACATACAGAAATATAGAATGATATATAAGAAGTAAAATATAGTTCTTATAGATTTCACAATATAAAGAGGAAATATTTGCAATGACTAGCAGCTGTAATTGGTGAAACATGGTAGTTACATGGCCGAGCTCACGGTAGTTATTATTGGTGAGTATGTCTGGTAGGGGAATTCAGGTGTAAGCTCCTGACCACCATGAATGGTTGTCCTTTCAGGGAGAAACCCTCCATGACTGATGGTGTGATGCGCTCGGATGTATTTGCTTGTACTGCTTGGTGCTTAGATTCTCAGTTGTATGTCCCATCATATTCCAATCTTTCCTCGTTTTGACAACGTGTTATACCAGGAGTTTGTTGGTGATTTACCACTTCTTTAGACAAGAGCCATAGAGCCATTGGAAAGTCTCATAAACCCAATAAATTAGAACAAACAGATCATTTTTTTCTCCCACGGTGGACATAGAATTCATCCAGGTTCTCTCAACCATCTTCCGAGTCGCGGCAGTTGCCAGGGTGAACTTCGACAAGAACGAGTATGTTCGTTTCAGACTGGCGGGCATCCGCATCCCTTGGACCGGTGGCCAGGCCGAACTGGAACCGCACCCTCTGAAGGATGCGGAAAAGGATAGGCTCCTAGCTATAGAAACATGGGAATTAGACATAGGTTTAAGGCTGGTTTCATCGGATAGATTGGGGTTATCCTGGGATTATGGGATGTAAGCAACAAGTATGATATGTGTCAGATTTCTTTCGGGAAAATGGCCTCAAATTTCATTGTTGCCCTGAGCGGCCGGGGGGTTCATTTGGACCCCCCAAAGCCCCTCATTTGGACCCCCCCCATTTTAGGGGGCGAGAGGGAGGCGAGAGGGGGCGAGAGGGGGGGTCCAAACGAGTGGCTTTGGGATAGGGGGGCGAGATGGGGCGAGAGGGGGCGAGAGTGGGTGGGAGGGGGCGAGAGGGGGGCAAGAGGGGGACAGAGGGTCAGAGGAAATTTCTCATGGGATACGACCCTTTAGGGTGGGGGGGGGGGGAACATTCATGGAATCAGGAAGAACTGTTAGTCATAACCAGGCCGGTTATAGATCATCATTTTCCCAATTATTTTCCCATTCTATCCCATCAAAAACCACTAGTTTTGATGGTTGATACTATACCACTATACATGCTATTAAGTTCGGTAAACCATCCATAAATGGACCATTTTCCATGGCGAACTGTTAGTCATAACCAGGCCGGGTATAGATCATCATTTTCTGGGAATATCCATGGAGATATGACATCAAAAGCCACTAGTTTTGATGGTTGATACTATACCACTATACATGCATATTAAGTTCGGTAAACCATCCATAAATGGACCATCTATACCATGGCGAACTGTTAGTCATAACCAGGCCGGGTATAGATCATCATTTTCCCAATTATTTTCCCATTGATGGTTGATACTATACCACTATACATGCTATTAAGTTCGGTAAACCATCCATAAATGGACCATTTTCCATGGCGAACTGGTAGTCATAACCAGGCCGGGTTTTCTGGGAATATTTTCTGGGAATATCCATGGAGATGTGACTACCACTTTGATCATGATCCAACAAGTTGGAGATTGCTTATATAAACATCCATCCAACATGATGGGACCCATGGAGCTGATGGTGAAAAACCTCATATATTTATATAAGAGTTTTTGTTGCCCTTAAAAAACCTGGCTAAACTGTTTGATTTATGGTTATGGTGGATATTATATATGTAATATCTGTACATCTATACTATCTGATGTGGTTGTACGCCCTAAATTATGTATGATAACTTAGTGTATACTGTAAAGACTATTTGTATATCATACTTAGTGTACAAAGCCTATATATTATAGTTAGCCACTATAAATTGTACTTAGTCACTACTGAAGTTTAGAATTGCACGTGGGTGTGGCGCGAAGCATGTCATTTCCAAGTCAAAATGTATAAAACACCTCAGCTTCGGAGCACTTTTAGAAGTTGCGATGTCGAAAAAGTGCACGCCGTTGTGGCGCGAAGCACATTTCCAAGTCAAAATGTACAAAGCACAACAGCTTCGGACCACTTTTGGAAGTTGAGATGTCGAAAAAGTGCACGCTTTGTGGCGCGAAGCACATTTCGAAGTCAAAAGTGTAAAAAACTGACGGGTACGGAGCACTTTTCGACATTGAGATGTCGAAAAAGTGCACGCCGTTGTGGCGCAAAGCACATTTCGAAGTCAAAATGTTAAAACCACCAGGGCTTGGGACCACTTTTGGAGGTTCAGATGTCGTTTCGCGTGGAAGGCGCAAGGGATTGTGCACCTTGTCAAACGTGAGCAAAATGTGCGGCTTTTGTAGCATTTCCAAAAAGGATGGCAGGAGTGGGACATTTGAAGAGGATCTGCAAAGATGCATTTTCCGTGGCAGGCGCAGTACCCAAGACATGTTCATCAGAGATGTTAGGAGGTCAAGGCGCTGATTTCCTGAGAGGGGTTGCATTTTGGAGCATCGGATCTGTAGGTTTGCTAAGATGATTTTGCGTGACAGGTGCAGCACTTCGTATGACCTGGCATCAATTTTTCGTGGCAGGCGCAGTACTTTAGACAGGTGGAGTGGAAAAATCACAAAACGCATTGGTACGAGGCTGTCAGCGCTGCACTCAACTTTCCATTTTTGAAGGAAGTCTCGCAGAATTGCTTGGTTTTTGATGTTGTCAAGCTCAAAAATTGAAGAAGTCTCGCAGAATTGCTTCGTTTTGGATGTTGTCAAGTTCAAAAAATGAAGAAGTCTGGCAGAATTGTTTCGTTTTTGACGTTGTTTAGTTCAAACATTGAGGAAGTCTCGCAGAATAGCTTCGTTTTCAAGCTTGCAGATAGACAGATAGACAGACAGACAGAGAGAGATAGAGAGATAGAGAGATAGAGAGATAGAGAGATAGATAGATAGATAGATGGATGGATGGATAGATAGATAGATAGGTAGGTAGGTAGGTAGATAGGTAGATAGATAGATAGGTAGGTAGATAGATAGATAGATAGATACATAGATACATAGATAGGTAGGTAGGTAGATAGATAGGTAGGTAGGTAGGTAGATAGTCAGAGAAAGAGAAAGAAAGAGAGAGAAAGAGAGAGAAAGAGAGGAGACCTCAACCACCTGTCCATCAGTGGCTTCGCTCTGCCATCCGTGATTCACAACAACCAACTTCTCCTATAGGTTTCCTATTTCTGAAACTTCCGCCACCGCCTTGTTTGATCAGTAGAAATCATGGGCGAAAATCATTTTCAATCGTCATCTATACCAAAGGGGATACTTCCGATCATGATGTCGAACCAACTCTTGGCGAGTCATTCCTGTGGGTGGCTCAACTGTCAAATGTCACGCACAGCTTCAAAATCCCAATTGGCTGCATGCTGCTGCCGCTGTGCATCGGCTCCTTTAGCACCTTGACGGAGCGCCCGGGGGCCTCCAAACAAAGCAAAACGAAAATTCACTGTGACAAGCAAGCCATAGAACAGAGCATGCCAAGAATCGACCATGGCATTTAACAAATTATATCAGAGAACAGGCTATCCATGCAAATTCACTGCAAGACTGCACTGCAACCATACACTCCGACTTCGCGCAGCGGTACTACTGGTAGTCACTATAAATGATAGTGAATATATGTTAACCTACATGTAGTTTTTCTCTGGGGTTCTAAACAGTTCCAGCTTGGAGGCCCTCTTCACCATGTACACCTCCATCGTGGGGCAGCGTCAGGTGGGGATGATTCACGTCGTTTTGATGTGGGGATGGGTGAAAACCTATGACCTAGGTCAATCTTAGATGGGTACTTTAATCCTTTAGTCTTTTGGTATTAATGGGAATATCTACGTTCACCAGCAAAGAATATAATTTGTTGCAGGGTATCTGGCTCATTGGCAATGTGACATGAACCTGTTTTTATCCATATTTGGGGGCATAGCTGCATAGCTCTCCATTCACCAGCTATGATTTCCGGGTAGCGTTTGGGTACCGTAAAAGGGTTTTCGACGATGTTGACATGCTCCACTGTAGGGGCCCTACCCACATGTAGCGGCGGAACCCTGAGATGGATCTTCCGTTGCGCTGTTTGATGACCGGAGGGTAATACGTATTTTTGTGGCCTGGAAAATCACTTGGTCAAAAATGGATCCCGAAATTTTGGGTACTCATAGAATATTAGTGGAATGAGAGAATGATTCTTGCTCAATTTGTATCTCTGTGTTTGAAACGCTGAAGTTGCCCGATCTGGGCATTTTTCTCCAGATTTGTATCTACGTGGTTCCAAAGATTTGCCTGCCTGACTTCAAGATTCCCAGAATACCAAAAAACAATTTCCAGAAACATTTTCAGATTGTGGTTTCTTATTCTTTCTTTACTTCAGAATTCCCAGAAACCCTGCTTAGTATGGGATTCGTCAAGATTGTGGTGCTCACGGGTGCTTCCCACTTTTGATGCCAGGACGAGATTGAGCTGTGCTGCTACGCCCGGACATCTCAGTTCTCCCGGTTCGCTTTGTTTGAAAATGGGTTAGTTAGGTCACGGTAAATTCCCAAGTTGCCGTTGTGATAGGACATCACATTGGGGGATGAGTTTATGTTGATCATTTTTTTGGGGTTGATGTCACATTTGATTACATCAATCATACCCTAACCATCAAATTTAATCAACATCATACCCTAAGCACATCTAAGCATCAAAATTTGGGGATGTGTTCAATTTTAAGACAAACCCAAAGTGCCATTTAGTTGGTTTCAAATAATTATATATTGTATGTTATCGTATTGTAAATTATATGCCATTGTCCCAAACAATGGGATGTCCATCCCCACATTGGTGGATGGATTGAACCAACAAACAGTATGCAATATGGAGGTTGTTTGTGAATAGGTTGCCACAGAAATTTCATGCGTTGCCTTTACATAACCCCATTGACATTGATACTCATAGGCTGTTCCTCACTGGAATGGACCCATGTGTGAACAGTGTGTGGCATTCCTCGGACTTGGCCATGGCTGGGTATTCCCCATCAAGTAGGAGTCATAATTTCCCAGAATTCAATGGCCATGCAACAGGAACCGATTGATTGGAGGTACCTACCATAGAAACAATGCCTATTTTTCAGGCCTAAATTTCAGGGAATATCCCCACAAAATATGGCCAACAATATGGTACAGTACCTCCATTTTAGGATCCTGGAGATCTCCCATTGATACATTGCCCCCTGGTAAACTAACAGTTCACCTGCTGTGGTGAAGCCCAATCGGACGGAGACCGATTGGTAGCTGACCACCATGGGGTGGTCCACAGCACATTGCAGTGCAAAGAGCTGACAGCAGTTCGTAAAGACTTTTGGGCCGCAACGTTTTTTGATATGGTTGTATCTCTGGAGCGGCATATGGATGCCGATGGAGAAACCTTTTACCATAGCGCACATGCCGAGTTGTGCCAAAAGAGTGCGTGGTCTGTCCAAGAGGGGTGTGAAAAGTATGTACTCCTTGGATCTAGGTCCAATACGTATGGATATATGTGCAGACAATTGCCACTGTAATAGTGGGCATGGTGATTTTCCATAGTTACGTTAGTTTACCAGAGGGTACCCGTGTATGTAGGGCAGTAATTTTTCACTTTTTAACGTTGTAGGGAAATGGGTAATGTAATTCTGGGAAATTCTGTTTTTTTTTAATGATACGCCGGTGTAATTACAATTACAACTATTAAACAACCTTCCACTGATCATGTAAGATAAGCCCTAAAATGATCCAACACTTGACAACACTAGATACATTACTGGTTGGTGGTTTGGAACATGGCTGGATTATGACTTTCCCATCATATTGGGAATTTCATAACCCCAACTGACTTTCATATTTTTCAGAGGGGTTGGGTCAACCACCAACCAGATTATAGTGACCTCACTGTGGCCGAAGCCTGGAATCATGGTGAGGATTCCGGGAATCGTCCCAAGAAGTCAGTTCTTCAGGTTAGTGAATCATTTTCAGCCATTTCTCAAACATCTTTTTTTGTAACTTTAGTTCCAATATTTTTTAATGGAGACATTATTTTGTCATTTTCCCTCCTAAAATGATTGAACACATGGATTCTGAGATATTTTTTTCATTTTCCCTCTGAAAATGATTCAACAATGGTATATCGAACATGAAATCCCATGGTAAAGATTTCAGCCATGGGATACCATGGATATTTCATACTGGTTGGTGGTTTCAAACATTTTTTATTTTCCATTTCATATATGGGTTGTCATCCTGAACCCATTGACGAACTCATATTTTTCAAGATGGCTATTGCACCACCAACCAGATCCCCATTGTATAGATGATTTGTGTCTGGATATGAGGCATATATATATATTATATCATGGATTATCATGGAAGAAAACCCCAATACATGGCCATTTAAGAAGGACAATGATCTGGTTGGTGGTTTGGAACATGGCTTTTATGTTTCCATTCAGTTGGGAATAATCATCACCCCAACTGACTATATAATATTTTTCAGAGGGGTAGGTACACCACCAACCAGTATATGATGGTTGATATTTCTATGGGATCTCCTTTCAAACAAAATCATATATCAATCGGTGCCGCGACCTGAGGAAGGCGAGCCCCCTGAGAATCCGGCCACCGTCTTCCAGGCGGCGACGGTCTTTCGGGATATTTGCCGCCTGGCAAATGAGAAAATGACCTGTAAATATATGTATATATATATAAATCTGGTTGGTGGTTTGGAACATTTTTTATTTTTCCACATATTGGGAATAATAATCCCAACTGACTCATATTTTTCAGAAGGGTTGAAACCACCAACCATATATATATATATATACACATGATATTATATAATCCAATGGATGGGTAGAAACTAATCCTGCAATTTCTCTTTTTGGTATGGGAATACAGTATCTACACTCTGGTAAACAAACATAGCTATTGAAAATGGCCCATTTATGGTTGATTTACCCATTGATAGCATGGTGATTTTCCATAGTTATGTAGCCGTTTACCAGAGGGTATATATAATATTATATAATCCAATTTGCCAATGACTTTTATGTTTGTTGGGGATACCTCGATTTATGTAGGATTTGCATGTTTCAAAGATTGGCAGCCATGAAAATCCTACATCAGTCTCGAGGTTCGAACGGGAAAAATCAACTATATGATACTATATATAGATGGGTGATGCAATCCATATTGCTATGTTTGATTATAGGAAATAGTTTACCAACCAGCCATGGATTTGATGTGGAAAAGACAGAGATAGCAAATGTGTCCAAAAAGACACGTTGTCCGCCAGCAACGCCGAAATCATATTCACAATTTCCCTGATTAGGGTTTGTTTGATGGTTTTTGGTCAAAACTGTTGATATAACTATGTATATATATACACATTATATATAATGGGTATTTGATGAACCAACCATGATGGGGAAAAAACAAGGAGATATAACCATACATTCATTACACTACTGGGGAACATCATAGAACATCATCCCCCCATTGAGGCCAGAATTTCGGGGTAAAGACTGGTGAAGATGGTAAAAACATTGGGCTGATGTGTTGGCCTGCCAACCATGAATCTTGGTTGGCTATGAAACATAGGATAGTAAAGATCATCTTAGATGAAAGCTGGCTGAGACAGGTTTAATTGTTTAATTCTTACTACTAAACGTGGACTGTATAGGAGCCTCGCGGCGAGGCTTTTGGCTCAGTGAGAACTCTGCTGCTTCATTCTGTCCTTATCCACACCGGCTCTTGAAGCATGCAGCCGTCCTGTTGCCACAGCTGTGCTGATGGATTGCTCTGCAGGGCCGGCCAAGGGGACAGAGAGAGCCTGCGCTGAGCCGGGAAGTTCGGAGGGCATTGCAGGGATGCGGAGCAAATGCGTGTTCTTCCAATCTCTTCCCCTGGAAGGGCCACAAATTTCAATTTCCATTCACTTTCCATCGCGTAGCCCATCACTTTCTTCACCCATTCACCTAGGACTTACTGGTGCTTAGGGAATTGAGAGAATGATCCAATCCATAACCAACCATCATCCAAAATCATCTCATTAAAAAAACAAAATATTCGAATTTCCAACAATCATCTATAAACATCATCTAAACCATCATCTATAACTACCGTCTATAACCTATCCATAACCAACCATCATCCCATTCCTTTCGCGGCTCACCGTTGCTCAAACCACGCAGGTGCCGTATCGCCTGCAAGGGCTCCGCGCTGTGCTTCAAAGCGAGTGGGATCAAGAGGCGAAATGGATCCAATTTTGATCCAATCAAGTGGATGGGTAGTGGATTTATATTTGATTTATAGTGGATGTATGGTGTGTCTAGCAATATAACAATATAGAATGGTTGATGGGAATACAATGGGATAACAACTAGGTCAATCAACTGGATGGGTAGAAATTAGTGAGACTATAGTTCAATATAGTTCATTTATCAAAGCTAGATAATTTACTATGGTCCATGGGACTATAGTTAAATTACCATGGTCAATCAACTGGATGGGTAGAAACTAACCCTGCTATGTCTTTTGGTATGGGAATATCTACGTTCATCAGCTGAGAATTTGTCATTGTCCGCAGAGTAAGACTGGCTGATTGGCACTGTTTTGATCCAATGTCGGGAAGAGTTCAGTTGGACTTCGCCAAGAAAAATCATGGGTTTACCCTCTGGTAAACGTCTACATAGCTATGGAAAATCACCATTTTTCATGGGAAAATCAACTATACATGGCCATGTTCAATAGCTATTTTGACATATCCAGAGGGTACTGTAATTTATCCAACTTCAAATACTTCAATCCAATGTCAAATGGGATAGTCAATATATCTGGGTTAATTGTAACGACCTCACTGTTCTCCCTCACTGGAAATCCTGGTTAATAAGGGAAATCATCCCCGAATGGCCCAACAATTCAGGTTGGTGAAATATTATAATTTGCCCATATATATATAAATATATATATATATACTCATGATTTTGGGATTTGGGGATGAATAAGCCATAGTGACCTATGTAATCTGCGTAACCTGATAAATAAAAATATATATATAGATAGTCAATATATGTTCATAGCCCAATTGGAATAGTTTTCCAGGGGTCATTTTCTTGGTGGCAATCCACCTGAGCTGGTGCTCCTGACGTGTCGGCGCCGAAGCAGCAAAGGGCGAAACTGTTGATGTTTCCGTTGGGTCCAACAGGATGTTTCTTTTCCAAAGTCGCTTGATATCAGTGTTCAACAGTTGATGTATAATTTTTCCAGGTTTCTTTTCCTAGATTCTATATAGATGTCCATCTTGGAGTGTGGTGGAACTATGTGGCAATGATACAAAAAGACGCAGTCACTGGATCAATTTCTTATGGCATTCAGCATCAATATATTCCATAACCACTCATTGATGATTATATGAATTATATATCTGGTTGGTGGTGACTGGAACATGTTTTATGACTTTCCATATATTGAGAAGAATAATCCCAACTGACGAACTCATATTTTTCAGAGGGGTAGGTATACCACCAACCAGATATTGAATTATGCCACGTATTGAATTATTCAGTGGTAGCTTTTCCCATAACCCCTCGTGGAGGTCTGGACGTGGTCACCGGTCATCCTGCTAGAATCTAGGGTAGGATTGAGTCAAAGTTTTATGTGGACGAACTTTTTGTATACCATCTGGTTATGACTAACATAGCTAACTGGAAAATCACCATGCTATTAATAGGTAAACCATCTATAAATGGGCCATTTTCCATGGCTATGTTAAATAACCAGATGGTATATTAAATGGGCTTAACTATTTGTTATCATCCCAATTATCCATAACCCAAAGTATAGGTTCTTGAATTTTGATTCAATCTCCGATGTGTTTTTTTTTGACATCCCAGTACGCAACCATTTGAGGTCTATGAATTATTGCAAATAGATTTTGTATACCCGATAATCATAAAGAAGAACTTTGGGATACAATTGAACGGTATATATTACTGTAAACATTAATAATCATTAATGGTATATTTTATTGGGATGCCATCGTACACATCATCAATAAACATGGGGTGTGTGTGTGTGTACGACATGATGATTTTGTTTCTGGGGCTTGATTTTCCCAATATCTATTAATCCCATCACCCATTCATATGAAACACCCCATTTCTATGGTCCCAACAGAATGTGGAAATTCCCCACATCCACCATAGTTTCGTTTGGGGGGTGTTTAATATGAACGGGGGAAGGGTTTTCGCCGTGGGTTTACCACGTTGCCAGTGCTCCCATGATTGTTGATCTGGTTGGTGGTTTGCACCATTTTTCGTATGGCATTCAGCATCAATATATAAAATTAACCACTCATTGATGATTATATGAATTATATATCTGGTTGGTGGTGACTGGAACATGTTTTATGACTTTCCATATATTGGGAAGAATAATCCCAACTGACGAACTCATATTTTTCAGAGGGGTAGGTATACCACCAACCAGTGATACTCCCAAGTTTGCCAAGTCTGCCCTAAAATGCCTCCGGTAACCCCACATAGCTATTGGAAATGGCCCATAGAAATAGTTGATCTACATATTAAAAGTGATGATTTTCCATAGTTATGGCTTATCCACTCAAAGAAATCTACAGAGGGTATCTATTTTTAAACATAACTTCTATTATCTACATACTTTATTTAGTATTTCGTATCTACATATTTTACGTATTATTTATAGTTTACCAGAGGGTATCCACTCAAAGAAATGGCGCTTGCCGCCACCCAACAGCTGCTTTCAGGCTTTCAACTTTCCCATTGCCTCCAGCATGAAGACCAGGACGCCGAACTGGGAGTTGAACAGGACTGATAGCCTTTGGTAAACTAAGATTCGCCATGGAAAAGTCACCCATTTCCAGGTTTTTTATTGGTAAACCATGGAAAAATCAGCATGTTCTCATATGTTCTTTTTTTATAGGTACCCTGTGGTTATTTAACATAGCTATGGAAAATGACCCATTTACAGATGATTTCTCATTAAACCCTCCATTTATAATGGATTTTCCATAGCTATGTTAAATAACCAGAGGGTACATCAACTAGACATGGCCATGTCATGTTCGATAAATGAAACACTACCGGAGGGTAAGCCTCTGGTTGATGAAAAACCTCCACGGACGGCAAACTCCTGTAGTATGGGATGTTAATGGGAAACGCAACGGGTATGCGGTGCCATTATTGGTAAGGATATGTAAGGAACCTTAAAAAGGTCATAGACCATGGTACGATTCCAAAACGTCTTCAGAACCAAGAACAGTAGAAATTTTTGACTGATAACAGCTTTGGGAGCCGAGGAGTAATCCACCCAAACCCCAGAATTGTGAAGACAAATTATGACTGAAAAGGGGATGCAACCGGTAGAATCCCCAACAACAATGGGAAAACACTCGTAATGAAAAAACATATGTACTTGATTGTACTTGGTGAGTTTCAGAAAGTTGACTGCCCTCAGTGAGCATTTCAATGTCAGAAGAATCACCAAACATGTCATCTTGGTAATTTGCTTCCATGATTGTTCGTTACCTTTCTATGGCATCTATGGGTGGTTAATTATCACCACATCACCCGGAATTAGGTTCAGGGACAGTTTACAGGAGACACCTGATTTAGCTGCTAAAGTCATCATGTTTCTTGAAGATGTTCCCCAACCATGTGACACCAGAAATTGTTGATTCATGTCATGGTTTATCGTACAAATTTACTTTCTGTGATTGCTTGTTAACACCAGCTTTCCTTTTCGCGTTGTTATCGAATAAACGTCTCCTTAGCATTTCATGTTTGTTGGTGAACACATGCATATTAAAACACCATAATTGTTGGTTAATCTCTTCATTATTCCATAATTTAGGTCACGACTCTTATACCACCATGGATCCAAATGCTTCCTGAGAATATACTTGACCATACATATATCTATATATACATAATATGTATACGTATATACTGTACATATATTCTGTATATATTTATATGTAACACAATCACACCCCACACATTTCCTCAGAAGGTACAGCTGGATCCATAGGTGGCAACATATCCCATATCGCCTCCTCCCTATGATTCCACAATATTCAACAGATTTTTTCATTGCTGTTTGATACTTTTCTTGCTTGATATCCCTATATTATCATTCCATTTCCATTCAGAAAATATTTTTTTGTCAATAGCCTTCAGCCATAGCAACAATGGTATATCATAACAATGCTATCTATTATTTCATTCCTCCATTTGTGATATTCCTGGCAGTGATTACTGTCCCACGAAACTTTGAAAGTTCCAAGTGTTTTTTAAAACTGTTTATTAAGAACTACTACTATAGGTCAATCAACTGGATAGGTAGAAACTAATCCTGCTATGTCTTTTGGTATGGGATTATCTACGTTCACCCGCTAAGAATTTTTCGCTTTTTTGCAGGGTATCTAAGATTGGCCATGATTATACGAAATAGTATCAATATTACTAGATGTTTCCTAAAATACGGGTACCTCCAAATCATGAATTCCATTATAAACCACCCAGCTGGGGTATCCCCATTTATGGACACCTCCATATATATATATAATTGATTGCAATATTTAGTTCAATATAGTGGAGATTAGAATTACACTACTATCAAGATTTATCAATATACATATATATATATATACAATTTTAATATATATATATATTTCAATATAGTTGTCATTATAATTACTATCAAGATATATCACCCATAAAGCGAGCAGTTTCTAAAAGACTGCAGGCTCGATGAGCAGCACCTGGTGACGGTCACCTTCATGGTAGCGGATGTCATCGAGCTGCCACCACAGGCGACTGGACAGGACGAGATGTCGATCTATGTGTATGAAGATGTCGATCCATGTACCCTCTGGTAAACTAACATAGCTATGGAAAATGACAATGTTTAATGGGAAAACTCACTATAGATGGCCATTTTCAATAGCTATGTTAAATTACCAGAGGGTACTTTGGTAAACTAACATAGCTATGGAAAATGACAATGTTTAATGGGAAAACTCACTATAGATGGCCATTTTCAATAGCTATGTTAAATTACCAGAGGGTACTTGAACAGTATTGATAGTCAATATTAGTCAATCTATGTGTGTGATGAAATATATGAAATGATATACATATACAAACAAGATGTGTATGTATATATATATGGGGGTTTCCATGAAAGGGGGTACCCCTGAATCATCAAGTTTAATGGGACTTTCCCTTCTAAACCAGCCATACTTCGGGTAAAACCAAAAAGATCATGGATCTTTGAAGCAGCCGAGATGGCTTCAGACTGCACAACCTGCAGCTCCTGAAAGCACATCGCACAGGCAGTGTCACAACCAGGGCCATGATATAGATAGATAGATAGATAGATAGATAGATAGGTAGGTAGGTAGGTAGGTAGGTAGATAGGTAGATAGGTAGATAGGTAGATAGGTAGATAGATAGATAGACAGACAAATAGATAGACAGACAAATAAACAGATAGATAGATGGATGGATGGATAGATAGATAGATAGATAACTAGATACATAGACAAATATATATAAATATATCTATATAAATAGAATATATATATATAAATAGATAGATATTAGATAGATACGTGATATATATATATACATGTATTTCTTGAGACTACTTTCATGTTTTGCCCATCTTTGCTCCTTCAAAACTAGAGGATTTCCATGCCGGCAGTGAATTTGAGATAGTGGATCAACCATCCCGCCATCCGAAGATTGGAATCTGTGCTCGTATAGCAACTAGACAATACTAGACATGGATTTGTTTTGTGTTTTTTTGATATCCACAAGTAATGGGATTTGATGAGATTTCTATGAGATAATTGGTATATTAAGGGAATTTAATGGTTTAATCACCAAACGCTATAGGAATACTAATCCCTGGGAATACGAAAAAAATGGTAAATGTTCATGGGATTTTACAACTATAAATGCTGATTTGATGTGATTTGCCCTCTGGCAATTTGTTACATAGCTATTGAAAATGTACTATTTATAGTTGATTTACCTATTCAAAATGGTGATTTTCAATAGCTATGTTAGTTTACCAGAGGGTAAGACTAAATTCAATTTAAGACTCAAATTAAGACATCAACTCATGTCAATTTTGAAGTCCATTTCAATGACGGCACTTCCCTTTTGTGAGACATGTAGATGATTTTTGTGAACAACTTCGGCAGAATTCAGTGCCCCCTTTGGACATGGACTCAAAATCCCTAGCGACGTGCAGGCGACCCAAATGGTCATGATCGTTCGAGCACCAGTGGGTTACTCCGTGTCAAGCTCGGATCGGGCGAGATGGATGCGGCTTGGAGTAGGCCGAGTTGGCACGTCGGAGTAGATATTTCTATCCATACTACTGGTATGGGAGATATACTTTGGTGATTTTTGTTTAATTTTCTGAAAAAAGTATGGTCGCACTTGGTTTTTTGACGTATTATATGATTGGTGGATTTGGCGAGGATACAATCAGAACAAATCAGTTTATGTGGATATTTGGTGAGATTAGTGGGATATGTATACAATTGATGAATTGTAGCATCAACATGACATTTATTTGGCTTTGTCCAGAAATGTGGTGTATCCCAATATTTGAATTCACTGGGGAAAATGATGAAATTCGGAATTGCGGGTGCCCAATTTTCAGGCAAATCTGCATATTGTGGTATCATTTTTTCTCTACTGGTAGTGTATATCCAGGTGGTAGATCCAAGCATCCGCTAAACCGGGGGTGGAGTAGCTTCTCCGGAAGTGTTTGGATCAATGATCCACGCTTAGATGTGCATTGTTTTTTTCGTAGTTCATAAGCACAATATCTCCTAGGATATTCAGGGATATTTGTATGGGTATCTCCTTTGTATCTCCCAGGAATTTCGAAAAAAAGGGGATCAAAACCCACTTCCAAAGCTGGGCACATCCAGTTGTTACCCTCCTGGTAAACTAACATAACTATGGAAAGATCCACCATTTTTCATGGGAAATTCCACTATTTCGACTGGGCCATTTTCAATAGCAAACTGTAGACATCACCAGAAACTGAGATCATCCTCTCGGACGACTTGATGGACGTCCGCGACAGCTCCTTCCTGGTGGAGGACGCCAGTGGACACGGAAAAGAAACATATCTGGTTGGTGGTGCAATAACGATGGTTTTTATTGTGGCTAATAGTGGTGCAATGTGCCCATGCTTTTTATTGTGATTAATAGTGGTTAATAGTGGTGCAATGTGCCCATGGTTAATAGTGATTAATAGTGGTCAATAGTGGTTATTAGTGATTAATACCTGATCTAATGAATAATATATCTGGTTGGTGCCGACTGGAACATGGATGGATTATTTTCCATATGATCTGGGTTGTCATCCTGAACCCATTGACGAACTCCATCATTTTTCAAGATGGTTAAAACATGTAAAAACTACCAACCAGATATTGCAATCAACAAGATTAATATTAAACAGATGTTTCTATCATGATTCCATTGCATTTGGATCAACATATTGGATTAAGTTGTCTTCCAAAGCCCAATCTGCTTGGTGCTTTGGAACATGAATTTTATGACTTTCCAGATATTGGGAATAATCAGCCCAGCTGACGATTTTTCAGAGGGGTATGTATACCACCAACCAGTCATTGATGATCCAATTAAACAAATTGAACGTACATAGATTAATTATAAAAATACATAGGTTAGCCAAGAATTCAAGTCCTTGACGACAATTTAAGGCCACCTTTTTGATAACGATGTGTCGGGGCTCGGTGCTTGGATGATCATTTCCCCTGCAATGGCTGACGGCGTGGTTAAAACCCAACTTGGGACAGCTGGACCATGGCAACTGTGGGAGTTCTTCCCAGTACCATTAGCCCATTATTAGCTAGATCAATTTTGTACTTTAATCCTAACTAGTCTTTTGGTATGGGATTATCTACGTTCACCAGCTAAGAATTTGTCATCTTTGCAGGGTATCTAAGACTGGCACTGTTAGATAATGTTACCCTCTGGTAAACTAACATAGCTATTGAAAATGGCCATAGAAATAGTGGATTTACCCATTAAAAATAGTGATTTTCCATAGCTATGTAAACGTTTACCAGGCCGGGTACTAAAGCAATGCCATAACCGCCGGTGGTTCTACTGATTTTCCGGTTGGATCTGAGGATCAAGCTGGCTGACGTAAAATACATTGATTTGCTGATCGCTTATTCTGGTTGGTGGTTTGGAACATGGCTTTTATTCTTCCATATATTGGGCATAATAATCCCAACTGACTTTCATATTTTTCAGAGGGGTAGGTATACGACCAACAAGTATTTCTTTTTTATGATTTTTCCTGGGAAATTCATTTCATCCAACTGAGGAATCGATGAAGGGAATATGTTTTTGCTATTTTTTTTTTGATCAGAAAATATACAAAAATAATCAAAAATATATTCCCTTCATAGATTTTCCAAGGGGTTCCAGATCAGCAAATCCCAGAAGACCTCATGTATTTCTTTAGTGGACATCGGCAGTGGATCTTTCATGAAAAGCGTGAGGCCAAAGAAGGACCATGCAATGGAAAGGGGGTAAATCCGTGTATATCCAGGATATCAAATATATAATACATATATTATGATAATATATCCCACTCTATCCCAGTTTTTATACTCCATTCCACCCCAGTAAATACCCCATTCTATCCCAACAAATATCCCAGTAGCAAATATAAGATTATATCCCAGTAAGTATCCCAAAATACATCTAGTACCCTCTGGTAAACGTTTACGTAACGAACTGGAAAATCACCATGCTTTTCATGGGAAAACTCACTATTTCTATGACCATTTTCAATAGCAAACTGTTGACATAACCAGGCCGGGTCTTCCCCAGCCAGAGATCTCGAAACCTTGGAGGGAAATCTTGGGGGAACCTCATCGGACTACCTTTTTGAAATACGTGTCGGCATCGGCATCTGGGGCTTACTATGTATAAATGTCATGGGAAATCCCCTATAAATCCCATCTAAATCCAGTATATATATAATGCATTATATCCGTCACAAATCCCCTATATAATCCATTATATCCATCAGAACTCCCCTGTAAATCCAGTATATCCACCACAAATCCCCTATATAATCCATTATATCCATCATAATTTTCCCTATATCAATCTATATAATCTGGTTGGTGGTTTGGAACATTTTTATTTTTTCCATATATTGAGAACAATCATCCCAACTGACGAGCTCATATTCTTCAGAGGGGTAGGTATACCACCAACAAGATTATATCATCCATTCTATTCCATGTATTCTTTATAATCCATTATATTTCCTATATATCCATTAATCCCTTCCCCTGTTCATATTAAACTCCCCCTAAAACGAAACCACGGTTTAGTAGGGAATTTCCACATTCCATTGGGACCATAGAAATGGAATGTTTAATTTTAATGGGTGATGGGATTATATAAATCCATTGGAGTGAACTATTCATTATATCCATATTATCTATTTATATGTCCATATATATATATTCAGTATATCTATTATATCTATTATATTATATCTATTCAGTATATTCATTATCTATCTATCTATATATATATATTTATTATATGCATATAATCCATTGTATTTCCTATATATCCAGTGTCCATCCCCCAGCGAAAGGACCTCACTGCCACCAATGGAGAGGGTCACTGGGCAGCCCGGAGAGGCCGCCCATATAGTGGTCGTATATGGGGAGTTTCATGGGAGTTCCATGGTGAAGCCCTTTTTGTTTAGCCCATAATTATATATATAGTACAATGTACTATAATATCAGATGATATGATATGAATTGAAATGATGTAATATAACACAATATGATGACATTCGATATATATATATATATATTAATGATAATGTAATATTATAATATGATATAGTATAATATGATATGAAATGATATGATATGACATGATATGATATTGGTTGATTTAATTTAATATAACATAATATAATAAAATGAACATAAAACAATAATGTAATATAATAGAATATAATAATATGATGTAATATGATGTGAAATTATATGATATTAGTTGATTTAATATAATATAACATAATATGATAAATTGATCAGAAAACAATAATGTAATATAATAGAATATAATTTTGATATGATATGAAATGGTATGATATTAGTTGATTTAATATAATACAACATAATATAATAAAATGAACAAAACAGTAGTGTAATATAATATCAAATATAATATATATAACATATTATGATATAGTATAACATAACATAATATATTTTGATATAGTATATTATATTATAATATAATATACTATAATATAATGTAATATGTTTTAGTATAACATAATATATTATAATATAATAGAATATATTATAATATAATATAATATGTTATAACACAATATGATATAATACAATATAATTTAATAATACAATATAATACAATATAACATAATATAATACACTATAGTATATTATATATTATATATATTTCTTGGGGCTATAACCAATTACTTCTATTTCAGCGTTGTCATCAAGTGTGGCCGCTGGGAGTTCCTCCCAATTCCCATTGTAATCCATGTTTTCTGGGGCTATGTATTTGTAATTTTGTGGGGAGGATCATATGAATTACATTCCACGTATATATATATATATATTCCATATGATAAAATATCCCATCATGTCACCATGTTATAGCTACTATCCGAATGTAGTTTAAATTACATATCCACCAATTTTTCGATGTCTTTGTAGTTTGTCAAGAAAAACATCAAGCGCTTTTTTCAGAACAGAAAAATTCCCCAGGGTGAACTCGTGGAGACCAGGGGATCAAAAATCAATGGCCATGCTGGCCAGGAACCGATTGAGGACGGAGCTACCGATTCCATAGAAAAGAGGCCTATATTTCAGGCCTAAATTTCAGGGGATATACCCACAAAATATGGCCAACAATATGGTACTAACGTACCTCCAATTTAGGATCCTGGAATTCCCATTGGTAACAGGTTGCTATTGAAGCCATGGCCCAGTCGAAATAGTGGATTTACCCAAAATGGTGGATCTTTCCAGTTCATTATGTAGACGTTTACCAGGCCGGGTAGATTGTCTGACGTGGGGAATGTCATCCATGGCCACCATTCTGAATGTGTATGGCTATCATTCTGTGAAATCTACCCTCTGGTAAACATACAAAAAGCTATTGAAAATGGCCATAGAAATAGTGAGTTTTCCCATTAATAGCATGGTGATTTTCCAGTTCGCTATGTAAACGTTTACCAGGCCGAGTATTGACAAATCGAGCAGAATGGCAATTTCATGGGCAGAGCCCGTCAGACTCCCATTTTCAGACTCCCACGTATGTCTCAAAGATGTCCCATATGATTTGAGTAATTTTTTGTCATTGTGTCATCAATTAAAGTCATGATTTTACAGATGTTTCATCATGTATGGGATATATATGGATATATGATATATGTGGTGATTTTGTTTCAATAGTTCTCATGATTTTCCCAAATATGTCCTCAAATGGTTCACCATGTGTTGCCCATGGGTTTCCCAAATATGTCCCAAATGTTTCTCATTTTTTCCCATGTTTTAAGATCCAACTCTTTCGCACATCTTTTCCACTTTGTACTTTGTTTCCAGTGTTTTCCACATATGTTCCAACATGTTTCCCATTGAAGTCTTTCCCAATGTTCTTACATACCCATGATATTTGAAATTCTCTATTTTTTCAGCACACCCAACTAGAGGGCGTTACGACTTTCTGGAGATCAACGTAGCTTTTTAGCCGGAAGACTCTTGGGATTCTCCGACCACGCCAAGCAACGACCACACGACCAAGGTCTCCGCATGCGCAGTCTGCCCTTCATCTTGGACTTGGAAGAGAGCAACGAGCGCAAGGCGTTGAGTGGATTGCTCTCTGGTAAACCAACAGTCTGCGAACTTGAACATCGCCAATTTATAGCTGATTTACATAGTAAAATGGTGATTTTCCATAGTTATATAAACGTTTACCAGAGGGTAAGTGAGGACTTTTTTTGTGGACGAGGGAAAAGTTTGAACCCAAAAATGAATGAAGCCAAACATTACATGATATGTTGAAACCAGCAACTGTGTAGTCAAAAATGTTCAATTCACCTGCTGAATTGGCCCCCAATAGGATTCACTCATTTTGTTTCATTGAGGCATTAGCGATAATGAAGTTGTCTTTAGTGAGGTACTGCCTACACGGGTCAAAAATGGAGATACCAATGGATCCACAGACTAAAAATCAAAGTATCAAACAACACCAAACAACGAGGCATCTCGTGTTTTTTTGGTACCCTCCCGCAATCAAACATGGCTTGCTGGAAAATCCACCATCTGGCGGCCAAGTTTGATGACACCAGAGGGTAGGTTAGTGGCTCGCAATATTGGCTTTTGTTTATCCCTATTTTCAGGATGATTGAACCAGATAACATCCCCAACTGGACAGGTAGAAATTCATCCTTTTGATGTTTTTTGCTATGGCAATGCCATAAACAGCCACAGATTACCATCTGGTTATTTGACATAGCCATGGAAAATGGCCCATTTATAGATGATTTTCCCATTAAAACCTCTATTTATGAGGGATTTTCCATGGCTATGTTAAATAACCAGAGGGTAAATCTTTGTACCAAAGATTGACCATGATTTATGGTTTCCAGGGAAACTTCAGCACACAGGGAGAACATCCATACGAGTCGTCATGGTCATGACTTGGAGGATATGGGGTAGCCCTATGACTTCGGAAACAACCATAAACAACCAGATAAATCCATATCAAACCTTCCAATTGTGATGGTTAAACCATGTTAAAGCCAACTTTCAATCGGACTCACCACATCTTCGCCAGATCCAAGTGGGTTTGCCGGGGCCCGGATCTCAGAAATGGCAGATCTCGTCTGGATTTTGCCAACAAGCCTTGGTGGTAAAAAACGAAGCATGGGATGTAATATGATGTGCTGGAATTGGATGTGTATATATTTATATAATTCATATAATTCATATATATGATATGACAATAGTCTGGATATTCGAAGGATGGACATGGATGCACTGGGTTGCCATACAGAATTTATGTCTTTTTTTCTTAGAAAAAATAATGGGTTCAAAAGCAACATATTTAGCTCTTGGAAGGTTGGAGATGGTTCATTGATGGGTAGCCTCTACCCGGTAGTCGTTTTTGATCATTTTCCCGGCGACCCCAATGAAAAATTGGGGATTTTGCCGCGAATATTTTCAAGCATCTGGAATGCATACAGAAAAATGTCCCCTTGAATCTTGGATGAATCTTCCAATCAATCTTGGTGGGGGATGACAACCAGAGATATTGGGTGATTTTAAGGGACGAAGCCATTGGCTGTAGCCTCTGGATGATGGAAGTTTGGAAGTTTAAGCTTTTGCGACAGAAAAAGCCAACTAATTATGCGTTTTTGCAGATTATTGCGACTTTACTAAACTTGAATTCACAATCCAAGTTTACTTCAGCGGTCTCTCTTGAAGTTGTGTTTTTGATAAAGTTTCATTTATATGCATCACTCCCAACATTGCTAACGATATTCCATCTACTTGCCCATTCTAGCCCCAGATCATCATTTTTTCCAAGTTGTTTCAAATTTTCTAAGTGAGCTGGTAGTTGATGGGAGGGTACCCTCTGTTAATTTGTAGTAACAGGTTTTCCTTGGAAAACTCCCATTTTGATCGGTAAATCATCGAACTAAATGGGCAATCTATAGCTATATCAGATGACCAGAGGCTACAGCCAATGGTGCCAGCAGTTGGGAGGAACCGTTTGGAGATATGGTATCCATTTCCCTATTGAAGGAAGAGCCAAGGAGCTACAATCCGAGTTCCCAACCATCGACCAATTGATGATGCGAAACCCCAATAGTTGAAGGCACATACGAACCAATTCACGTAGAAGACATGGTTTCCAACTAAGATTTTCCCTTAAACCAATCCCTTGAAAACCTAAGTAATGTGGTAAACTAAACAATAACAATAAACCTCGCATTTGGGGATGATAGTTACCACTCATCAAAAAATGTGCATTTGGGATGGTTTACCACATTATTGTTAACCCTCTGGTAAATTATATAACATAGCGCACTGGAAAATTACCATATTTTAGTTCAGTAAATCAATTATTTTTCTATGGCGGCTTCAATAGCTATTACAAATTACCAGAGATCAGAGGGTATGATGGCTGGTTGGTGGTTTGGAACATGGCTTTTATTTTTCCATATATTGGGAATGTCATCATCCCAACTGGTCCGAACTCCATCATTTTTCAGTGGGGTAGGGCTCAACCACCAACCAGGATGGTTTATAATTAAAACCCATGAACTATAGCCATATCTGCCATAAACCCCATCGAATTCAGCCACTGATCCAGGCTTCGACGGATGGCAATGGATCTGGAATTCCGCATCCTTTTCCAGGCTGTGACACCATCCAAACATGCCGCGCCTTGGTGACATGATGTGACATGGCGTGACATGGCAACCTTGAATGCCTAGCGATATTCTCTGTGGGGATTTCAACTGGAATAGTTCGAATATGATCTCGATTGTGTCGTCCCATTTTTTCCCACAAACTGCATCATTTTACTAGAGAAAAGGATGACACAGCATGAAATTTGGATTGCAAGGAGCAAAAAAAAAACAGCGCAACATGGGATTTTTATTCAGGATTTAGGCGATTAAACCACTTGTAAACTTGGATCATTCCACTTCATAATTGGTTAGCAATGGTAACCCCATGAACTTGTGTTATATTTATCATAAACCATAGTGAACTTGGAGTTATGTTCACCAACTTACCTATCAAACGGGGGCCCTACATTGTATCTACTTTTGCATTTGTCCTACAGATTTTTCACAACACTTGTTTTTCGTGGGCCCATAGCTTGGGCTCATTTAAGAGTTTGCTATGGAAACTGTTCCATGATGATGATAAAAATTATGATTTACCTATTCGAACATATTCGAACATGGGCTGTTTCATGATATTTTCCAGGTTGCTAGTCATTACCAGAGGTTTTTTCGCATCAGAAATCAGTTCTTTTAAGGATTTCACCGAGCTACTGGAAATTAAATCAGAAAATGTTGATGTCTCCATGTTTGGAAAAAAAACAACAAACAATTAGTGAACATGGAAGGTTAACTTTCGACGATAGGAATTTGACATTTGAAATATGGGTTGAATTTAACTATCATCCACAACATAGGTTTTACATGGTTTTACTGTAATCTATCTTCAAATTGGATATAACCATCAAACACAGGGATGAATTGGACATTCTTCACTTTGGAAGATACGATTTTAACCAATGAAGAATGATGTCTCCATTTGGTTGGTCAGATGGGCTTGGTACTTAATAGAGGTTTTCTTGTTCAAAGGTGGATTTACAATGAAATGGGGATTCAATTAGGAACAATGGAGATATAACCAACAATATTAACATAACTATTAACATTTGGTGGTGGCTGAAAATGGGATATTTTTATCGTATTCACCAGTGGATGGAATGGGGTACCCTATTGTTAGGCAACCCCGCTTGGATATCATTATATATATATACATACATATCCTTTTCCCATTGAAATCGCTTGCTTACTAGAGGGGTCACCCCAATGAACAACCAATAGTCAAATGTGTTTCTACTACATGGATATACTGTAAATAATTTACCAGTCACTGATCCTTCTATTTTCCCAAGAGCGAATTTGATGGGTTTCAATCTCTGGGGCCGGGGACTGGTGACACGAAAATGCACGCCCCGAAAAACCGGAACAGTCCTGGAACCTTGGAACCTTTCGCTGGGTTGCAAAGCTGGGCTAAGCTAAAAGGACACTCACTATTGGTTGAACTAGTCTTGTTGCTTCATCCCCAAACCTCTGTTTGTATTGGTGAGATGGCGCATCAGAATGCCGAGAGAGTTCAGGACTGAACGTGTTGGTAATGTACTGAACGTAAAAACAAAATGAAACTTCTACACTTGGAATTGGAATCTTTTTCATTTGAGGGATGGTTCATGGTTTCCTTCAAGTGTCCTTTCTTAAGTAATCTCCGGTAATTAAACGTGGCTTGCTGAAAAATCCACCATTTAGATCGATGATTTTCCCAGCTATAAATCTCGATATTTGATGGGAACTTCCCAGTTAGCCACGTTTGATGACACCGAAGGGTATATCCCACTTATTATCCCAATTATTGTCCCATTCTTGCATTTAATGCATTAACCACCATTAATCATTAATCACCATTATTAATATACATTAATAATCTCGTTCCCCTATAATATTAGACTCCAAAATGGTTCCATCTGTGTGTAAATCCCCAAACCATGGGTTCTGGGGGCTGTTTAGTAATCATTGATCACCATCATCTTAATCTCCATTTAGTTGAAGCATGTCCATATTTTTCCCATATCCTAGGTCAATCTTAGATGGGTAATCCTTTAATCTTTTGGTATCAATGGGATTATCTACGTTCACCAGCTAAGATTTTTTTTTGCAGGGTATCTAAGACTAAGATTGGCAGCGGATTTCCCCCCCAAAAAAACGGGGAAATCTCGCAAGGAATCAGCCGGGTGAACGTCCGAGGTGCGCGTGAGGGACGATCTATGGGTTGTCGAGATCACCGACGACTACAAGCTGCAACAGCAGCTGGCTGGGAGCTCCAGGACGTCGCGAAGTGGATCTTTTCATGTTCAATAGCTACAAGGGATATTTTGAATGGGTAAATTCACTATTTCGACTGGGCCATTTTCAATAGCTGTGTAACAAATTACCAGAGGGTATATATATATATACATTATAATATATATATATATGGTTGGTGGTTTGGAACATTTTTTATTTTCCATAATATATGGGACGGGATAATCCTTCCCTTTGACTTTCATATTTTTCAAGGTGGTTGAAACCACCAACCAGATATAGTTTTCATGGGATTTTAAGTCATGAGCATGGAGAGTTCACAGAACAGTGGAATAAGCATATACCTTGTCTTGATCCACGTTTGGAAACATCTTATACTGGTTGGTGGTTTGGAACATGAATTATATTTTCCCCAATAGTTGGGATGATGATCCAATCTGACTAATATTTTTCAGAGGGGTTGAAACCATCAACCAGTATACCTCTAGGGAATACTGAAAACGAATAGGAACTAAAGATTGAACTCCTAGCTTGGAGGTAGTTCGCATGGACCCAATAAGAAACTCTCTGCACGCGGTGCCCGAACAGTATGCCAGATAAAATGTAAGATAAAAGGGCAGAATACATGTCAGATAGAGTGTAACATGTCAGATATAATGTCAGATAAAGTGCCAAATAAAATTCGATAAAATTCCAGATAGAAAGTCAGATTATACATCAGATAGAATGCAAATCACATTCAAGATTGCTAGATGAAATGCCAGTAAGAATGTCAGATAAAATGTCAGATAGAATGTCAAAATGAATGTCATATAGAATGTCAGATAGATGGCCAGATCAAATGCCAGAAAGAATGCGTGATAAATTCCTGAGAAAATGTCAGATCGTATGTGAATATATTTCATATATATATATAATGTCAGAATATATGAATATTAACGGGATCATTTCGAGATTTTTGATGTGGATCATGTGGGTCAACCTTTTTTTTTTGATATGGCTAGCTTTTGGAGAAACATACCCATATCTGGGTAAATTTCATCACGACCGAACCCTGTTCTCCCGAACTCTGGAATCATGGTTAGTAAGAGGAATCATCCCAAAATTGCCTTATTTCAGCTTAGTGAATTATTATAATTCACGTTCGCTTCGCGACGAAAACCGCCCGCACCAAGTGTAATGGATAACACTCACATATGTTGGAGGATGTTTGGCCATATTGAACTTTTTTTAGCACTTATTGGGCACATTTTAGCTCCATATGAGGCTATCTTGGCCCCATATGAGGGTATGTTGGCCCCATTTGAGGCTATGTTGGCCCCATGTGCACGAGCCTATCTTAGGCTCATGTTGGGCCTATGTTGGGCCTATCTTGACCCATTTTTGCCCTATATTGGCCCAGATCAAGAATTTTGACCCCTTTTGAAAAACATGCAAAAACACAGGATTCTAGAGCAAAAATTTCCCCCCCCAAGCTAAAGCTTATTAGCTATAATGCAATTGCTAACGGTTCACGCAGGCACACAAAAAACGCCTCGGCACCTTCGGTGCGGGCGGATTTACCATGCCATATACTCCGTGGTGCTGGCAAAAATTTACCTTCATGTTGGGGATTATTTGGATCCTGTTGGGGTAAATTCAATGGGAGATCTCCAGGATCCAATACATGGAGGTACCTAAACGTATCATATTTTTGGCCATATTTTCTGGGGATATTCCCTGAAATTTAGGCTTGAAAAATAGGCCAAAAATATATGGTAGGTACCTCCAATCAATCGGATCCTGAAGATCTCCCATTGAATTGTCATCCGAAGCATCCCCATGACCCCATGGATTGTCAGCCTTGTGTCAACCGTACAACTGGACTATTCCGAAAACAACGTCAATTCTGCCTCAATATATGGTGATGGGTCAAAACCTACTAATGTATATATAGCACATTGGTGGGGGATGGCAACTTTTTTGGGGTTAGGGATGTTAGGGTACCAGGGTTGGTTCACAATCATATTTCAATATATTTCATCCCCAAACTTGAATGGGTAGAAACAAATCCTTTAGCTTCTTGCTATGAATGGAAACTAACCATAACCTAGGTCAATCTTACATGGATACTTTAATCCTTTAGTCTTTTGGTATGCAATGGGAATATCTACTACAGCAACCAGCAAAGAATTTGTTATTTTTTGCAGGGTATCTAAGATTGGCAATGGAATGGAAACTAACCATAACCAGCAAAGATTTTTTGTTTTGTGGACTACCAAAGATTGACCATGTTGATAAATCGGGACTTATACTACTGGTAGTCTATTGGGGTTCTGATAACCCAGAGTAGAGAAACCTATCGACCAACTAGTATTTCATGAGATGCCGAAATTGATTTGGTTGATTTATGTTGATATATCTGGGTAAATTATAACGACCTCACTGCGACCGAGCCCTGGAATCATAGTTAATAAGGGAAATCATCCCCAAATGGGCCTTAATTCAGATTAGTGAATTATTATCATTTACCCAGATATATCATGATATATCAACTATACACTATATAAATATATCAAGCCCTCCATAACTATTTATATCAACCTCGAACTTGAGCCTCGGATCTAGCCCTTCAACGTTCAAGCGTACAGGTCTCGCAACAGAAGGGTTCCCTGGACGACTTCGAATTGCTGAGCAAGGTGCGATGACCTGGGGCGTGGCTCTGAAAATTGGGGGATGATGGCCATGTGATGTTTCTACCATAAACCATTGGCAAAGCCAATGACGAAAAGCCAAGTGATGTTTGATTTCTTTTTCTGAAAATGACATTTGGCTTGCTGGAGCCCTCATGGGGCAGCTTAGGCGAGGTCCACACCAAAGGTGGTCCCAGGCGCCGCCCCGGCCATGGCTTAGGCCGGGGTCGGCGGATATAACCTATCAATAGGGAGATAACCATCAATTTTATATATATTCTATCATAATATAGTAATATAATATAACCAACATTAAGCAACCAGTATGTCGCCGTGTAGTCCCTCGACCAGGCGGATGGCATCCGCAACGGATGGTCTGAATGCTTGGGCACTACACAAAAAAAAAGTGAATTACCTTCTGGTTATTTAACATAGCCATGGAAAATGGCCCATTTATAGATGATTTTTATAGATGATTTTCCCATTAAAACCTCCATTTATAAGGGATTTTCCATGGATTTTAATGGGATACCCTCTGGTAAATGTTTACATAATTGTGGAAAACCATGGAAAATCACCATGCTATTAATGAGTAAATCAACTATTTCGACTGGGCAATTTTCAATAGCTATGTTAAATTACCAGAAGGTAAATATTGAGGTTTCCAAGGTGTAGGAAAAGCACTATGGTAAACCTTAGAAACTTCAATCGTAAACGGATTGAGGTTTCTTTTAATGTTGACAACATCCCGTGGCTCTAAAGTGCGGTCAAGGTGGATCAGAAAGGCTATTCCCCATGACTTCAGCAATCCCCAGATGAAAGAAACCAATATCTATATATAATGTAATGTCAACCCTGGATTAATAAACCCCAAACGGCTGGTTAATTGGGGGGTACCATTTAAGTATTGGATTATGACTATTGGAGGAGCACCCCCCTAATTAATAAACCATGGTTTATTAATTCGGGGTTGACATTATTGTAATGTGGTATACCCAATGATGAAAATACACCTACCTATCATATATTATCATATGGGGAATGGTTCTTCTCATTTTTGAACCCCCTAGTTATGGTCATAGACGGAATGGTTTAGGGTTTGGGGTTTACCACAATTACATAGATGGTTGGCCACTTACATACAAGGCGGCGCCCCTGTTTGATAGCTAAATTGATTTTGTTTTAACATTTTGTATCTCCAATAACTTGTGATGTTTGTTGGTTTATGCACCCCATGAAGTATAAAATAGTATTGTATATATATATATGTACATATGTTTATCCCCAACAAAAACCACACCATAGTTCTTGGAGTTATGTTCACCAACCAATCGCGATCAAACGGGGGCACCACCGAGCGTTGTCATCCAGATTGGTTCACGACTCGCAGGTGAATTTCACCGTGGCCACCCCGCGTGCTCCGCCGGAAGTGGTCATCGAATTGGAGGTGTCGCGGTGGGGTGACACGGGTTACACCTCTGGGCCCAAACTGGGCGCACTAGTTCGCTAGTGTAGAAGGCGAAAGGGTTGTGATTGGCTTAGGCGTGCGTGTTGCAGCCGCGCGTCTCACGGATGCCCAACAATCTGTGTTGGACAGTGCCGTTGACAATGCCGAGGGGGATTGAATTGTGGCTTCACGTTGGCCTATGCCGCTTTTGGCTGCGCTGCGCAACTTGCGTACGCGCCCCTTTTTTCCTGCTACATTTTTGCTGTGTTGGCGACTCTCGCCAGGATGCTAGTTGAGCATTCTGATGGGTGTTGAATGATTCACAGAGTGAGGAAAAGAACATTGGCAGCTGGTTGCAGTTTCAGTGCAATCATAATTTTTTGGTCTTCGCCAAAGTTGCTCTTTGGTAAATGAACAGTTTGGACATGTTTGGACCCTGAACATGACCAATTTTTAGTGGAACCTCATCTTCCAAGCCCCAAGTCGTGTCAGGGTCGTTATGTTAATTTACTGGAGGGTATCTATAGCAATAGACAACGGGGATCACCCACCAGCTTGTAGGTGAAACAAGAAGTTGGGCCAACAGAGCTGGTTTTTGTTTTCATTTGTGGAATTCTCGAACAGGCATTTGGGATAATGATATGATGAAGATGATGAAGATGATGAAGATGATGAAGAAGATGATGATGATGATGATTATGATCCCCAATAACGAACGTATTTTTCAGGGGTTCAAACCCATTCACCAGCAGAACAACAATGATCTGTATTTAAACAATGTCACCAACAACGGAAAGTCAGATATAGGGTTCAAAGATCTAACCATACGACAACCTGTGTTTGTAATTGTCCTGCCAAAAAACTTATACCATAAAACTGCAGACCGGTGGATGATTGTTTCACTTTTGCCCATATGGATTGAACAGAGTCTCACCAAAAACGTTCATGGAAAGTGTGAGCTACTTCACTTGAACATTGAGGTTATATTATTACCTATATCAACCATTGATGAGGTTTCTTTTTTTTGGATCGAACGACATGCCGTTTGGCAACGTGACAATGGCAAAACCCTGCTGGTATGAGATATTCCTACTGTGCCTCATCATTGATTTTCCTTTGCAATGTTAGGCTACTGCAGTGTAGATCCTGTTGGAATGTTTCTACTTTGACAATCTGTGGTGCAATGGTGTCAATTTCGGAAGATGAGCGTCCAGTGATCATTCATTGATCAATAGCGAAACGAATATATATATATACATATATATATACATATATATATATATACATATATATATATACATATATACATATATATATATATATATGCACCAGGCCCTGCCACCCCCCCTCCCCCCGCCATGGGATGGGTCCCATATACTGCCCCCATATTTTCGATCTTCCACCTCCGCCCCTGGTGTGGCACTGTCCCCCTTCCTGTGGTGTGGTGGGGGTGTGGTATGATATGTTGGGTATGTATGGTAGGTATGGTATGTATGGCATGAATGGTTGGTGTTGTATGGATAGTAGGTATGGTATGTAAGTCTGTTGGGTATGGTATGTTTGATATGACAGTCTGTATGGTCTGTATGGTCTGTATGGTATGTATGGTTACTATGATGGGTATGGAATGTTTCCTATGTAAGGTAGGTATGGTAGGTATGGCATGTATGTTTGGTATTGTGTGTATGGTAAGCGTGGAAATTATGTTTCATATGTATGGCATGTGTGGTATGTATGATAGGTATGATAGGTATGGTATGTATGGCATCATTGGAATGTATGGTAGGTACGGTATATGTTAAACACATGTAGTGCTGCGAGAGTACACAGGTAGTAAAAAGGAAGTAGATACATAGTACATGTATATATGACTATAGATAGCACGTAGGTACTTTGAGGGAGTATGTGTGCTACGTATATCGTCTAAAAGGTAGCATGTACCTTGTACCTGGTAAATGCGAGGCTGGTAGTCAGAAATGCTGCAAAGACCTAGCAAAAGCGAAGCTGGACCTCAGAAATGCTGCCAATAGCTTGCAAATAGAAGGGAAGGAAGTGCTACCTGGGGACACAACCCATTGGGGGGGTGGAGAGGCCGAGGACGGGAATGGACGGGACCATATATATATAAATATATATATATATATTGGTTTGTCTGAAAATGTGGTACCCCAAATATCTACTGTTGAATCATTTGTTTCCCTTGCAATTAAAGTTGAGGTTTCGAGGATCCAATCCCCGAGCTCGGTCGGAGTTGGAAGGGAGCAGTAAAAAAGGATATTCATCAATTTACCATCATACCTATGGATATTTTATGACCCCTACCTTAAGAAATTCATTGAGGTGGGGGACAATTTCTGGAGACCCAAGATGGAGCTAGTCATGACATATTTTAGGCATTTTTAGGCAATGTGGGGAAAGATTGCACTTCGACTTCAGGAGAGATGGCACGGTTTACAACCCATGTTTCTTTTCCAGGGATAATCCAACAATTCAGGGCACTGAAGACCAATAAGATTAATGGTGAGTTAATGGTGATTTAATGGGATTTAATTGTGAGTTAATGGTAATTTAATGGGACTGAGCCCCAGCTCATGCTACATTTGTACATTTACCCAATCCTGTACCTGAACTAAAACATCCCAATGTGCTCTTTCGCTCATCTCAACCCTCTTTTACTCCCCAAAAAAAACATGTGAAACCTGTCTCATTCGAGAAAAAAACAATTGGCTCCATATCTATTTTATCATATATATATACAATCATCGGATCCATGGTGCTGGTATATATGCTAACATTTGGGGTATATGGACCATATGGATGGTAAATGTTACCATATATATATATAGCATACATGTATCCTATGGGATATAATATATCCATATCCTCCACCCGCGAGGTAACTCTTTTTGATTTGGGTGAAAAATCCGAGTGCGCTGGGCGTCTCGATGGAGGGCTTTTTGCCACAGGTTATGCCATGAATTCCGTAGCGGCGTAGCGGCATGATCCGCAAATAGCTTGGTGAATTGAAATAAGGAAACATATTCTGGTTGGTGGTTTTAACCATGGTTAATAGTGATTAATAGTGGTTAATAGTGGTTATTAGTGATTAATACCTGATCTAATGAATGATATATCTGGTTGGTGGTTTCAAACATTTTTTATTTTCCATAATATATGGGATTATCCTTCCCATTGACTTTCATATTTTTCAAGGTGGTTAAAACCACCAACCAGTATTTGTCTTTGATAGATACTAATAAAACAATAGCTTCAATGGATAACCGTTATGGTTTTACCAGGAACTGATCTATAAATGATGGATTTTGTCCATTTTTTTGGTGGATTAAATTGAGGATTCAATTGGAGATGAGCCTCGTTCAACATCGAGTTTGCCATGGAGGGCGGAAGAGTATTTTTCACTAGTTCACTAGGGGGTTTTCAGGCTCAGGATATATCTTAGTTGGACGGTTATTCAAAATTCCATCCCCCTAATGTGAAACGCACAGCACCCAGAAACCACGGCTTAGCTGGGGATGAAATCACACTTTTGGAACTTCAGGTGGTGGTCAATATTGGCACAATGTGGGGCCCCCAAACGATAGCTAAGTTGGTTAAGAAAAGCCCCATGAATACTATAGTTATAAGTACAATAAACCATAGTTATTGGAGTTATGTTCACCAACTTAGCTATCTAGGGGACCCCACATTGCAGGATAAGATTAGTTCAACCAATAGTGTCTGGGAAAATGAGATCCGGGACGGTGATGGGTGTATCATCCATGTATCAACATGTGCCTATTGGTTTTCCAGTTCTTCACTGGGGTGACCCTTCTATGAAACAACCAACTTCCATGGGAAAAGGAGATCTATGATATCCACAATGTGGGGCCCCCAAACGATAGCTAAGTTGGTTAACAAAAGCCCCATGAATACTATAGTTATAAGTACAATAAACCATAGTTATTGGAGTTATGTTCACCAACTTAGCGATTTCGTCAACGGGGGCCCCATGATATCCAGGTGGCTTTGTCTCAATAGGCTACACCCTTCCGTCGGTGAATCAACATGTTCCCTGCATGTTTTGCCAAAAAAAATCGCCAGAGAGTCGGAGGTTGAATATCCCATGTTCGGACACAAAGATTCGTATGGTTGCATCCCTATTACCGGGCCTGGTTATGACATTCACACTTCGCCATGGTTTTTCGATGGCCCATCTATCGAAATAGATGAAAAATGGTGGATCTTTCCATGGCGAACTGTTAGTCATAACCAGATGGTATATACCAATCAAAATTCCTGGTGATGTCCCATTGTTTATTGTAAACTCACTGTTTCTTTGGCTGTTGGGAATCCCCTCCAGGATAGAAAAAGCGGGGAACTCATGGGGTTTCATCCTGGGGGAAACCCTTCAGAAATGGTTGATTCAAGGGATTTTGCTGCATGAAACATCATGAAACATCATGAAACCATGTTTTTTACCCCATGATTTACCCCAGATCGACCGAAACTTTCTGCAAATTCACTTCCAAATGAAGTGAAAGGTACCCGAATCGTGTGGATGTCTACGCCCCGGCAGGCGCACGTAAAAATATCGGCCGTGCTGGGGTTTTTGAGAAGGTCAGGGAGAACAGCATTGTTGGTTTGTCTGTTTCATGATTCGGCAAGAAAATGTCATGTCAATAATTGTCAATGGGGAACATGACAGCCCAAGTCTTAGGGCTTTATATGATGAAATATGTTCCGTTTGTTAGGCTGTGTGAATTTAGAGAAAGCTGTTTGCAAGGTGTTTTATGTCAACACATATTTAGTTTATACATACCATGCCATCCCATTGCGATGCAGTACATTGTATTGAGTTGCATTGCATTACCCTACATCACCTTACACTACAGGCATACACACATATTGTACAAATACCTGTGCATACATATTTACATATATATATATACATATTTACATGTATATATATACATATTTACATATATATATACATATTTACATATTTACACATATATATTTACACATATATATTTATACATACATACATATATATATATACATATATATATATATAAATATACACACGTATGTCCATGCATATGTTGAATACCAATTTCATCTATCCCATTATAGCTGTACCTACTCTGCCGTGGATGTTGGGATGTTGGATTTGCATCGCAGGATACAAATTCTTGCTGAGTTGCTTCGCACCTGGTGAACGCGAGCGCTTGAAGGTGCAGATGACGGGCGCTTGAAGGTGACGGATGGCGGAATTCGCGTTTTAAAAGGTGTGATACACAGACAAACATAGCTACATCATGTTCTACATGTCTTATACATTATATACATAAAGCAAAAACTACCTATAGGTATTATGTCTTAGCTATACATGACGACATATGAAGCTAATGAATTTGATTGAGACTAGCCATGATTTGTGCTAGCTCTCCACATCGAAAGCCCTGTCCGGATCTCACATAGCGCCTGGGACTGAATCATCCGAAGAGGGATCTAAACAGATGTGATTTTTTCATAGGAAAACCAATGATTTTAAATTTATGTGGATTTTAGGTCAAGAGGAAAATTTTCTGACAAAGCCATTCAATTGTCTACATGCATGTATGAGATTGTATGAACACATCTTTTAGTTCCACAACGTCTATCAACAATGAATCCCAAGTGCAGGGGCACTACTTGGAGGATCATCCCACTTAGTAACTGTTTAGTAAGCATAGTTATACCCCTTTTTACTAATTTAGTCTCTGCTTCGCCTTGGCCTTTCCGAGGTTGCACAAAACCTTCATAACCGATAGGGGACGACCCTATACCTGGAATACTGAAATCCTCACAACCGATAGGGGACGACCCTAATTTGTGCATGGCATTAAATTTAACATACTGTAAATTTTGTCCTCTACTCGTATATAATAATGTTATATATATATACAGGAAAAGCTTCTTAGGGGACGTACTAACCAGGGTTACTACTTGGAGGATCATCCCACTTAGTAAGTGGTTAGTAGGCCTGGTTACTAAGTTCCCATTTAGTAGATAACTTATCCCATTTATAAATGGCTAAACTAACCCCACAAACACTAACCACTTGCTAATTGGAATCCTCCAAGTAGTGGGTTTATAAGCCCTATATGATCTCTTCCATGATTGAAATCCCAAGTTCGATCCCTATATTCATCACCATTCTTGGCTGAGGATCCTAGGGTCACTTCCGATTCCTCCGATTCCTCCGATTCCTCCGATTCCGCCAGAAAAACTTGGTCTCCTGCCGCGAGCGATGGACACTCTTCAACGGCAACTACCTCAGTGGTGCCATTCTCATGGCAGCGGACAATGTCCGGAAGCCCAGGTCAGCGTCGAGATGGTCGAGTCCTTGGGGGGATTTTATGAGTTAGATGATAGACATAGACATGGTGCAATAACCATGGTTAATAGTGATTAATACCTGATCTAATGAATAATATATCTGGTTGGTGGTGACTGGAACATGGCTTTTTAATGGGATAATGATGGTTAATGATGGTTAATCATGGTTAATAATGGTTAATAATGGTTGATAATGGTTAATAATCACTGCTTGGTGGTGACTGGAACATGGCTGGATTATGATTTTCCATCTATTGGGAATGGAATAATCATCCCAACTGGTCCGAAGTCCATCATTTTTCAGAGGGGTAGGTTGAAACCACCAACCAGCTAGAAATACGACATCTATATAAATCTGTTTGATTATATACATTGATTCACTGTATATACTAGAAAATATACTAAAACCTGTTGTCCCCTGAGACTAGAAAATGTTGACCTTTTTGTCCAGGTGGCCACACGTTTCAAGGGAGCAAAAGTTGGTGAATTTCCATGACTCGTGTGGAACATGGCCCAGTTGTAGATGATAAGAATGATGATTTACCTGTTTTATAAACGATGAATTATAGGTGTAATTTACCTGAAAATGCAAAGACACAACATGATGTTTGGTTTGATCTTTTGATATGTTGAATATCAATTCCAGATATAATGCCATGAACATACACATATATTTGTTTGGTAATATGCACACTTTTGTACAATAGTGGTTGAACCCCCGTTCATACATCAAACCATATGTGGTATTTACTTTCATAATCGTTTTCATGATTTTGCATATTACTGTAGTAGTTTTAATATAGTATTATATATATATATATGAACATATATATATATATAGTTGTTGCATGGTATATGTATATACATGTATATATTTGCTTACACGTTGTTATATATAAAGTCTAATATACACATGATGATATCTTCAATATATTATATTTACATTTATTATATTTTAGTAACATTTCGATGCGACATCCACCCTTGACTCGTCCTTAATATTTCGCCCTGTAGGGCGTGTTGCCATCCGACATGCCCATGACCATCAAGTTGCTGGCCAGCACACCGCCTCTCACACCCGAAAGGCGCCTTAGAACAGGATGGAGACCCCAGCCGAACATGGCTTAGAAGTTGCCTATGATGGCTATATGGATATTATATTATTATATCAATTACATCCCTATAGAGACCCCAATATAATATATATATATATAATAGGATATAATATAATATATATAAGTTGCCTTAGAAGTGGCTTAGCATGGCTGAATTCTATGGTTTCTGGTAAATGTAACTGTATAGTTCATGGGGTGAATCTAAGCCAACAAATATCACTGGGGGGCACCATCCTGTAGAACTGCAGGTTATAAACATTCCCAACCGGCTGGTTGGGTAGAAACTAATCCTTCAGTTTTTTGCTAATGGAAAATAACCAGCCAACCAGCAAAATATAAAATTTCTTGTGGTCTATCCCAGATTGACCATGGAAATTCTTAATCTGGGTTTTTTTCATCATCCTGAAGTAGACCCACTGGAATTTTTCAAAGATATGTCCAAATTTTAGTGAGGATTTTCTGACATCTCCATATTCTATCTACTGCAGGATGACTATATTAATAGAATATACTAGTATGGCAGCCTTTCTACTGGAATACTTTATGGGATAACCGTTCTGTAGACATAGGTCTATCTCAATCTGAATATGGATAGAAAGCCTGAAATCTGGGGATTAAACTGATTAAACCATCAACAAAGTATAGACATAGGGCCCCCCGTTGTGATGTGAATGTTGGTTAACAAAAGCCCCATTAGAATACTATAGTTATTTAAGCGCAATAAACATCAATAAACCATAGTTATTGGAGTTATAAACGCACCAACTTAGCGATTTCGTCAACGGGGGCCCCACATTGTAGACAATGGGATTTTACAGGATTTATATTAATTGCGCTTAAATATACTTAAGCATATAATAGGATAACCATAGCAATTTAATCTTTGGAACTGGGAATATCTCAGATATCTTTGGGAAATACTTAGTGGAGTAGTTATCCAAGCTGCGTCCCGCTTCTCGAAGATCATTGGGTGTTTACATGAGGTTTCTTTAACTACAGCGAAGTCTGGGCGTCGCTGTTGAGTTTGGCGATCTCTGTTGTGTCGTAGTTGGTTGTGGAATCATGCGTTTCATTCCCCAAAAACATCTTAGAAGATATGGTTGTTTCTTGCAGCCCAGGAATAAAGCAAACCAATCGGTTTTGAATTTCCGTTCTTCACAATCCCCATGATCAGTATTGTTGGGCTCTATCTCATACCTCAGATGTACACATTTTCAAGTATGACTACACATGACTGGAATGATGTTTATCACACCATGAGAAAATTCTCTGGTTGGTGGTTTCCATTATTACCATCCGGGAATCAAACGTGTTTCGCTGGAACATCCACCATTTAGTTTTACAGGATTTTCCTCTTAGAATTTCCATTTCGTTCGGTGATTGATGACGCCGGAGGGTATGTCCCAATTTCAACTATCTGAATTTCATTTAATCCCCACATTGATCCCATCATCATAATATCAATCCCCAACTTTTTATCCCATGAATATTGATCCCATTTATCTCTCATATCCCGATGATATTCCAGTGTTTCCCAATGTTTCTGACAAGTTCGCAGATTTTTAAGTCAGCAACCAGTGCAGGAACTACTTCTTTGTGGTGACGAAGCAGCGGGAAGGCGAAACCCTTGGGAGTTCCAGTTTTTTTTGAGGGGAGATTGGCCAAGATTTCAGAAATTATGTTTAAAAAACAGGAAATACGTATATATGGTGGTTTCCATACATGGGGGTACCCAAAATGGATGGTTTACAAGGGAAAATCCCATTAAAATGGATGAACTGGGGGTACCCCTATTCCAGGAAACCTCCATATATATATATATAAATCCCTTTCATGAGAGTTTGGAGATCTCACAGGCGCTCTTGTTGGCGGCTTCACATGTGACGCATTGTTTTACCTCTAGCTTGGTGGCTTGATCCTTTTTTTGTTGATCCCTGTTCAACGGATGATGAATCCTGTTTTTTAGAGTTGTACCTTCTGGTAAACTAACATTTTTCATAACATAACTATGGAACATCACCATGCTATCAATGGGTAAATCCACTATAAATATCTATAAATGGGCCATTTTCCATAGCTTTTTGTGAGTTTACCAGAGTGGCATGGGAAACGAGTGTCCAACCTCACGCCGGCGAAATCTCCAGTTGGACTTTCTGAGCCCAGAAAGTCCACTCTTCGGCTGCGCAGACATAGATAGATACTGTACATAGAAAGAAAAATAGATAGACAATGATACACACACACACACATATACATATATAACAATGATATATATATATATAGATATCTGCAGGGATATCTGTAGATATCCATTAGATAACTTGATGATCTGATCGCACTGATTCGCGGATCGCAGGCGATGCGGGCTGGGGCATGACCACAGAGGCCTTTCCCATCACTCCCATGCCGGCCCGGAGCCTAAAAATGGGTGGATTTACATGAAATGGGCTGTTTAAAAAATCTCCAAAACATGGGGAAAAGATTCATGGGAAATATATGGAAAAGGATGTGTTCAGCCATATTTAGGGTTGTTTCCCAAGATGTTCAGACCCAAAAAATCGCTGATTTTCTGTATGTTCAATTGACAGGTAAGATATCATGATTCCAGGCTCTGGGTTCAAGCCAAGGGCCAGGATTGGAAACATGACGTTCTTTTCATTTTGGGAATTCGCTAGAGGTCCGATTCCTGGGGTCCCTCATCTCAAAGTTTCACCTGCCATAGATCCTACAAGATGGCATGACCTCAAGCGACATAGTGCCGCTAGTGCTTCGACATCAAGGGGATGTTGAAAAGCCAGTATTGTTACCCTTTGGTAATTTAACATAGTTATGGAAAATGACCATAGAAATAGTGGATTTACCAATTGAAAGCATAGTTTTTTGTAGGTTTACCAGAGGGTATCTACCAGACACAAATTGCAAAGCTGATAAGGCGCCAGACACAATACCAGGTTACCATAATTCCCAGGCTCGGGTAAAGTTGCAGCCTACCTTGAAAACCTCAGAAGTTGGTTATATAATGTGATATTTCATAACATTACGTATATACATCTATATCCCATCATGTCCCCATTGAAATTGATGTAAGTGGTTTCTTGTAATTACTTGTATTTCGTTAATTAGATAATCATCAGAAACCCCACATGCACACCAAAAAAATCTTCGATACACGCCTCATACAATGTGGGCGCCCCTTGTTATAAGTTGCTTCCAAAGAGTTATTGATCCACCATACCCCTATACTCTATCTATGATATACTTACCTACATTTGGGCCATTTTTTGGGGAAATGTCGCTACATATTCCAGCACCATGGTTCGCATCTGGGTCCCAGATCGGCTGTCGAGGTCACGATCCGATACACGGGTGTGGCAGGGGCGGAGGCATGGAAAATGTGACCAGGTGGAGTGATTTTGTTGCAACAAGACTCAGATAGCCTCCGAACATTTCAGTGACACTTTGCGAACTTGAACATTGGAACATGGCCCAGTCGAAATAGTCGAGAATATCCCATTCATAGCATGGTGATTTTCCAGTTCGCAAACTGTAAACGTTGACCAGAGGGTAACTCAGGTTGGCACCAAGCAACTTGGGGATGAAGTTTTGCTGCTGGTCTATGCTGGGATTCGGCTAAAAAAAATTGCTGGTTAATTGCAGGATTTAACTGAAGCCATGGTCCCTTGGCTAGAGGGAACTTCGGGGTGAAAAGTATCCTCAGGTAAACTGACGTAATTAACTAATTATGGAAAATCACCATTTTAATGGGTAAATCCACTATTAATAGCCATTTTCAATAGCTATGTTAGTTTACCAGAGGGTATCCTCAGGTTGCAAAAGATTTCTCTGAATTTCCGAGGATGATTGCTATTGACTAAATTTGACTACCGTCCCCGTTCCCTTGTTACAACTCCTTTCCACCCACGATGATGGATCCAAAAATGCTGGACCCAAAAATTCCCATGTCTTGGATTTGTTTTGGATACTGGATGATCAAATCCAAAATTCAGCTGCCAATCGATCGCTTTTCTGGATCTTCAATGGGCAAGCCATTGTGTAATGAAAACTCGGATTGATCCTAGTTCTGTCAAAAACCAGGGGATTACAGCGGAAAAGTAATAAAAACAGTGATGTCATGTGCTACTTTCCATGGGGTACTGTATCCCCAAAAGGGAATGGTCCGCGGCAGGTGCCGTTGTTTATGGCTCTGCAGATTCGATATCCTTTGGAATGGGGTGGACACGTGCGGCTTCCCAGGTCTTTGGCTGTTTGGATGGGTCGGTTGTGGTCGGCTGAGTGTTTCAAAACTGTGCAAGAGATACATTCTGGTTGGTGGTTTGGAACATGACTTCTATTTTTCCATATATTGGGAAGAATAAACCCAACTGACGAACTCATATTTTTCAGAGGGGTAGGTATACCACCAAGCAGCATTGGTTTGTCTGAAAATAGGATACCCTAAATTCCAATGGATCAAAACCTCATTATCTCCATGAAACATAGTGATCATTGGAGGGGTATGCCCGGTATGCCCCATTTTCAAACAAACCCACATTGAATTACTGGTTGGTGGGTTGGAACATTTTTAATTTTCCATATATTGGGAATAATCATCCCAACTGACTAATATTTTTCACAGGGGGTGAAACCACCAACCAGATTAGTATAGTGATGTAAAATAATAAACCCATAACAATCTTTGAGTTCCACAAAGAATCAAATAGGTGTCCCTCAGTATTTCATGGTATGTTTTTACTCTTAGTATGGCTATGGGTCAATATTTTTAATCACCAACATGGGTACATTACCATCCCAATATTTTTTGAGACTATTCTAAATGTTACTAACAATATACATTACCCTCTGGGTAAATCAACTATTTCTATGAGACATTTTCAATAGCAAACTGTTAGTTTACCAGAGGGTAGTATGGGTATGGGTCAATATTTTGAATCACCAACATGGGTACATAATGGATAGTAGAGACTATTCTTTTCATTTTGTGGATGTACATTGGGTAGCAGGGTTTTGACCCATTGAGACGGACTTGTCGATCGCAGATGAGTTGCCGCGAGGTGAGAAACTCAGGGAACTTGCTCAGGTGCTCAATGAGGCAACGACCAAGCTTGAGTCCCGTGCTCACAGAGTTGCACGCACCTGGCCATCTGTCAGGTGCACAGTTTCCAGGGACGAGCTTGCTTGTCTCCGACCTCCGAGCAATTGCTTCCGCTGAAAGGGTGAAGGGGTGAGGGTCTTGACCCATTCCCATATGTATGACAATCACTTTTTGGTTGGTTAAATTCCCTCGGTCTGTGGTTCATATGCATGTTCTTTGTTGATCCTTGCTGTTGATTTCCCCGCCTGAATAACTTATATGATGTGATTAATTGTCATTTGATCCCCATATTGCTGTTTCTTAAAATGGGGGATCCCCAAGTCACCATGGGTTTCAATACTAAGTCATTGTCTAATGACTTGGATGATTTGGGGGTAGCCTCATGACTTAGGAAACCCCCAGATTAGTGGGATATGAACTGGGATATTACCTGGGATATCATTTATTTCCGGATGTACAATGGGATATAAGTGAATCATAAGGGTTCAGGGTTTATCAACCACTAAGAACCGCCACATCATGGCATATCATTATCTACGTTCACCAGCTAAGATTTTTTCATTTTTTGCAGGGTACCTTCTGGTAAACTAACATAACTATGGAAAATCACCATTTTGTGTGGGTAAATCAACTGTAAATGGCAATGTTCAAAAACTATGTTAGTTTACCAGAGGATATCTAAGATTGGCCATGTAATGTGGGTAATTCCCAATGCCATAGACCATCCCCCAGTCATCACCATACATATTATATATATATGGTATAAACTTACCATTCCCAGTCATGGGTGGTTTATTTATTACCCACATGGTATATAAATGGTTGCATTAATCACATGGTATAAAAATCCCAGAATCAACCCTTATCAGCCCTTGATCAGGTTTCATTAACCACATTTAACCACATTTAACCACATTTAACCATATTTAACCACTAACCACATTTAACCACATTTGACCACTAAGAACCGCCACTTAATAAGAACCCCTGGTTTTTCCAACGGCCAAATTTGTGACGGCCAAGTTGCACATCGCAGCGCCCTTGTTGTACCAGATCCTGTGCCCCATCGACAAGGTGAGAAGTTGAGATACCCTCTGGTAATTGATTTAACCGCTAGAAATGGTGATTTAATGGTGGTTTTAACCATCAACAAAGGGGATTCACCATCAAAAAGTATGGGTACAATGGTGATACAATGGGAATATCATGGGGAACATGATGATCCATACCCTCTGGTAATTGGTTACATAGCTATGGTATAGATGGCCCAGTTAGTTCGTTGATTTACCCATTAAAACATGTGATTTTCCATAGTCATGTAAACGTTTACCAGGCCGGGTACAGCTAGTTGGGTGTATAATCCCGGGGACGGGAGTGGATTCCAAGACAACTGAGAAGCAACATGATTTTGAAGCTGGGTGAAAACCAACAAGAATCTAGAACAGATGGGAGATAGTGTTGAGATAAAACATAGGATTGTAAAGGAGGGAATGGGTAAACCAACTGGTGAGTTGGGTAGTTTAGTGAACAAAAACATTGTTTTCCATTTTGAGAGCATTTTACTAACCTGTCAAACATCTACTTTTTTCTTCGCGCCAATGAAGGATTGGCCATGAATCAATGGTTTCCCAGAGTTTTTCCTTGGCAAATCTGTCCCGGCCGGTGCGGTAGTTCATCTCACAAGAATAACTTAAACGGTCAACCAATTAATATGGGTTTTGTCTGAAAATGGTTACTATACCATCTTTTTTTCAGCTATGTCTGTATGGAAATTGTTCTGATTTTTAGCATGATTAAAGGGGCTACGAGTATAGCCTATTATCAGACAAAGCCGTATGGTTCTTGAAAAAACTTTAGTTTTTTTTTTTTTATCACCTCCGTGGATCGAAGCAAGCAGATCCAAGCAGCCAAAAACATAACTGACATGACCATGAAAAGATGTGGTCAACCTTGGTTCAACCTTGTCCCATATTTGGTTCACCAACTTGAAAACTCGGAGATGTAGTATACCTACCCAGGTAGGTAAATTGAGGATATGAAAAATCCAAGTTGGCCTCACTGTGACCTCACTGGAATAGGGGTTTTCTATTTGGGCAACTATCCCAAAATAGCAGTAATATGCAGTAATTATTTCAGCTTTGTGACAGTCATATTGCAGTTTGCCCAGAGAAAAACATGATTTACTGTGGAGGAAGATCAGCAAAAGATGACAACACTGTTGTGACCAACATTGAACCATGAAAAGATGGTCGTATAATCGGATAAAGATGCTGCTTGCCCTAGGGTAAACTAACATAGATGTGGAAAACCCATCATTTCCTTGGACAATTATCTAATTTTCTACCAATGGTGCTTTTTTTTCCACGTCTATGTTAGTTTACCGTAGGGTACATAATTCTACATAAACTTTTGGGTGTGTAAATCGATACTCGTAGTGTTATGTCGAATCCATTTTTGACATGGCAGATGTTTGTCACAAGAACTTTTCTTGAATCGCATTGCACCCCATTAATGGGAATGGGAGATTTGTCTTTACCAACCACTAGCTATGGTGGTCGGATAGTGAAAGGATTCTATGTAAACAGACTTAACAAGGGGAATTTGAACAACGAAATGGCGGATATAAGAAGATATATATATATAAGATTATAAGCCACTTTGAGGTTTGCTGAAATGTTTCCCGGCTATGCCTAGAAATGTCCAATTGTGTTTTCAGGGTTGCCAACCAGCCTGGATCGTAGCTTCAGGGACTTTAATCTACCCAACTTTTGGCAACGACATGCCTGTGAATCAGGTGTGTACTTGCATCGATCCAGGGAACGATTGTCACATGTCAACGATTAATAAACCCAGCCTTACTGAGGCCCTGGTGCAGCAAATTGGCAGGGGGTTACTCCGAATTTGCTTGGGCTTAAATTTGCCAAATGGCAGCTAACCCCCCAATTGCTGAGGGGTTTATCACTCCTGGGCTCCATATTGTAAAATGCTAAGGGGAAGGATCTCACCAAGACGTGCTGTGGCTCAAGGCCACAACGCTTCGAATCCGTGGGACCGAGCCGTGACCTCCATGCAACAGTTTTTGCGAGCCCGGCTCGGAGTTTGACATAGCACTCTGATGGAAGTCCCATTCAATCCCGGTAGAAACTGACCAACCATAACCCATAGGATCCATGTATGGTAAATATATCTGCGTAATTTAGAGCGAGGGCTGACGAGGTACGAGGTGAATCTTTGCAATTTAAGCGAGGTGAATTAATTAAATTCAGAAAACGAGGTGGGCAGAAATTGCTTTCAAAGCATGTGCAACGAGTGAAAAAATAGAAAATTAAGGGTGCATTCAGACCCCGTGAAAAAAAACTTTCTGGAGCCCGAAAAGTTTTCTTATCGTAATTTCAGTCAGTGCCCTGTGGTGGCATGCTGCAGCTGAACAGGCGCTCAGGCATAAATCGTGTCACCTAATGGCTGCTGTGAAGGTAGTTCTCCAGCCACGGCTGGGATGGCCATGGCAATTTGAGGATGGGCGCCTTTCAACCACTTTTGGCGAAATCCTAGACGCCTATGCGTCCCAGAACGCATACGGGTGGCACTCCAGCTGCTACAGCCTTTGGGTTGGAGATCAGTTGGTTCGTCGTGACATGGCTTTGTCGGACGTGACAAATGGTTCCATCGGTCTAGTTGTTTGCACCGTCCATACACCTGATGATACGGCTGCTCAGAAAGTTGCCAAGTCTTTGGCTTTGCTGCAGAAGCAGGTGCCAGGAGATGGAATTGGAAAAACAACTTTTGACACCGAATTGGAAAAAAACTTTTTACATCCCCAAAAGTTTTTTTTCCAATTCTGAGAGCCCATGGCATTAAGGAAACATTTGGGAGCCAGGGCAACACCGCCTCTCATTGAGCAACATCTCCTCGTGAATTCATGGGGCCCCAAGCCCGGCAGCCAAGAATGTGACGCTTTTGTTTCAAAGAGCGTAGTGACTTTCATGGAAAAAGAACGAAGGCTTGCCACAAAGGGTGGGCCACTGGTTTCCAAGAAAGACCTTCGCCTCCCCCGAAAACGAGCCTTGAGGAGTGACAAAGGCGCAAAGCGCAAATCTTACATTAGAAAAAAGACAAAAACAAGTGAGCTGACCAAAGCTCCAAATGCTCGGTGCCTTGCTCGAAATGGCTCGGCTGCCATCAATTTGGAGGAACCGCCCGAAGATGCTGCCCGTCCTTCCATCTTAGACAAGATGAGCCCTCTGAAAAAGAGGAAGAAGGAGGCAGAGGACTAGTTCGAATGGCTTGCGGTCGAGAAAGAAATGGGACGAGGACTGAAATCCGTTTTGAATGTAACGAGGCGAGGACTGAAGATTTAATCAGAGGGGAAAAGTAGATTTAAGACGAGGAAACCGTTTTGAATTTAAAGTAAATTTTGCAGATATATGCTAACATTTGGGGTATATTGATGGTAAATGTTACCATATAGCATACATGGATCCTATGGGTAATAGTTATATAAGCACTCATTAAACACCAAGCACCCGTTAAATCCCATTAAGCACCCGTTAAATACCAAGCTGGCCACGCCTGCGGCAGATCTTGCTGGCGCCGGATGATTTCAGACTGCCCAACTGCACGCATGAGGCCAGCTGAGAAGACTGGAAGTGTCCAGGCTGGATATGGATTTATAATGATTTAATATGATTTATATGGCTATTTTCGTCAAAGCTCTGGCACTCTAGGTCAACTCTAGGTACTCTAAATTATAGCTGGCTCATAGGTTTTGACCCGTCTACAAGAGGATTGCAAGATGGGCGCCCCCAGGTATGAGTTGCTTTGTAAACAGGGGCCCCACCTGGGCCCGTGGCCCCCTCCCCAGTTATCGGATAATGACTAGAGATAATGTCTAGCATAGACTGTGTCGTAAACCTAGTTTAACGAAGTTACCTATCGTTTGGGTGGCGCATCTGGTATCAACCAGTCATCAACCCTGCCTTTTTGGGGACGCCACGGTCCAGTTTAATTTGACCCGTACCCCTTTTTGGGGACTCCCTAACATGCATGATTTATTGTAATATGATCAATATTGATCAATGGCCATTTCAGCAATTTAAGTTGGAGGTACCTACTTTTAGGGGTAAATTTCGGAGGGGTTTGCCCTCAAGTTCTATGGTTTTATATACATATATATATATATACATATTATATATATATATAGTACAGTACCTCAGTACCTTCCCATGGATATGGCACATCCCTTGGGCCCGAAATGAAGCTCCACCTACAACCTACTTTCACTGAGGGGCCAACGCAAGTGAGTGTGGCAGTTAGTCAGTGATAATACTGAAACGTCATTCCAATCATTCCAATTATTAATGTGTTGTAACGTTTAGGGTATTTGAACAACACATGTTGCTACCAATCAATTACCGCATTGATATCACAACATGTGGTATCACACATTTCAATATTTTTAGGGTATCCATATTGGATGGTAGCCAGATTTGGTATCTCTAGTCCACTCAATGGGAATTCCAGGATTCTAAAATGGAGGTACTGTACCATATAAGGCTATATTTTGTGGTCATATTCCCTTACATAGGCCTTATATAGGGCCTTATATATGGTAGGCACCTCCATTTTAGGATCCTGAAATTCCCATTGATCCACTTGGCAAAACACAGCATGGTGGTCAAAAATATGCCGTTGGGACCTGCAGATACGTTTTTTTTTTTTTTGGTGGTGGGTCATATGATGCGATGACATACAGCATGTCATAATATAGTAATATAATATAATAATATAATATAGTAATATAATATAGTAATATAATATAGTAATATAATATAGTAATATAATATAGTAATATAATATAGTAATATAATATAGTAATATAATATAGTAATATAATATAGTAATATAATATAGTAATATGATATAGTAATATAATATAGTAATATAATATAGTAATATAATATAGTAATATAATATAGTAATATAATATAGTAATAACCAACATTAAGCAACAATCGTATGTCACCGTGTAGTCCCTCGACCAGGCGGATGGCATCCGCAACGGATGGTCTGAATGCTTGGGCACTACACTATCATATACCATCTGGTTATTTAACATAGCCATGGTATAGATGGCCCATAGAAATAGATGATTTTCCCAGCTAGAAACCTCCATTTATAAGGGATTTTCCATGGATTTTAATGGGATACCCTCTGGTAAACGTTTATATACATAACTATGGAACATCACCATCTTTAATGGGTAAATCAACTATGTCTATGGTCATTTTCAATAGCAAACTGTTAAATTACCAGAGGGTATATATATATATACTAGGTCAATCAACTGGATGGGTAGAAACTAATCCTGCTATGTCTTTTGGTATCAATGGAATTATCTACATTCACCAGCTAAGAATTTATTTTATTGCAGGGTATCTAAGATTGGCCATGTGTATATACACACACACATATATATACATATAAGGGCATATGCGCATTTGCATGACGCATTTCATAATTTCATATCATAATTTCAACATTCATATCCAAGGACGATATGAGAGAGATGCAAGTGTAACGTCTTTTGCGATCCCTTCCCTGTTGATCCCACTAGTGATTTAATCACAATGTACACCTGCGATTGTTCATGTATAATCAATTGATGTCAATTTGCGTGGGATTAATCAAGAACTATGTGGAACAGTGTATCCATTAGCAGTATCCATATCATATCATATCATATCATATCATATCATATCATATCATATCATATCATATCATCTATTAGTATATCATATCATCCACTAATGAATATTACTGATAGATATACCAACCATTAGTATATTAATAGATGATATGTTATGATTAATCCACTCATAGATATGCCTAAAATAGATATTACTAATTAATCGATATTCCCGAAATAGATATTCCCGCAAAATAGATAGATGAATTCATCATATATGGATCCTCATCCCGTCAACTACCATGGCTCGCAACATGTGTCCAGGATCCTGTGCTGAATGGTTGCTTCGGCCTTCCAATTGTGGGAGATCCAGGCTTCTTCCACGCCCGTCCGGGGCGAACGGGGAAACCTGGAGTGGTACGAACGGTGCGAATCCAATCAGGAAGTGGTTTATTACCCATAAATAAAATTAGAATATATAGATATATATTAATAATGATACATATATAATATAACATATATTTTCAATATATAAAATATTCATTAATACATATATTAATATATATAACTGGGGTATATCCTATCCTTTACCCGGGTTATATATTATGATTATTAACCACTCACAACGGGAGGCACATCGACCTGTGTTTTTTTTCTACGAACGGTGCGACACAAATCGACTTGGGATGAACTAAGCCGCAAAAACGATTCCTGGGCTGGTTCGTTACAAGTAGTTTAGTAACGTTGTTTTGTTTTTCAAGGTTTTTTTCATAGATGGGGGTTACCCTCTGGCAAACTAACATAATTATGGAAAATCACCATATTTTATGGGTAAATCAACTATGTCTATGGCCATTGTCAATAGCTATCTTTGTCTACCAGAGGGTAAGTTCAGTAACGTTGTTTTTTTTTTTAATGGTGTTTTCATAGATGGGGGCTGGGGTTAATGGGATACTTAGCGGCTACAATGAAATGAAGGATATCTCATGGATTGACCATGTTTGTGAAACAAAACCAAAACTAGTTGCTTGAGTTCAATTGTGAGTAGTGGGGGTTTAATTGTCATGAAATAACATGAATGGCGATTTACTGTAGACTGGTAGGTTGGGTTCAACCGTGATGAATTGGGGGTTCCACAGTTCAATCACAATTAAAAGTAGGATTTAGACTTGTAGATTAATTTTACTATCCAATAAGCAAACAAGGATGCTGGCTATAATCCCGATGTTTGATAGGATCCTTGTGTACACATCAGGGATTTTCCGTTGGCAGACATTGTGAAATTGAGAGATAACTTGAGATAGCCAATACAAATGGCACGGCAAGACATGTCAAAACCGTAGGTGAAAAGGGGCTCAATGTAGAGCTCCAAGCTAGGAAACATCTTTTCACTGAAGATACTCAGCTGGAAATTCTGACTGCCCCTTCATTCTTGCTCTTCAGTGACTGCCTGATTTCCTGGGTATGCTCTTCACAAAATGTTTCAGTGCATCAGTAAGGTAAAAAGCTTTGAATCTTATGTAGACATGTACCATCTGGTTATTTAACATAGCCATGGAAAATCACCATGCTATTAAGTTCGGTAAATCATCTATTTCTATCTATTTCTATGAGCCGTCTATACCATGGCGAACTGTTAGTCATAACCAGGCCGGGTACACATCTACAATGGAATACATCTATTTTTCGGCATCCCCGACTCCACAGAATCGAAATTCGTCATCCGAAATTCCTCTGCCTCAGATCCGAATCCTCTCCTTCCGCTGTGCGATCCTTTGCACGAAATCATTCTGACGTTCGAACTGTGATCCCGGCTGTTTGAAGAGAAGTGGTCGGAACGATGATGGAAGGATGAGGTGATGTCATGTGGATGTAACATGATGTAACCGGGGGATGTACAGAGTGTCGATGATACATGACTATACAAAGTTATATACACATGCAAATATGTCAACCTTAGTATACTTTAGTTTACTGTATATATATATATACATGCACGTATATACACAGAATAGTGTGTACAATATCTGAGTGTCTGACATGGTGAAATAGGCGAACCAACAATTTTCCAAACATGGGTGAAATTTCGTCGGAAACCCAATGGTTGTGGGGTCCCTCAACTTCAAGATACCACAGTATGGATCAACAAGAGATAAGGTCCTGCGGGCACTATATTCATGTACATTCAGCTATGCTACTGGTAAACTAACATAGCTATGGAAAATCACAATTTTATAGCTGGGAAAATCCACTATGCCTATGGCCATTTTCAATAGCTATGTTTGTTTACCAGGCCGGGTAACTCAGCAACTCTTTCCATGATTCTGCTGGACACATCACCATGGATAAGCCTGGTGAAACAAGAATCAAATCCTCCATCTGTAGTTGGGTTGCTTCCCGTTTTCCCGTTTCCAAAAACCATCCAGGGAGCTTGGGGTACCCCATTTCAGGAAACCAGCATTCCTGCTATCATATCATCATGTTTGGACAACGCAAGCGTTCAAAACCTCCTATGCCCACTGAATTATCGATTGAATTCAGACTACATGACTATGGTCAGTTTCAATGACCAGATGTTGATGGTCGCATGCCAGCATATTTGATTGTCACTATCCTTATTTATTTTGGGTGCTTGAATCCCCAAAGGCCCTATTTGTTTTTTATTTTTGCATATTTTTGCCACTGAAATCCACATCTTTGGCCAGTCAAATCCACAATCTTTGTCGATCAAAACCACTTTTTGGTGAAATCCATTTAAATCCACATGTTTGCTGATGAAAACCACATCTTTGGTTGGTCAAACGCCCGTTTTGTTTTGGGCAATTGTTGTTGCTTCTGGTTTTGATTGACCCAGCAAATTATTTATTGGGTGTTTCACAGGTATTGTTGGTTAAATCCCTATGCTCCATCATTTTTGATGGTTATCACCATTTTCCAATATTTTCCACATCTGTGTTGGTGAAACCAATGTTTTTTTTGCTATCGAAGGATAGGACGGTTCCCATTATATTGCCACAAGAAACACATGCATAATACCTTCTGGTAAACATACAAAAACTATGTAAAATCACATGTTTTTAATGGGTAAATCCACTATTTCTATGGTCATGTTCAATAGCTATGTTAGTTTACCAGAGGCTAAATTCCATAAGTTGGGAGATAATCATTATATTAACTATCCCTACAACTATTCACCAAGTAGACAGTCCTTCATAGTGGGATGGGAGTATTCTCATCATTTGAATTACCTTTGATATATCATTAAAATCTCACTTTTCCATGATTATATATTCATGGTTATCATGTTCCACATGTTTGTTGGTGAAACCAATGTCTTTTTATTAGGGAGATTTACCATTCATATTCTACTATTACCATATGGGCAAACATGTTTTAATCGATGTGGCAGCTGAAGCGACCTTCAAGTAAGACTAGGCCTCCCACAACCTTTGGAGAACATGACCGATTTGCGCAGCGGGAGCTTGTCCGCTGAATGCGGCTTGCTGCTCGCAGCAGCAGAAAATGCAACGCCTGGAGGAAGCGAAAGCCATGAAGGTGGCCGCCGAATGTTGGATTCGCGCGTAATGATGCGGAGCATGCACTGGTTTCAGAGAACGTCAGAGAACGTGTGGTGGTGTCACTGGTCTTTTGGTTCTGGTGGAACTGAGGTTTAAAGGACAGCGACCCATCAAGAATGGAGGTTTATTTCGTTGGGAGAATAATCAATGGTAGATGTTCCAGCCAGCCATGTTTGATTACCGGAGGGTATATCCCAATCATTATCCCAATTATTATCCCATTATTATGCATCCCAATTCCATCCCATTATTTTGCATCCCATTTATTATACCATTGATAACCTCCATAAGTCAGGATATTAATTATCAGTTGGGATAATAACCTCCATCAGATTCCATCATAAAGCCTAGTTATTGAAGTTATAGACCAACTTAGTAAACTAATTGGGGTTATAATTGACTTATGTATAAATGGGATAACCCCAGTTAGGGGACTTACCTTCACCAGGTAAAAATTAACCAGTTACGATCCTCCAAGTATCCCCAAGGTAGATGGTCTTACTCATAAGTTGGGATAATAACCTCCAATCATATTATCAATGGCAATTTCAGGAACCTAAATTGGAGGTACCTACCATATATGGATGTGGGTCAAAATGGAAGACCTAGGGGACCACAGATGTTAGTCTAGTTTAGTATTAACCATCCATAATTTTGGGGTACCTAATTTTGACCCATACCCATATAAGGTCTATATAAGGCCTATGTAAGGGAATATCCCCACAAAATATGGCCTTATATGGTACAGTACCTCCGTTTTAGGATCCTGAAATTCCCATTCATACTAGCATAAAACTGATAATTATGAAAACCAACTAACTGTATAATCATTGTGTGTTCTACTATCATGAAATAATATTAACTATGTTTCATGAACACCAGCTATCATATATTCCTCCATCATAACACAGAACTATATGTATATATATATAGAACTGATAATGATGAAAACTGTAAAATAATATATAATCATATGACCGGTAGAATATATATATAACTACATGTTTTATACATATATAACTCATATGATGAAAACCAACTGTACAATTACATTAATGTGAGTAAAACAATGCCATAAACCATCCCCCAGTCATCACCATTTTTCTAGGTGGTATAAATCATTCCCAGTCATGGGTGGTAAACAGGGCATGTTTTGCCAACATTACAACTACGTATAACAACCAACTATCTACTAATTCATCTATCAACTATCTACTATATCAACTGTTTTACCTACATTAACCACTGAAAAATCTATTATTTCAGTACTGTATCAATCTGTATCAGTGGTTAACCACTATTTACAACTATCTATTGTTTTTTACCTACATAAAAAACCACTGAAATTCATCCGGCCGTGGGTCTCTCCCATCCGCCAGGCCCTGGTGGGGCAACTTGGACCCCGAGGAGTTTCCGGATCTGCCACCCATCGCCCCAGTGGCCCTGCAGGTGACGCCAGGGGTTTCCGTGGCGGGCATGGCAAGCCACGCCAGTCCCACAATGGCAAAAGGCCCCCGTTTGAAATCGCTAAGTTGCTGCGTTTATAACGAACCAAGTTCACGAAATGGTTTATGGTATTTATAACGAACTAGTTACTGGGGCTTTTGTTAACCAACTTACATATCTTAGGGGCCTCACATTGCAAGCTGCAGGATGCCTGATTTTTGTGGTTGAATGAACTATGGCTTATGGTATTCCCTGTGGTTATGACTAACAAAAAGCCATGGTAGCCAGATGGCCCAAATCGAAAGTTCGATGGTAAAAACCGAACTTAATAGCATGGTGATGGCTTCCATGGCTATGTGAGTCATAACCAGATGGTGGAAATAACGAATTAGTTAATACTAGGGGGTTATGAACCAACATCACTGGGCATCATCCTGTGGAATGGGTAGAAACTCATCCTGTGGAGTTTGTTTGCGGAAATTTGTATGGAAAATAACAAACCAGCCAGCAAAAGACGACATTTCTTTTGTGGACTATCAAAGATTGACCATGAACCTGAGAAGAAAAGTGGCAGTGTTAAGATGTTTTGATGGGAATATCAAAGAACTAAATTGAATAAATGGAGGTTTTGATGGGAAAACCTCATGTGTTCTATATTTCTTTGATCTTTTTCTTCTTGTTGGAAAGTCTAATGCCTGGATATTCTCTGCAATATCCAATGGTATTAGTAGTAATTGCAATGTAGATATCCCCCGCAATATAGATATGACTGTCTCAAAATGGGATACACCCCTCCACATGGCAACTCTGAGGTGATTTAGGGTGATTTAGGGGTCTGCTAGTTTTCAGATCAACCAATATCTTGTTTATTGTCAGTAATGTCAAACATTTTGAATATATCTATTGAAGATATCTATCACTTGGTAATACAGATATTGGTTTATATATTCTCAGTAATATCACGTACCCTCTGGTGAACTAACATAGCAATTGAAAATGGCCATTAATAGTGGATTTTCCCATTAAAAATTGTGATTTTCCATTGCTATGTTAGTTTACCAGAGGGTATTCTCAGTAATACCTAATTACTATATATAGATATTCCCTGCAATGAAGATTTCTTACGTCATTCTCCGGCGGTAAAAATCAATATTTGCTGACGTGGAGATTTCGCGAAATAAATTCCTCTAGGGGATGATCCCTTTTTTATCAACGAGATACATACGACCTCACTACGACCGAACCCTGGAAATCATGGTTAGATTGCGGGAAATGATCCCCAAATGGCTGAAAAATTCAGGTTAGTGAATTATTATAGTATGCCCATATATTATATACATATATATATATATATTCATATACTACATAACCACTAGACATTCAATAGCCCTTATAACCACTATGTATAATGGCATATTTTTAGATATATTGCCCTCTGGTAATTAGACATAGCTATTGAAAATTGCCCATAGAAATAGATGATTTAGTAATTTACCTACATTTACCTACATTTTCCCAAAAAACATGGTGATTTTCCAGTTCGCTATGTGAAAACGACTGGAGGGTATCAACTATAAATGGGTTATACCCCCAGTTAAAAGTTGGTTTATTTATAAGCCCCATTAACTATTTTTTTGTTTATCATAAACCATAGTGAAATTGGAGTTCTGTTCACCAACTTAGCGATTTCGTTTACCGGGGCCCCACATTGTAGTATAAATGGGTTGTAACTCCATCTATAATGGCTATTTTTCTAGGCAAATCATTTGTGAAAACCATTTGTTTCTTTGGCCATTTTGGTATAAATGGGTAGTAACTGGTTAGTAATTGGGGTTATAATCGACTTATAAATGGGTTATAACCCCAGATAGGGGAGTCGCCTTCACCAGGGTTATTAACCAGTTGCGATCTGTGGGATGATCCTCCAAGTATAGATAAATTTACTCATAAGTTGGGGTAATCACCTCCAATCATATTGACATAAAACTTATAATGATGAAAACCAACTAACTGTATAATTATTGTTGGTTCCATGCTAACTATAATTAGATAATATTTATACATAAGAAAATACTATGTTTCATGAAAACCAACTATCACATATTCCTCCATCACAACATATATATATATATATGTATATTTAAGTCTCTCTCTATATATATATATAAGTATATATATATAAGTCATATATATATATGTAAGTATATATATATATATACATATATATATATATATAAGTCTATATATATTATATATATATATATATTATATATATGTAACTGTTGTCCCCAGGGCCCCCTGGGCCCCACAGGCCCCAGCCGGCCAGGGCGGTACGGAGCTCCTTTGGTCCATCACGGTGAAGGTGCCCGACAGCACCCCGAAGGTCCGCAGCAACAACGCGCCCTGGCGTCGAAACGCGGCGCGTTTTTTGCAGCGCGGATGGTTGGGGGGTCCTTAGAGGTGTTGAGGATGAAAACTAGGTCAATCTTAGATGGGTAGTGGATTTATAATGGATTTATTTATTGGATATATGGTGTATGTCCAACAATATAACAATGTATACTGGTTGATGGGAATACAATGGGATACTAACTAGGGCAATCTTAGATGGGTAGAAACTAATCCTGCTATGTCTTTTGGTATCAATGGGTATATCTACGTTCATCAGCAAAGAATTTAAATTTTTGCAGGGTATCTCAGATTGGCAATGAAAAGAGGGTGAAACACATTGTGTTTTGGATGGATTTTGGATGGATGCTTGATGGATGTTGGATAGATTTAGGATGGATTTTGGATGGATGTTGATATTTTGATGGATTTGGTAAAGGATTCTACTGTAATACGGGGATGTTTTTTTGTGGGAAAATCAGTGAACATCATCTGTACATACGTAGTTTTTTTTTCTTCGGAGATATGATGTGGTATGTCGCCAGCGATGTGATATTTAATAATGTATCAATAGGGGGGGTACCAATTTTAATGGTAATTGATCGCCATCGCTATTATTGGGGTAACCCTCCAAGAAAAATAGTCAGAACCTATTAATCTGGGTATGCTTGTAGTATATTTCATCCATACAGCAACCAGCAAGGGTTATACATTCACTGGATGTTTCTATACTTGTTTGTTGATGTGTGTAAATCCGGAACGAAGCCCGTTGATGGGAACTGTACTGCCAACAGTGTTTTGCGCACTATTTAGAGGCGAGAATTTGAAACTGTACAGCCACTGAAATTGTAGGAACTTGAGGTTTAATATGGTTTCATGGATGACACTGCCACTACATTGTTTTAAAAATGAAGTTGCATGAGTTATGAACCATTGAAGTTGTCGTTCAACTATTCATTTTGACGTCTTGTCCGGGGGTGGGTGGAAACTTGAGGTCAAATTTTTGATCATCCTCCCAACCAGCAGTTTCACCCAATTTTCGACAAGTCTTCGAACCCTCAGAATGGCCATTCCCATCATCCTCAACCGCCTCCTCCTCCTCATCCTCATCATCATCATGATGATGATCATCGTCATCGTCATCGTCATTGTTATCGCCATCATCGCCATCGTCGCCATCATCGTCATCATTAAAGATCATTAGCAATGCATGAATACCCTCTGGTAAACTAACATAGCTATGGAAAATCCATATTTTCCATGGGAAAATCCACTATTTCTATCGCCATTTTTAATAGCAAACTGTTAAATTACCAGAGGGTAACACACAATCCATGGATACTTCAATGATTCTGAACCGCAAATCCCAGGAACATCTCCCAGGTGTCTCTGCCTTAGGTCTTCCGCGTACGGGTCATGGATGCCAACAAAGTGGCCGTCGATGGCAACCTCTGGCTGCCTGGAGAGGAGGTCGAAGGGACCGGAGAAAAACATGGCTATGATCTGAACACTTGGTGATGTAAGGAATGAACATGGGGATACACATTATATATATACACAATATATTTGCTCCCTAATACTAACCCCCCCAAATGGTAAACACAGTGATCTATTTTTATTATTAGGGGGTATTTTGTATTAGGGCGCCCCTAATAACCAAAAACAATCAAATTTGACTAAATCACTTTTGTAAATCTATATAAAATATTGCCACAAAACTGGATTTCGAAGCTTTCCCCTACATAATATTCCAATGAAAACCTTAATTAAAAAAACATGGTTTCAAGTGTGATTAAATCCCTTATTAAAACGTATATAACATATTGCCAAAAACTGGACTTCGAAGCTTTCCCTCAATATTCCAATGACAACCTTAATAATAAAATCAAAAAATAAAAATTGTGAGATGGGAGCCTAATAGAAAAACCTCCAGGTACCATTCTATTATTAGGGGGTTGAAGCCATTATTTCACCATCCTGTTCTCATTGATTTTCAATTACCACAATTAAGAACGCAAATGTAACCCACCAAAAAAAAAAAACGAAATTGCCAATCCCTTCCTATGTTTATTACAGTAGTTGGGGGAGTTTTAGTAATAGGGAGCAGAGATTATATAACAAAATATATCTAATATACCTAGTAATATATATATATGTATATAAAGATGTATGTACACATACACACATACACACATCCACACATGCATCCATCCATCCATCCATCCATCCATACATCCACACATCCATACATCCATACATCCATACATCCATACATCCATACATACATTCATACATCCATCCATCCATCCATCCATACATACATACATACACACATACATACACACATACACAGACATACACAGACATACACAGACATACACAGACATACACAGACATACACAGACATACACAGACATACACAGACATACACAGACATACAGACATACACAGACATACACAGACATACACAGACATACACAGACATACACAGACATACACAGACATACACAGACATACACAGACATACACAGACATACACATACATACACAGACATACACAACATACAAACATACAAACATACAAACATACAAACAAAAAAACATACAAAAAACATACAAAAACATACAAACATACAAACATAAAAACATACATACATACATACATACATACATACATACATACATACATACATACATACATACATACATACACACACATACATACATACATAGATAGATACATAGATACATAGATACATAGATGGATATATAGATAGGGATAATATAAGATAAGATAAGTTAGGGATAGATAGATAGGTAGATAGGTAGATAGGGAGATAGGTAGATAGGTAGATAGGTAGATAGGTAGATAGGTAGGTAGGTTTTAAGTTGTGGGGATTTTAGCCCAACCCAATGATACATGTTTGGGAAATCTCTGATTATTCAATGTGATGGCCCAAGCATGTTTGATTTCACATCATGAGAAATTGGGACATACAACCGACAATTTTGTGGCTTTGCCGGGATCTAGTCGAGCCGGTATGATATTTGGGTTTTGTCTCAAAACAGGATTTTTCAGAGCTCAAATTCCGATGGTTCATTGGCTAGAATTGCAACTCGGGGTGTATGTGTTGAGTTCTTGGACACGCCCAAATGAACCAAGAGAAGGGGTTTAGACCGTGATGCGGTTGTCTCAACATTTTGAACCCTAAAGTCAAACGATGTTAGAAAACTATTCTCCCCATTCAAATTAGCTTAAGTAGGCATTGGATCATTCAGTCCAAATGGATCATTCCCATGTCCTCATTCACTGACAGCCACTACCAAGTATGTTTCCAGTTTCCCATTCCATTTGACATAGGGAATCAGATAACTTTTCATGTGTACAGGATCATGAATATATGTGGGAATGATCACAAAAAACAATTTGCTCTGCTAAATGATGACAAAGACCATATTTTTATCACAGGAAAATTGCAGTATCCAATGATGGTATAATTGACCATGGACCATGCCATTCATCCATTACTACAATGTGGGGCCACCAAATGATAGCTAAGTTGGTGCTTGCAATCAACTCCAAATTCACGAAATGGTTTATGCTACGCAAATTTCACGAACTGCAAACATATTCATGGGGTGATTTTTTCATCCAATTTATAACTGGGGGGCCATCCATACCCCATAGGATCCATGTATGCCATATATGGTAACATGGATCCCATCAATATACCCCATTCATGTTAGCATATATACCAGCACCATGGATCCTATGGGCTATAATCTATAGGATATAATCTATAGAAAATCACCATTTTTCATGGGAAAACTCACTATAAATGGTGATTTTCCATAGTTATGTTAAATTACCAGAGGCTAACTCACTCTTAGTTTACTATATGATGTTCATATTTTTCAAACATTACCTGCGGCTTCAAGCGCAGGTGCGAACCATTCCGCGGGTAACTCGATGAACTTGATGAACGGGAACCAGAAGGGGAAGCCATGGGGGAAGTCCTGTCCTCTAACATGGATAAAAACTAGGGGTAGCCCCATGACTCAGGAGAACCACTGAGTTCTTGTAGATTTTTAAGAGTGAATATTGGATAATATTGGATAGTTAATTAGGTGTTACACGATCTCTAATCGAAGAAATCGAAGAAATCGAAGAACATATTTTCCAAAATTACTGCAACAGAATACAGGTTGTTGGCATGGTAAAACTTGCAGTGATTACTCCAATTGGCCGCATTGACCTGGGAAAATCATCAGTGTCTGGGACAAAGTGCATGAATTTTTTGGTGAAGACTTACTGATGGCTGGGAAGGGGGAAACAACATCTGTACTTCTACATATATACCCTCTGGTAAACTAACATAGCTATGGAAAATCCATATTTTCCATGGGTAAATCCACTATTTCTATGGCCATTTTCAATAGCAAATTGTTAAATTACCAGAGGGTATATATTATATATAATTTATATATATATATATATAAAAAGGTATGTAAACCTTTGGTATTTGAATATGATTCGAAAGCACATCCAGGATACTTAAGTTTGCCATCATCATTTGGTACGCTGATTTTCTGCATCATTTTCCATTGAACATGGCCATGTTAATTTGGGGGGAACTATCACAACCTCACAAGCTGACCCAAAAAAATGACGCTTGATCCAGGGAATCATCGGAGTTCCAATTTGGAAATTACTCTTATGTCTACGTATGTATATTATTATATTATATATTTTTATATTATATATTTTATATATATTATACATTATAAATTATATATGATATATTATATATACTATATATATACTATATATATACACTATATATATACAATATATATATATTATAACCATATATATATACTATATAACCATATATATATATGTTTATGATTATACACATAAGTTGCCCAAAATACAACATACTGAATTCCCAATGCCAGCGAGCCTTGGCTTCGGAATTGCTGGCAGGATCCTGTCCTGGTAGAATCCTGTCCTGGTAGAATCCTGTCCTGGTAGGCCCCGCCCCGACTCTAAGGTTCAAGATTTCAAGATCTGGTTCACGCAACCGGTGGGACATCCCCAGCTTGCTGTGATGAGGGTCTAGCCGGAAAATCACCAGATTGTTTTCAGATTTTTTTTCTGCCTTTTTCTCAATCATATTTCTTCATTGTCAGGCTTAGGTTTACCTAGTTTACTTCAGAATAGAGTCCGATCTTCATCCAGGCTGATGTTAGATTCTTAGATGCAGTTGAAAAGTCTCCAGTTGTTATAACATGTTAATAACATTAATGTTATAACAGAAAAGTCTCCAGTTGTGTAAAAAGAGGATCACCCACGAATCTCAATTGGATCAGATGACTTGCTTTCCTGAGTCATAGGGCTACCCCATTGATAAATCATCCATTTATAGATGGGATTTTCCATGAAATAAAGCAACCGGCTAGCTTAAGGATACCCCCATGGATTGGAAAACCCCATATCATCTACATTATCCATTAGATAGTTGATTATCTATGATTATCTAATATACATCATTAGATTATTGATAAATCATCCATTTATAGATGGGATTTTCCATTACAAAGCAACCATAACTTTGGATACCCCATGGAAACCCAAAAACACCAGGTGCCCGCATCCATGATGACTGTGGCCATCCACTTCTCCTTCAACAAGACGCTGCGGGGACCTCGGTGAGCTTCACCGAGGTACTGCAAGGGATCCCCAGTCCTATCACAATAAAGATGAATACTATATCTGTAAGTAGACATTATATAGATATTATATAGTAAGATTTAATAATTACCCTTTGGTAAATTAACATAGACCCTGAAAATGACCAATTTTTAGTGGAAACTAGCCTTCCAACCCCTATTTGGCAGGGTCTATGTTGATTTACTGGAGGGTATACGGTAACGACATTTAAATACCTGATCGGACAAAACCGCGAGGCGGAGGTAGTATAAAATACCTGTTCGTATATTTTAAAATCCGAAAAACATTAAATGTAGTTACCTTTTCTTTTCAGATCTACGGCGACGTCGCCTAGTCATGAATTCATGAACAAACACATATGTATGAAATCTATTAAAACTGCTATGATTACCAAAATCTATTAAAACTTTGATTACTGCATTAAAAATGTTGATGCTAAGCTATTGATTAAATTATTAATCTATAATCATTGCTAGTGTGAAAATCCAATAGATCCTAATTGGAATATTACATCTATATCAATCCAATAGTCTGAAATAGCTTAGCATCTATATATATATTGATAGCAATTTACCAATTTATATCTATATTAATAGATAAATTATCAATCTATATATTGATCCAATTGATTAAAATAGTGTGAACATCTCAAGCAACTCAGCGTAGTCTTCAGGCCGCGAGGCGAAGAGTCATCCCCCTTGCGGGTCATTGAAATCATGGCACCGCAGGGGTGCGGGTCCCAGAAGTTCGGGCACCAGCGTGAGGAGAGGATCATTCACCACAAGAAATGGTGATTTTTATTGGGGTTTAACCATGTTTAACCATGTTTAACCATGTTTAACCAAGAAAAAATGTGTTATAGTGGGCATACAATCAGAACATGATGATCTATATCATGTCATTCAATCGTATTATATAAAGATATAGAATATATGTGATATCGTCTATTTTACGTGTCTTTTCTCAGCCGAGTTGCCCAAGTAAACTCATTGATTTCATCAAGTTAATACTATTGGTCAGGCTACTAATGTATGTTTTTGAATTAAACAAACACCTGATTAATTTTAGATAATCTGGTTGGTGGTTTGGAATATGTTTTATTTTCCATAATATATTTAATATATGGGATAATCCTTCCCATTGACTTTCATATTTTTCAAGATGGTTAAAACCACCAACCAGTAATTTTTGATATGTCAGTACTATAAACCCGAGTGAATTTGGAGTTATAATAATCCAACTTAGCTATCGAACAGGAGCCCCATGTTGTAAATCCATTTTGCTGTATGGGAATATTTACGGATATGACTGCGATAGATTGGATATGATTGATAATTTGATGATCGGCAACTGTGTTGTTTGCATAGGGGAAATTCACCACTCAAATATGGGTTTCAACTGGAAAAAAAACGGAAATACACTTGATACGACGTAGACGATGGTTGCTTATTGCAGTGAGCTGCCTCCAGTTTTTCCCCCATGGTTTGATACGGATTGTTTTCACTAACCTAAAATAGTCATAGCGTTTTTGAGCAGCCAGTGTAATGGCATTGCTTAAAGAGGGGTGTTTTTTTCATCGCTCATTTTTTCGTCTGGGCCGGGTTAGACTCCAAAAAGGTCTTAACATGGAAGCTGAGCAAGCAACAGAAGCAGGCACCAAAGTTGTCAAAGGAGACAGAGGTCTGGCCAGTCTGTCGGTAACAACAGTGGAGAAAAAAAAAACACGGATACCCTCTGGTAAACTAACATAACTATGGAAAATCACCATGTTTTAAATGGGTAAATCAATAAATCAATTTTTTCTCAGGCCATTTTCAATAGCAAACTGTTAGTTTACCAGGCCGGGTATCCTTCGAGGAGGCAGAATTGTGGAACGCCTCCGGCGTAGGGCCAAGGTTTGCGTCCCCATCAAGGCTCCAAGCCTAGTCCCAGGATGCCCAAAGCGGCTGGCAAGTTAGGTCCTGGTGGTGTAGCAGCGACTCGCAATCTGAAAAGGAGGAACCTAGAAACGATGTGAAAAGAGCCTAGTATGACTACATAGTTTTCCAACTACTTGACAAGCCAACAGCAATAGTTACAATAGTTCCTGTCATTTCCCCAGACTTACACTTTTGGAATCATTAGATGGAACATGAATGAACATGATAATGTTGTTAAAACAATAATAAACCATCCCCCAAATCACAATTTTTATAGGTGCTACGTTTACCATTCCCAGTCATGGGTGGTAAACATGGCATTGTTTTAACCACATTATAGTTTTTTGCAACATCTACCCTCCGGTAAATAAACATAGACCCTGAAAATCACCATTTTTTAATGGAAACTAGTCTTCCAACCCCTATCTGCCAGGGTCTATGTTAATTTACCAGAGGGTATGTTTTAACCACATGATGTTTAACCACATTTATGCAACATGGTTTTGCCATGTTGCGCAACATGGCATTTATGCGTCCATTTTTTCAAAAATCCATTGGGGACTGAACTAAAAAAAACCGATTGATTCAACGTTTCAAACATCCATTAACCATGAATGCCACTACCCTGTAAAGTATGTAAACTATAGATGTGGAGTTTACCGTTTTACCCAAGATTTCTGAGATTTTCCCGAAGACCATTGGGTTTTTCCACATCTCCAGGATTGAGCTGAAGGTGCGGCGTCCCAAAGACGTGCAACGCTTGAAGCGCGACGATGCTGTTGTGGCTTGGCAATTTCGAACAATTCGAAGGGCGCCTGGGGTAGGATTTCATCGTGATTTCATAGTGGTTTGATGGGATTTTATGGGAATTCATGGGACTTTATGGTGATTTAGTAAGGATCTAACCAACAAAAATGATCAAACAACAGGAATGCTAAAGGGAGTTTCCCTCTCGGTATTTAACATACCTCTGGAAGCCATGGCCCATAGAAATAGATCATAAGATTATTATTTATCTATTATATTTATTGTGATTTTTCATAGGGTAAATGTCCCGTTCTGGGGACTTAGAACATCACTTGAAAGAATATCTGTTGAAGATTATTATCCCCAATAGTTGGGTGATGTGCAATTACTTGTAGGACATTTACCAACCTCTGTTTCTGCATTTCAGACGGTGGTTACTACCCTCCTGTAAATAAACATGGAGAAACCCTGCCATTGATTGTGATTGGGGGTTAGAAGATAAGCTTCCACTCAAAACAAACTATTTTCAGGCTTTATTAGTTGATTTTGGGTTTAGGCTAGTTATTGCATGATGTTACATAGTAAAACATACATGTATATTAGTATATCATTATATCATCTTATAGAAACAAATGTGGGGGGGACGTGCACCATTGTGCACCTAGTCTTGACCCATAAGATTTTGTGGTCTGATATGGTTTTGACTTTCACTCCTCCCAGATGTCTTATCGGAACTAGCGGCTAGGATAGGGGACGATTTTCAGTGTTCATCATGAAGATCTTTGCTAAGTGGCTCATAAAGTGCAAAGAAATGGTCAAAACAAATGTTCCAACGGTTGGTGGTTTGGAACATGAATTTTATTTTCTATTGGGAATGTCATCATCCCAACTGGTCCGAAGTCCATCATTTTTCAGAGGGGTAGGTATACCACCAACCAGGTTCAATATCCCATCATTAACCATACAATAAGCCTATATTAACCATTATTAACAGTATATTAACCATCATTTTTCAGTATATTAACGGTATATTAACCCCTTTCACCAGTACAGCACGGATTTGGTTTCCATGGATACTCCTTGCTGGGTGATGATCTCGGATTGAGGGCCTTGGGCCCTCCTTGCCATTGTGCCATACTTGGGAGATCGTGGTTCGTGGGTAAGAAGCATATTAAATTGTTAACCAATAGATTGTATATGATAAATTATATATGATTATATGGTTTACTATAGATTATGTAAATTATGTATCTTGGAATTACTTTATCTATAGGTGATAATACATATTTGTCTATATATCTTAGGTCTAATGAAATATCTATCTGGGTTCAGAGTCACTGACCTGGGAATTGAATCCCCAGCATCCCCAGCAAGGCCGTAGCCCACCTTAAATGGATGATAGGTGGATTCAGCCAGTTTATCCCACTGAAATCACTGGTGAACTCTAACCTACTGTCCTAGTTCGCCACCAAGTAGTTATCATCCATTTCAGTTTGCATGGCTTTTTCCATGGGATTTTCCTCAGTTTTCAGTGGTTTTTCATGGATTTTCCTCAGTTTTCACTGGTTTTCCATTGGATGTTCCTCAGTTTTCATGGGGGTTTTTCATGGTTTTTCCATGGGTTGTTGCCATGGTTTTACAAAAACCATCCAGCAGCCACAGCGGGGTCCCCCGATCGCTAGGCCGTGACTGAATGGAATTGGACGGATATCTTGCCACGACAGCTGTGGCCCATGCCTGAGACGGGAGGACAATGATAAATGTAGATTCACTTAGTATTGATTAATATTAACTATAGGTTAACTGTATATATATAATTATATAATATCTAATAATCATAACAATAATAGTAATAATAATAATAATAATATATGTATATATATATATTCATATAATAATTAAATATATATATATAATAATAATAATAATAATAATAATAACAATAATAATAATAATAATATATTTACAGTATATCCATATAGACACATACTCAAACTCGTCGCCATGGCATGTTTTAAAATGCTTGAGCAGAGTTGAGTTTTGCTTGCACATAAATGTCAGATAATGTAAGCACATGAAACAGCCGAAGAGTTACCCAATCAAAGTAAAGTGTCCGTAGCTGTCGCAGTGCCCAAGAACAATCCAGTTTTTCGCGGCTCGAACTACGCGGAAGCTCGCGGAAGCTTAGCTGCAACATGCCACGCCGGACTCCGGAGGATTCCAAGGACTACGACAAGAAACGCATGGCTGCGAAATAGTCTGGTTTCACGAAGATTTGGAGAGGCACAACGTCAGCCAGGTCAGCCAGGTCAGATAGGGCACTGCCCCAGGTCCAGGTCTATCGCATGGTCGATTTGTATGGCATAGCGTTGCCATGGGGTGGCCCAAGCCCATTAACTCTATAATATATATATAATCTATGTCATTCACATATACAATGAATTTATCACTGGATATCAGTGACACAATGTTACATGATGCCAACCAAACCGGGAGACATGACACATTTCCACCATTTTTTTCAACAATCAGACTTGGAGGATCAGGGACTTACGTTCACCAGTAGGGTCAGAACTGGTCACCAGTTCCAAGAACCAATTCAGGGTGATCCTGCAAGATTCCGGTCAAAAATGGCTTCTGGTTTTGTGTATCGGAATCGAATTGGGGATGGGTCAGTTAGAGTTCCCTTTGAAATTGCCATTCGTGGCGTTGAAAAACACGAATCTTGGTCCCAGCTGTTTTAGGGCCCAGGGTACGTACCTTAAAACGTACCGTTGGGTTTTGACCCATGACCAATTTATTGCATGGAAAGCCAATCCAGAACGATTTACCATTTGGTTATGACTCACAGTTCGCCATGGAAAATCCCCAACCATAAATGGAGGTTTTCATGCTGGGAAAATCATCGAACTTTCGATTGGGGCCATCTGGCTACCATGGCGAAGTGTTAGTCATAACCAGGCCGGGTATTCCATTAACTATCTATTGAACATATCCTATTTCTAGTTGATTTACCCATTAAAAGCATGGTGATTTTCCATAGCTTTAACTGTGAATGTCATAACCACCCTCAGGGATGATCAAACAAAATTGGATTGGAGATGGGTCAAAACCGACCACCAATCCCATTTCAACTTGGTACCCTCTGGTAAACTAACATAGCTATTGAAAATGGCCATTTATAGTGGATTTTCCCATTAAAAATGGTGATTTTCCATAGTTATGTTAGTTTACCAGAGGGTAGTTTCAAAACTGTGATTGTGTCCCATATTTCAACTTGGTAGGCTATCAAACTTTGTAGACGAAGCTATGAAATGATTATTATCATCACATATCATCACTATTATCATGACTATTCTCATGGGGCTTTATTCACATCCATCAAGCAGCGTTACCTGGGCTACCTGGGCTACCATGGCGAAACCGGAAAACGAAATCACCAACTGGTGGGATGAAGGATATGAAGGTCCAATATCAGGAGTTTAGCCTCTGGTTATTTAACATAGCCATGGTATAGATGGCCCATAGAAATAGATGATTTTCCCAGCTAGAAACCTCCATTTATAAGAGATTTTCCATGGATTTTAATGGGATACCCTCTGGTAAACGTTCACGTAACGAACTGGAAAGATCCACCATGCTTTTTTTATGGGTAAATCCACTATGTCTATCACCATTTTCAATAGCTAGGTTTGTTTACCAGAGGGTAGTTTGTGTTTTTTTTTTTCCCAACCCATCTAACTACGGATATTTCCAATCTGGGATAATATATTTCCAATTGGGGAATTTCTGGGTGAATATCATTGTAATATGGGATAAATGATAATATCGGGACAAGAATGGATAATTAATTATTGGGATAAGTATAATAAACCATACAAATACCATATAATCTCGAATTCGCCCAGTTCTAAAGCACCTATCCTTCGAGGGCCGCACGTTGTACGTTTTGTTGACGTTGCTATCCATATCTCGTTGTTGGGCAGATCCCAGTGTTGCATGTTTTTCTCTCAAATGGATTTGTCTAAGAATGGAGTACCCAGGAAAGTTCATTGGTTGATTGATCATCACTTTCAATGTTTTTCTGAATTAAAATTGTCACATTGAGTATCCTCTATAGTTCGATGGGTTTATAAAGAAATGTACAACTGCGCCCCCCCATCGAAGCATGTATATAGTTAATATTCATATTCTTGCAATGTGGAACCCCCAAGTTGTAAGTTGGTTTGTAAACCCCATTAAGTATCATAACCAATAGTTATTGGAGTGATAAACCAACTTAGCTATCTAGGGGGCCCCACATTGTACGATACTTGTGATTATTGTGATTATCATTATCATTATTCTTCTCATTATTTGTCTCATTGTTTTTGTTCCTATTGTATCATGTACTATTTACTATTACCCATAGGATCCATGTATGGTATATATGCTAACATTTGGGGTATATTGATGGTAAATGTTACCATATATGGCATACATGGATCCTATGGGTTATTACTCGCAAGCTTCCTGTCATTTCTTGGGTCGCTCACCGCTGTCAAGAAACGCTGGTTTTCCCCTCCTTTCCTCTGCGCGAGGTTCGGCTTGGACATGAGCAAAAACGTCACTGGCACCTTTCACTACGCCTTTCCCGCCTTGACGCCCTCGTGCCTTGGGCCGGATTGAGATTTACTGGGATTTACCAAAGAATGGGACTGGGACTCCAGTTGGAAGATGTTGGAAAATGTTGGGAAACATGAGAACTCAGAGACTTGATGGAGTTGTGATTTAGTATTAAAATGGGAGTTTCTTCCGGACTTACCAACAGAAACGAGATTGAAACGGGAAGTATCAGGGGAAAAACACATTAATAGCATACTTATAGCATAATATTCCTTATAGTATTAAACTTGCAATTTGGGGGTATAGCCTATTCTTGGACTTATGCAAATCGGAATTAACTAAGAGGGTTTCAGGGGGTATACAAGCAACAAAGATCAGGACATGTTATCAACAAACATGACCGTTTCATAAACAAGATGGAATTACTATCAAACCTTCAGAGTTGTTCCAACTTACTATTGTTATAGGTAAATAATAGCCACAAGGGGGAAGACATTTGTGATTTGGTGTTTTTACATGTTTTTACTTGCCCAGTTGACCTTCATGTATGACATTGGAGAGGTGGAACCAACAAAACAAAGCATACAGCAACTAATCTTGCGGGTTTCATTGACAGAATGAGTTTAATTTAGCAGAAGTTGGGGTCTATGACCAACAAATGATGCCAGGATGCCTAATGATGCCAGGATGCCTTTTTGGTAACCAAACATTGCATGATGCAACATGTACCATTTATGGGCGCTTTACGGGATGTAGAATCTTATGAAGAATGTGGAGTTCTCATTGCTAGGTTCGGGTCCCACATTGGAAACTGGCTGGGCTCACTCTTTAAGATCAAGATGTTGTGCCGGTCTTGACCCAATTCAGGGCGGATTCCCCCTTGACCCTTGGTCAAATGGCTAGGAATCTTTGGGTAACTATTTAACATGGTGAGTTCTATAGTTGTTTTACCTGATTTACCAGATTCGACTCTTGAAAAATGCTATTTTTTCCAGTTCGCTATCTTAGTTTACCAGAGGGTATCTCCACATAAGCAGTTCCAACAACCATGAAGTCCATGAAGTGTGAATCCCACCATATCCCAGCCACCCTTTTAAAATATGTGTTAGCATTGTTGCCATTATTTATATATATATATACTGAATTCCTGTTAAATACTAGTATATTATATATATACACTATATGAACTATTATTAAATACTACTATAAATACTATTATATACATATTAACTACTATAATATTAGATACTACTATATTAAATACTACGGATATTAAACATTATATTAAACAGCATATTATATTAGATTAGATACTAAATGATATTTCAATATTACTTCTTTCCTGTCCGTGGCGTCCTTTTCCGTCGAAACGAAACTCCAGGGATCCACCGGGGATGCCATACGACAACCTTTGGCAGGCGTCGCGTCCGTCGCGTCGTTGTGTTTCACAGGATGTGGGCCCTTAGAAGGTGGTGGTTTCCCAGTGATGTAAACGTTGGTTTGTAAAGGTTATACCCTCTGGTTATGTCAACAGTTTGCGAACTGGAAAAGGACCCATAGAAATAGTTGATTTACCCATTAGCATGGTGTTTTTCCATATTTATGTAAACGTTTACCAGAGGGTAGTGAAATTGGAGTCTATAACTTATAACTATGGTAGTAGATATATAACTCAGTAGTAAGTATAGATATATCTGCCATAGACCAGAGTGAAATTGGAGTTATAAAGCACCAACTTCGCTATTTAGCTCAATGGGGCACCACCTGGGAGACGACTGCGGAATGGAATCAGTTCCGAACGGTTTTTCTTTAAAGGGGACTAGGAAGGAGTTTAGCTTGACTTATTTCTGAGAGATTCTGAGAGTGGGCTCGAATCTCAACTCAGAATCATCATGCTGTTGGATCTTGGGATGACTACCTAGAGTGACCAACTCTGACTTTCCGGCTGCCATGTAAGAATATAGCGAACACAGAAATGCTGAAGCAGCCTGGTCACTGTCTTGAATGATGATACCGGTTTTAGCAAGTGACTAGTAACCAATAGTAACCATGAATTATCATATTGGAGAGCCCGGATTCCCTCAGTGCCATCAATAAATGAATCATAGCCATCTCTACACAATCACCAGCCCTGCTGGGTCCCAACAGACCTGACAATTTGATGCTAGTCGTCTACTGAACAAGCCGCGATGATGCAATCCAACCTGGGAATAGAATATTGTACATATATACATATTGTATAGATATACATATTCATATATGCACATATATGCACATATTGTACTAGACCTTTACATGTTCATACATATATAATTCTTATATACCTGGTTGGTGGTTTGGAACATGGCTTTTATGACTTTCCATTCAGTTGGCAATGTCATCATCCCAACTGGTCCGAAGCCCATCATTTTTCAGAGGGGTAGGTCAACCACCAACCAGGTTATTAATCATCATTAACCATATAATAACCATATATTAACCATTATTAACAGTATATTAACATATATTAACCATATTTTTCAGAGAGGTTGAAACCACCAGACAGAGATGATCGAGCTATTGAATATGGTGCCCAACCAGACAACTAGACGAGCGCATCTCGGTCATCTCGTTGGGTTGACCTCGGGTCACGAAGAAAACCCAGATGCGAACCATGGTGCTGGAAGAAAAAACCGTGGAAAGCCCAAAAAATGGCCCAGTCATGTAGGTAAATAGATCATACGTAGAGCATATGGGCTAACTACTGTGGCATTATACTACTGATAACTAGTAATATCTTGTAGATCCGAAGGATTTTTTAGCAGTATGAATACAGTGTGTCAGTATCATACCAGATATATAGCTTGGAATAGTACTACAGTATTGTGTGCCTCATACCAGAAGAGCGATATGTTCTATCAATCTCATATGCTTCATGTATGGAATATTTATCAACGCTTAGCCCCAACATGACCTAGTCATGTTGGTACAAGGTGAGGCACCCAAGTTATGTTGGTTTATAGACCCTTATTCTAGCCTCGTTGGTGGTTTGGAACATGGCTTTTATGACTTTCCATTCACTTGGGAATGTCATCATCCCAACTGGTCCGAACTCCATCATTTTTCAGAGGGGTAGGTCAACCACCAACCAGTAACTCTATTGATTTCATGTCCATGGAGCCCGGAGGATGCCCCCAGTTATAAGTATAGTTACAAGTCGTGGGGCCCCCAAACGACGAAATCGCTAAGTTGGTGCGTTTATAACTCCAATCACTATGGTTTCTTGTACTTATAACTATAGTATAACTATAGTATTCATGGGGCTTATAAACCAACTTATTACTGGGGCGCCCCACATTGTATGAATGCTCCAAGCACGAGTTAACGCTGGCCACGTTCAAAAATCGCGGCCGTTCTCCAGGTGAAGTTGTGCACTGATTCGCCTATGTGCTCGTTGCTGGGCGATCCGTTGGGTGATGCTGCTGAAATATCGGTGTTTTTTTATACAATCTGGTTATTTAACATAGCCATGGTATAGATGGCCCATAGAAATAGATGATTTTACCAGCTAGAAACCTCCATTTATAAGGGATTTTCCATGGATTTTAATGGGATACCCTCTGGTAAACTAACATAGCTATGGAAATCACCATCTTTAGGTTCGGTAAATCAACAATTAAATCAACTATTTCTATGTGCCATTTTCAATAGCAAATTGTGAAAAATTACCAGAAGGGAATAAGGTATTCATAGAGATTCATGGCATGATATTCCATGGAATATCCCCTTGGAGATCATGGGAATTACGCCGGGAAATCATGGGAAAAAAAATCATGGGGATATTGAACATCACCATACACATGCCCTCCGGTAAATTAACATAGACCCTGGCAGATAGGGGTTGGAAGAGTGGTTTCCACTAAAAAATGCTTATTTTCAGGGTCTATGTTAATTTACCAGAGGGTAATAGGTAAATCACAAATGGGCCGTTTTTCATTGCTGTGAACAAAATAGCCAGAGGATAACTACGTATAGTTAGGTAATTAGAGTTAGATGTGGTTATAACTTATACCCCAACTGAGCTAAACGATAAAATGGGCTTGTCTGAAAATGTGGGGATATTTCAATGACTATTCTTAACACGGAAAATTATTAAAGATTAAGATGGGTTTTTGTCCCCTCATAAGTTGGGTTTTTGAACGGTCTACAAGGGGCCCCAGAGTTGGCGAAGTTGGTTTGAAACTAGTTTGACTAGGCTTTCTGGTCGATATATTGTGCAGAGCAGCGCCTTGCCAGGTTGGAAAAAAGCACTTATGAGTGAGTTTGTAATTTACTTTCGATTCATAGGATGGAGCACCAAGTTGGGTAAGTGTATGTTTAATTATGTATACCTACGCGTTGATGATTCTTAGCTTCAATGTATCTAAATGCCTTTATAAATACCATATTTATCCATATTTGGCAATAGAAATTCAGTGCTTGCACAATATTATTCCTGGCATCATCTCAAATATACATATACATATACATATACATACATATACATATACATATACATATACATATACATATACAAATACGTACGTTCGTACATACATCCATCCATTCATGCATACATGCATACATCCATGCATCCATGCATCCATCCGTCCGTCCATCCATGCATGCATACATACATCCATGCATACATCCATACATACATACATAGCAAGATTTAAGCATAAATTAATCATAGAAATACATACAATGGTTGCTGGGATGCAAATCCTAGTGCAATCAGATCTGTTGGGATGGTCAAGTTTCATATTCTGTTGAGTCAAATCCCGTTTTTTTGCCTGGTTTAACCACCCTTGTTTTGTTTTTTTAACATTTGTTCATCCAATATTTTCCTGGTTGAATCCTACTACAAATTTACCGTTCACCCCATATTTTCACGTTGGATCATGTTGAATCCCATCGAACATTTTGAGCCCTGAGGACCAACTTGTTGTCCATTCCCATCCCTGGTTTCTTCTTCGGGGAGGCCTGGCTTCCACGCGAAGCGATGGCTGAAGGGGATGTGGGTGAATGTCAACAGCTGTGGCATTCGGATGCGAAACAGCGAGCGAAACAGCGAGCGAAACAGCGAGCTGGAATATGTTGGAAGATCACAATTTACCCTCTGGTAAACGTTTACATAACTATGGAAAATCACCATTTTCAATGGGTAAATCCACTAGAATTCCCATTTTCCAAAGTTATGTTAAATTACCAGAGGGTATCATTTAGCTAAATCATAGAACTATTCATGGGGATTGAAAACATGGCCTTTTTGGTATGTTTACTGCAGGGTACATGGATGAAATCCATGAGTCAACTTGCCCCATGTTGGTCCTTCTTGGGCTCCAAGTGGTCTCTTTATATCGGCAAGTGTGCCAAGAGAAATCGATCTTTGGAGCTTGTTGTCCGATCTTTTGCAGCGGTGAAAGTTGCGAGGAAGTTTGCTGCGGTGCAACCCCCAATGACCAGCTAGGTGTGAACAGAAGGGCACCAGGCTTATTCTGACCCAGCTACTTGCCTACTTTACCAGACCAGAACTCATCCAAGCAATATTAATCTATTAGTTGTTCGCAGATGAGTTGAATGGATATGAACGCAACCCCCAAATATGGAATCAAATGGATAGAAAAGTAAAATCTCACTAAAATCCTCGAGCATTTAACTTTATCTATCTTTTCAGGAGCTACCTTCTGGTAAACCAACATAGCTGCTAATAGCTATTGCTAAATTGATTTACCTATTAGACATTGTGATTTTCTATAGCTAATGTTACTAATGTGGTTAAATCAATAGCAACCCATCCAGGAAATCACCATAAATGGGTGGTATAAATGTATAAACCATCAAACTATGGGTGGCTTATTATTGCTGTACTAACATGATGTTAGTTTTGGGGGTTTCCCATGGTTTCCCATATTTCAATGGACCAGCGGCATCAGGAACCTGCGGAAGAACTCTCCGAAGAAGCGCAGGCCATGTTGACAGGCCCGCAGCAAGATTTCCCGGATTTTTTGCAGCGAAAATGAGGGGGTAAATTCTTCAGGACCTGAAGTCGTTGATATTTACAAGTATTCGGATGGTCATTCAACTGGATGGGTAGAAACTAGTCCTGCTATGTCTTTTGGTATGGGATTATCTACGTTCACCAGCTAAGAATTTCTCATTTTTTGGCAGGCTATCTGGCTGATTGGCCATGAAAAGAAGCAGACATGATGGATCATTGGTGTACCCCCAAATCATCCATTCGACCATTTTTGTTGCTGGCGATATCCAATTGGTACTCTCAGGTGTCATCAAAGGTGGCTATTTTTTGATCAATACTGGTACGGGTGTCATCAAAGGTGGCTAATATTTGATGAACATGGGGATGTTCCGGCCCACGTTTGATGACACATCTCAGGGTAAGAAACAGGTCATGACTTCCGGGATATATATTTATATAACAAAAGAATGGCCCAACATGTCATAACCTGCAGCCATATAAGCAACATCGTGTTGTTTTTACAGTAAGTTCGAATACTTCAAATCCGAGCCAAATCTTGAGGGAAAGACAGCATTAAGCAGCAAGGGGTTTGCATATTACTCATATGGGGGGTTCCATAAATGGGGGTATCCCCAAATGGATAGTTTATTTCATTGAAAATACCACTCTAAAATGGATGATAACTAGGGGTACCCCTATTTCAGGAAATCCATATGCTCTATGTCTAGAACGTATCTGGTTGGTGGTTTGGAACATGGCTTTTATTGTTCCATTCAGTTGGGAATATCATCATCCCAACTGGTCCGAACTCCATCATTTTTCAGAGGGGTGGCTCAAGCACCAACCAGAAACCATAGTGAAATTGGAGTTTATAACTTATAACTTATAACCATGGTAGTATATATATATAAATAACTCAGTAGTAGTAAGTATGGATATATCTACCATAAACCAACTGGGTCATTTTTTGTGGCTACAGATGACTGAATATACCAGCCTCATGGAGCCGTTGGGATGACTTGAAATCTCTCTAAAGAACTTGTCGAGGCGGCTGGGCCCATCGTGGGGAGCCCGAGGTGGATCTTTATTCAACTATCTCAAGTTATCTTGCTTAATGGGATATGAATGATGCTTAATATAATAGTATAGTAATATCAATATCTATCAATAGTGATGATCAATCTGATTTTCATACAACTATGATGTTTACAGTATAGATATATTACTCTACTATTATAATTTAATACTATTAATAATAGATATTATGTTGATGATTAATTTCTTGACAAACATATAGATGGCACATGGATCACGGAGAAAGGTGAAGAAAAACACCGCTTTTGGAAACTCTAAAACGCTCTTGGGGGGGGTTAGAGTAAATCAAGTTGGATAAGAATCCAGTCCAATCATAGAAACTCAAAAAAACTAAAATTCTCATTCTATCTCATTCGAAAATTGTGTTTCTCGGAGTGTTTTCTCGATGTTGAACCGTGAGGATTTCGCACAAGGTGTGTCATCTTTGTTGATGTTCACCCATCTAACTACAGTTACTTCATCATAAACCCAACAGTTAACATATGTTAACATCAAATACATGAACCAAGCGTAACTAATCTAGTCAATCTTAGTTATTTCAATGAACTTACAATGTGGGGCCCCCAAACGATAGCTGTTTGTTGGTTAACAAAAGCCCCATGAATACTAGTTCGTTATTTGCGTACAATAAACCATAGTTATTGGAGTTATAAACGCACCAACTTAGCTATCAAACGGGGGGCCCACATTGTATGCTTTTGGACCAGGGCAGCATCTTGCCATCTGAGGATCGGCATTGCCATCGCTGGTGCTTCTTGCGGGGCGCACAGCGGTGTATTTTTAATGATTTTCTTCAGACCTAGAAAATGAAAGTTTCGATCTAGAAAGACCCCAGACCTAGAAAATGAAAGTTTCGATCTAGAAAGACCCCAGACCTAGAAAATGAAAGTTTCGATCTAGAAAGATGTGATTTAAGATGGTGTTTGTTGTTTTAAGGCTTAAACGAACAAACATTGGGACTGGAATCATTGGCGAATGATCTGATCATTCCAACCTGGGATCTGGCAACGTTATCAACGAAAACGAAAAGGGTCACCCATTGTTTCGATGGTGACGCCCAAGAGACATAAAAGATCTCCTGGACTAGATCGAATATGCAAATATCAACCAAAGCTCGCTTAATTTTAGGGTTGCTCCAATGCATTTTGTGTAAATGTTAGCCATAAGAGGGTAAATGAGTCATTTTGCCACCCCGTACCTGGGACGTTGACTTCAGGATGATAAAGAAATGCAAGGTGGGCCCACTTAAAAGTTGGTTTAGAAAAGCCCATTAAGCATTAAGCACAGCTGTAAAGCCGCTTAGCTATCAAGGCCAACCTTGGTAGGTCACGGTCACACTTGAGCCAGATTGATAATCCATGTTTAACGGGGTAAGGCTCCCGTTCAACAAAAAACTGTTAAGATTAACACTCGATTGCAATTTCGAGAACCGTGTCCACTTTTTAACCACCAATTTCATGGCACATTAGTTATACACCAATTCGGGCTATTTAGATCCCATCAAATCACCATGGAAATCCCAGTAAATCCATCTGTCCATGATGTTTATGATGTTGATCACTCGGCGATTGAAATCCGGAAAAATCACCATTTTGCCGACCAAAAATTCCACAAAAAGCCATGGAGCGTCCCGGGACGGCCGGGACGGCTCTGCTGGTGGCGAGCCTTGCACTTGGCGTGGCCGCGGCGGCCTCATGGCGACGCGCCAAGGGACCCAAGGTCCAAATCGCCAAGAGTGGCCGGGCGAAAGACGTGGGAAATCGCTGCGATGGTTGATAGTATATGTTATAGTATGTTATAGTGTTTATAGACTAATTATAGATTTCATATGATTTCATGATTATGCTACAATTAATATCAATTAATCACTATGATTGGTAATATAATATGATTATCTAATCACTATGATTGGTAATATCACTATAATTGATAGTATCTATGACTATGATAATATGATTGGTAATATGTTCATAGATATATGATTATCATAGTTGCTACTCCCTGGTGAAAACATCGCGATGGCCCAGAGGCCCAGAGAGACGATCAGTATGACGCTAAAGCAGTTTTCAAAAACGCTAGGGGATCCTCGTTGATTGCTTGTGAACTAGGGGATTGTACTACCTGGCTTATTTGGTGAATTAACCCATCTTTGGGTTGGTTGTTAGGTGGTGAATTAACCAATTTTTGGTGAATTAACCCATCTTTGGATTGGGTGTTAGGGGGATACCGATACCTATCAACCAGTATAATGGTCAAACGATTTAAACAACATGATGATTGGATCATCCGCCTTTTTTTTGATGAGGATATTTTTTTTGATCGGTGGGAAAATGATTTGATGATTGGAGAATCATGCATTTTTTGATGAGGAAAATATGGGAACAGAGCATTTTTCTTCCATCGTTGATGCAAAAATCAGCTAATTGTTGGATAGTTGATGGGATAGTTAAGATTGAAATCGTGATTTCCAGCACGGAAAATGTTGGATTTTTGATCATACCAGACCTTAAATAAGGATATCGATCATGAACCGGATGAACTCTGATTGCGAAATAGCATTCGATTTGTTTCATGAGAACATATTTGGAAAGATCATGAAAGATCATGGTTTATCATTTATGATTGTCGGAGAATTCGGACAATTTCCGTCGTTGAAAGGATTTTGTCCACATGCAAGAAGTAAGACAAAGACGCTGCAAGTGCATGGAGACAGCAGCGCAGGTTGCTTAGGTGCCAATGTCAAACACATATGTTTTTCTCTGATCGCAGATAAGCCACTACCAAGGGACATTGATTTGAAAGTATTTACGTATCAGAAGATGTCCATAGATGTGAGGACGGATCAACACCTACAATAAATATCCACACCTACCAGATACTACCAGCTATTTTGATGTGAGCACCCCAGTTCGAGGGTGTTGATCCATGACGTGTCTCAAATTCCATTAAAGGTAATGTCTGGTAAACTATCGTAACTAAGGACAATTACAATTTTTAATCGGTAAATCCACTATAAATGGCCATTTTCAATAGCCATGTTAGTTTACCAGAGGGTAATCTAGCATAACTTGGTCATACCAGATATCCAAACATATTCCCCAATAGATTGGATGAACTTTTGTGACATTCCTATATTTTGTCAGGGGTTTCTCTCAACATCTCTCAACCACCAACCAGAGGTCTAAGATAATCCATAATCTCCACATATGCCATATAATTGTGGATTAAATCCGTTCAATCCATGTCAATCCCCAGATTTCTTGATCAAAAAATCCCAGTTTTTTCCATCGAGAAATCCATGACATCCAATTAAGATGTTTCAAAAAAAAAGTATAGACCTTGGCTGCCAAAAAAGGCATCTATGTGGATGGTCTCGGTGAAGTTGCGGTGAAGCAGCAGAAGAGTGGAGGCGCGCCATTGGGCGGATCTAGGTCAATGAACTGGATGGCTAGAAACTAATCCTGCTATGTCTTTCGGTATGGGAATGTATGGGAATATCTACGTTCACCAGCGAATTTCTCATTTTTGGCAGGGTATCTGGCTGATTGGCTCTAAATACGTCTGGGATCCTCTGGGAAGCCAAGATCTGTTCAAGAGTCCATGTTGGATTCAAGGGTTTCAAAATGAGCGGAGTTTTTGGTTAGTGTTGTAATTGGATGTGATATTGCTATGATGTTGAGATCTCATCGACTCCAGCTGGCAGTTGCCATTTACTATCCCATAGGATCCATGTATGCTATATATGGTAACATTTACCATCAATATACCCCCAATGTTAGCATATATACCAGCACCATGGATCCTATGGGTATAGGGGATATATGGGGATATCAGAGTAACGGTAAATCTCCTGTACCACTGCAAGCAAGGTTGCAGAGCTATTGGTTCTGCCGATGCAGCGCCTTACCAATCTCTGACTGTTGAACCGCAACAGCTTGGAACAGAAAAATCTCCGAGCCCACGCCAGGAAAGATTCATGTGACCTTGGACTGGAAGTCTTTGCTCGGCATTCCTTTTGAGCTACGTGGCTTCGATGGGTCATATTCAGCAGAAGGGACCACAGATTGGAATGTATATGTTTAGTATATTGGCCATCTAATTAGCAATCTAATTAGCAATCTAATTCTTGGGGTCTCCATTCATTAAAACATATATATATATAGATATATAATTATTAATAGTATAGTCTCATGTATTAATATCTATTATATTATATCCTCATATTAATTGTGTTTTACTTTGCCAATGGGATCATTAGCGACGACATTTTCACAGTTTCAAGGCCTGGGCGCGCAACCGGTGACCACTTTCTCGATGTTTCACAAGGGGAATCATCCCCAAATGGATAGATGATAGGTTAGTGATTATAGATGATTATAGAGAAATAGGTTGACTTTCCCAGAGAATCTCAAAAATTAACCCTATGTTGGATCACGAATTCTCTTATCCCATATGCATATTCCATGGTGCTGGAATATGCACACCTACATGGAAACCCCAAACATTGCCCAGTTATGTAGGTGTGCATATTCCAGCAGCATGGTTCGCATCTGGGTATACCAAACTGTCCCCTCTGGATCAGCAATCAGGTTACCTTTCTGTTCGGCCGTGGTCACTGACGGCGGCACCATCTATGTTTCCGGCAGCATTGGAGCACAGCGTGGGGCTGATGGGAAGCCTATGATTGTGCCAGGCACGGCGATGGTTTTATTTTTGGGGGAAACTGGGGGATGAAGGCAGAAATTGGATGCTTAGAAAACCGCATCTCTTTGAACATGTTCATGTTAATTGGCCTGGTTATGTCACAAAATAGCTATTGAAAATGGCCAGCCATGGCCTGCCATGGCCATAGAAATAGTTGACTTACCCATTAATAGCATGGTGATGTTCCATACAATGTGAGGCCCCCTAGATAGCTAAGTTGGTTTATAACTCCAATAACTATGGTTTATGATACTGGATGTCGTGGATGTTTCAACTGGGTCTCATTAATGAAGTCAGCTTGGAGGATCATCCCACAGATCCGTGGATCCGTGGTTAATCAATCTCAGCCTTGCTGGTATGTCCCCATTCAGTGAACTAACATGTGGACTAACTATGACTAACTAACATTGTTATGATTCCACATTCTTAATTCATATATGGGTATGGATCAATACCTATTAATACCATTTTTAGGGGGATGAACATCCATAAATCCCAGCTATTTTGATGTGAACTACAGGGGTACAAGGTTTTGACACACTGCCATATATTAATTTATCACAGATTGTTAATGGGTGAACTAACCTTAGCTAGTAACCAGGCGCCCAGTTCGTCACGAATCGGAATCGTGATGATCCTCCAAGAGGCATCGGTGCTTCATCAACTGGATCATTTTCAGCGGAATAAAACTTGATCATCTATATATACTATAGTAATCTTAGTATATATATACACTATATATACTATATATACTATATATTATATATATACACTATATATACTATATATACGATATATACTATATATACTATATATACTATATATACTATATATACTATATATATATACTTAGATTACTATAGTATATATATAAATGTTGAACTGTTTGATCACCCAAAGTGGATCACCATATTTCATCATAGCCTCTCAGCTGACATACCTTGGTGACTGTGACGGCTTTTGAATGTTCCATCCAATTTCACGGTGAATGCAATAGAATCAATAGATATCTATCATATTTTATCATATATAAATTCCTATTTGTTTAAAACATATAAACCATCTATTTTTAAAGAATCAACGTATAGAAACGTAAAGCCTAGATATTGGATCCACCAATAAACCATCTATTTTTGGAACATAACAAAACCCCATATTTTTTTTGAGATCAAAAAAACCCTCCATTTCTTCACCAACTGCCTGACCCCCCAAAAAATCCAGAGTCAGGTGGTCCCGAGAAGGAAGCGATCCAAACGTTGCGCATGATCGAGGCCTCTCTGAAGGCCTGCGGCGCTGGCTTAGAACATGTGACCATGGTGCACGACGCTTGGCGAAGCCCAAGAAGGGCGTTGGAGGGGCAGTTGCTATATGGAGAAAGCTCCATAACTGGTTGGTGGTTTGGAACATGGCTGGATTATGACTTTCCATATATTGGGAATTGGGAACAATAATCCCATTTGACGAACTCATATTTTTCAGAGGGGTAGGTATACCACCAACCAGATAAATATAGGTACCCCCAATAGCTGGATGGTTTATTTCATGGAAAACTGCAAACATGGATGATAACTAGGGCTATAGCCCTATTTTAGGAAACCTCCATATGGAAAATGATACGGAAAATGAATGTTTCACAGTTGTCATACACAGCTATATTACATGGAACATGTGCCATAGAAATAGATTCATTATATAACCGTTAATGGAAGAACAATTGAGCCTTAGTCATAGATTAAGCGTTAAAAAAAATCAAAATTTGAACAATTTGTGATGTTCCATATGTGAAATAGCCAGAGGATAAGTTTGGGAAGGTCTTGGATGATCACCAGTGGAAACCTTGATGGGATAGGGGGGAGTCATTGAGGCTACAATAATTGGCTGAAAACAGCAGCGAGTCCGTCTTTTCCAACAGCTTGGCATGACATTTCAGCGATTTTTTTTCTGTGAAAAACACATTGGGTCTGTCCAATGGTAGGGTAATGTAGGGTAGAGGTCTTTGGACACGCAAATTTTACGGGATTTGCAGGATGCCATCCATGGGTCAAAACTTGCCATGGAAACTACTGGGTGTACCCAACTTTGAACCACACTCATTTACCCATGATACTCATTTACCCATGATGGGATGGGCAACAGGCCATTGTGTTTGTTGGTAGACTATGTTAAACGTGCATTTTTTTTATATGCTTCTTGATTTTTTCTATATGTGTTTCTATATTTTTCTATTGTTTTATACGAGTTCTATATGTTTTCTATATAATCTATATATGTTTCCATATTTTTCGATTGGGATGTCGATGTGCCGGCAAATCTGCCTGGTTTTTGTGAGGCATTTTTGGTGGACTACTCCCAGGAGAGATTTCAGGCCATGAACAAAGGAGCCGCTGGCGGAAGTGGCTACGGCTCGTGGTCTGTGTGGCATGGAACGTGTGGCATCCGAAAGAATCCAAAAGAAACGTGGGAAATTGTGGCACAAAAGATTGAAAAGATTTATTGGGTTTATATCTGGTTGGTGGTGCAATGTGCCCATGGTTTTTATTGTGATTAATAGTGGTTATTAGTGGTTAATACCTGATCTAATGAATAATATATCTGGTTGGTGGTTTCAAACATGAATTTTATTTGTCCATAATATATGGAATAATCCTTCCCATTGACTTTCATATTTTTCAAGATGGTTAAAACCACCAACCAGATTGATACCAACACAATTCAGAAATGATGAAAACAGGAAAACAGGACGTGGGATAGCCATTGAAGTGCCGGTGACCCGCATTTTGATGAACGCATGATTTCATATGATTTCCATACTTTATATACTTTGGCTGCCTGCTTGTCATTCAGAACCCGTGGCTTCCTGGAGTTGAACACCAAGCATCCAGTGATGGTTTATCTCTCCATCCCTTGGTGAAAAATGAGTCATATGTCCCAGCCTGTGTCCCCATGTTTCACCAGTTGTTCCACATTCTCAACATATTCTCAACATATCACTGCATGGCCCATAGATGGGCCAGTTTCCCTCGGACCCCAAAAACCGATCTGGCAGGATATTTCGAGGTCTGGGGCTCCCGTCCCCTGCCCGCGCGCATCTGCACGGGCACTGACCATGTGGGCCTCAATGGGGCGGTGGAGATGGATGCAGTGGCGCAGCTGTGAGATCAGCCCACTGCAGTGAGGAAATTCCATGGGAAATTCTGTACATCATGGTGATCAATGAGTTCTTCAACGGTTATAGTTAACTAGAACCAGTTAAGTCAATATACATATATACATATATATACAATTATATATATATATATCGATGTTTGTGGTGGATATCATGTATCATATCCATATAGTATATACCAAAGTTTGACACAAGACTACTTCAACCAAGTGAACTTTTGACCCGAGATGTCGCCCCTGCTGACTGGGCTCGTTGAAATTCATCTAAAAAATGAACAGAAAGTATGTGGAAATCTACTCTTTGCAGATGTTCATTGAGAATCCACTGGTTCTAGACATCTACCCTCTGGTAATTTAACATTGAAAATGGCCATAGAAATAGTGGATTTGCCCACTAACAATGGTTATTTTCTACAGCTATGTAAACGTTTACCAGGGGGTAGCTTACTTTTCTACTGCTCGATGGCACTAATGAATCGACAGGTTCATGACAATTGCCGTCCTACAGTGGACTTCCTGTGCCAGGAGGACATGGACGCCAGGATTAATCCGGATGACCCTCTGGTTATTAAACCCAGCTATGAAAACACATGTTAATATGGATGTTTCATAGCTGGGTTTAACAACATAAATGATATTTAGACATGGGCAATAAACCCTCTGGTTAATATGCAAATCACATATCAATCATCTAAACGTGGGCAATTTTCCATAGCTATCTTTAAAATAACCAGAGGCTCATCGACGTGTTGCAGCGATCTTTCCCGCGCCTGTTCGACAACAGGCTGCAGCGCCACCGGAGAAATGGGCCTCATGCTATCCTTCTCGGTTAGATCATGGGAGTATCATGGGTGAACAAAAAAACGGCATTTTTTCTGACTACTTAAAGATTGAGCATAAAGTGTCCAGCATTTTGGGGATGTGACTTTTGATATCTTTTGATCCAACAGGGGTTCAGTGAAAATCACGTTCTGGCCATGACTTGATGCGGGATGGTTGTCCAGAAATCCGTATGGTTGACACTGAAATTCATCAGACTTTTCTTTGAACTATACTAGCCACCAAGCAGTTTTTATCCTCTATATTTTTGGGTTTCCTGGCTTTTTTGTAGTCTTGGCAATTGAACTGATATCAATCGATAGGTGATGTTTGCCTTAGGCATTTCTATGGTTGGTTGCCAGAGGGCACACTTAAACCTTCTTCGATTCCAAGCCTAGATACACCACTTGATTCCGTCATTCTGTGCAATTTTTTTTAAACGACTGCGACCGAGCACTGCGGAATGATGGTTAGTAAGAGGAATTATCCCAGCTGGCCGCAAGTTTCAGATTGAATGATTCCCGTTGGATCGATCCCTCCGAATGCCTGGCAATTGGAGACGACTAGGGACTCCAATACATCCAAGCCACTTGATTTTTGCATGTTTATGAACCCATCGAACTATAGATTGTACCTACCAGAAATCATCGAATTCACCATGGATTTCACCTTTTTTAATTCAAAACCAAGTTACCATCGTTGTTTGTGCGCCCGTTCCTGTACTGTTCGCCTTTTTTCATGGCGAAATCGCTGCCCAGGTCTTGATTTCACGGATCTGGAGACCGGACGGATGAGACGCAAATGAATCGTGGGTAGGAGGACGTGGCTCAAAGGTAGGTAGATGGTGGTTTCAATGGAAGTTACCCTCTGGTAATACAAAAAACCTATGGAACATCACCATTTTTTATGGGTAAATCAACTAATTATTTCTATGGCTATTTCATTATTTTTTGTGCGGATTTATATATATACATATATATATATATATGGAGGTTTCCTAACTCACCACCCCCAAACCACCCAAGTCATGTATGACCATAACTTGGAAGTGAAACAACCATGGTGACTTGGGGATCCCCCATGACTTAAGAACCCCCCTTTTGATGCGAGGATTGGTGAGGAACTATGCTTGATGGTTGTTGCTTACATAATTGTATTTGGCTCCTATCACCAAAAGTGAGATGCTCACCGACATAAAGTGGGAATTAACATAGTTTTTGACTTTGAAATGATGCGTAAGGATGGGTAAGGGTGGTTGATGTTCCAGTATTGTAGTATGCTTTCCTACGGTGGTGCTACCAGAGTCTAATTGGGATCCTTGTAGCATACTATGCCAACAAGCAGAAGCAATGCGAAGCTCGTTGCCAACCAATCTCTTTTGAGCTACTTAGGAAAGGCGGCAGAGTTTTTTTTCCGGGGCTCTGGTCACATGCTGCGACGGTGTTCAAAGACTTACCTTCGATTAGGAAAATTAGACTTCATGACGTGCTTGGACCAAGAAGTGCTAGGCCAGTTGTTTGATATGTTGTGATATGTTAATAACTGTTATTCTTGATGACGTTCTAGGCGTGTTCATGGTGTTTCACGCATTTTCGTGCTCAAGCCCCTGATTCAGAAGACACTCACGCGCTTCGCCCAATTTCGCAGTGAAGACCGAGACCCGAATGCCGCAAAATGCACGAGGTGCCAAAAATGCACCAACTGTTGAAAGTTGCTGGTTGCCTTGTTTCCATGTAAGTTTGCATCGTGATGATACCCCATCGCTAGTGCTGATTTTCCTATGATTATGATTCTAGTTCATCATTCTTGTCATTCTTGGTAACTTGTAGCATTGCAACATCCCAATTTGGAGCAAAGCCCAATTATCAAACATGCTGTATCCTACTGTGGATGGAAGAAGTCCTGCACCACCTGGGATGGTAGAAAGCCTATAAATCATGGGATGTTTACCACCTATTTACCAGGATTTCGCTGGCCCATCCACCGTATCTCTAGGAATTGTATGGATTTTTTGTGTGCCAAAAATGTTGCCTCTCCTGGGATATTCAAGATGTGATACCTGGTCCTCCCAGGTCGATGGTCAGCACGTTGTGGCTGCCATTCGATAGGCCATTGATTTGTAAATTTTTCGTGGCCTCAAAGATGATTTACCTACTCAAAATGGTTTTCTGTGCCACCTCGCAACGGCTATTGTTTTTAATCTGGTTGGTGGTTTCAAACATGGTTTTTATTTGTCCATTTCATACATGGAATAATCCTTCCCATTGACTAATATTTTTCAGAGGGGTGGGTCAACCACCAACCAGTAATACATGGGGATACATGGGGGGTTGATTCACCCCTACTTTCGCATATTGTGAGGATGAATGCCTCAATCTCAATCACATGTTTTTCGTTTTTTCACTGACCCCCAGTGACCCCCCTTGGATTGGTGTTACAGTCCCATGGCGGGCCGAAATAGGAAATTCCCCATGAAAAATGCGGAGATTTTCCGGGTGGTAAAATCATGGAACTATTATTGCTGGGGGATTTTCCAACAAACCATGGAGCTGATTACCGGAGGGTATCTGATCTAACCGGACAAAGTCAAAAGTGACCTCGCAAGGACCAATGAATCACCAGAAATGACGATTAGGATTGGGGTAAGCACCCAAAAAACGGGCCATCATTTCCTGAATGATTTCTTAATTTGCTCAGATCTAACTCTAACAGATTAGTATGATTAGTTATGGTCGATGTTCGTGGTTTCTGCAGCAACCTGCTTCCTTTCAGCGCCAGGGGCGGCTCAAAGTGGGTTCCTTCTCCAGTCAAACTGGTTGGTGCCCAGTTGCCCCTGTGTCGCGGCGCTCGAGCCGCCAAGCCATCCGGGCTCTCGCGGTGTTAACGCGTGATGCTCCGGCTGCGGCGTTTGAGTTTGGGAAACATATAGGTAAACTTCTTGTAACGACCTTGCAATGATGATGTGATGGGTGTTCATAAGAAGTGAATTTTATATAATTTCATATGTTAGGTCAGCAGTAAGTTGTGGTATGTTTAGGTAACTTACAGCTGACCTTATCATGTGTTTTGTTCATGATGTTTGAACATGGAAGATCACCGTCTGGGATGAGAGCCCCACAAGCTGGGATAAGGCCCCTAGAACTATGGACATATGGAGTTTTCCTGAAATAGGGGTATATATCCCTAGTTATCATATGTTATCCTCCATTTTAGATTGGGATTTTCCATGAAATAAACCATCCAGCTATGGGGGGTACCCTATTTATGGAAACCCCTATCACTTTTTTGTCTGGAACTGCACTTCCAAGAGTAAAATCACCTTTGATTCACTTGGCTAAAAAAGGTAACTGCTGTTGCAGGTAGACATCCACAGTATGGCATGGACTTCAAGTTGTTGATAGATGTTGAGAGGGGTTTGATTTCGGGGGCTAATTACCTCATTGAGGGGTTCCAGGGTTAGTACCTTCTCAGGACGGACTTAGACCCGAACCATCGACTTGCACAGATCCTCCCAGTGAACATATCCTCAAAATTGGATGCCATGGCAGCTTTATAGGTCATGGAGCTACCCAAACATGCCTTACTTGCAATCGAGTAGTTCCTAGGGTCGCATGTGTACAAGGAGCAAAAGCGGCCTGAAACATATGAAATAGGACTTTTCATGCCAGTCAGGGCATCGTCAATTTCCAGTTCTTTGCACGGCAAAGCGCACATGTGTTTCAAAACAGGCTGGTGTTACCAAATGCCAGCTTTGTGATTCGGCGTTGATAGTCGAGCTCAAGTTTGAGATTCAGCTGCAGTTGGAGTGTGCAGTTCACCCGTTCAAACGGGGCGGTCGGACAGACAAGGGCCAAATATGCAAGGTAAAATAGAACGACGAACGGCAACGTGCAGTTTCTGGATGTTTCTGGGGACATTACTAGTACCTTTTGGGGCCCAGACATGGCATGTATGTGTCGTGGCAATGGAACATGGCTCATTTATCTGGTATTTTTAGGTTCAATTCGAGAAACTCCCATTCAGAAGATTCAATAGGCCCCCCTCATTTTTGGCACAACAGTTGACTGGTTGGTGGTTTGGAACATTTTTGATTTTCCAAAATATATGGGATAATCCTTCCCATTGACGAACTCATATTTTTCAGACGGGTGGGTCAACCACCAACCAGATGAACTCAGCCAACCAGTTCTCGCCAACTTCCCTGTGGCTTGAGCAAACACCTGGTGGAGTGAATGATGAACGGTCGCTCCGCCGCCATCCGA